GATAACTATGTTTAATTGATTTAAAAAAGTAATCAGAATGTGTAAACGCATGAATAAAAACAAAAATTATAGTATATCTTATCTTGTAGTAAATAATTACATTTAACACGACTAGAGTTGTATTTATAATTTGTTATATAAATTCACTGTCCCATTGTTTTTTTTATCATTCAAATCAAAGGTTTTGTTAAGATAAAGCTTTTTAGTAATACAAAAAGGCACTGCATTATTTCAGTATTTCTTAATCTAGGATTCTAGAATTTACATAACACAAAGAGAATGTTTAATTCTCGACGGATAGTAAGACAAATATAACCATAGTCGAGATAATAAAAGAAGGAAAGAAGTTTCTTGACGGTTCTCTAATATCGCCGTACAACGGTCGCGTAGGAAAATTCAGTACTTCACAAAATTGGTTTATGTTATCAAAGGTCAACACGTAGTTACTAGATTAAACGACTAAAGGCGATTTGAAAGGTCGTATCGTTAACAAGCTGTGCCCGCGATTTCGTTCGCGTCGAATAGAAATTGGGCATAATATTATTTTTTTTGCAAACCTTTCTTGAGAGTTAAACTTCAAAGATAGATTTATGCTGCCGTGGACATTATTTTGAATAATTTAAAGAAGAATCATTCTTCATATATAGTTTCTTCGCTTCCATTAGTCGCAAACTGATTTTTTAAAACATCAATTAACGATTTTGGTATATAGTCCTAAGATTAGCACGTTCAAACAAACAAATCTTCATATATATAATATTAGTATAAATATAATAATAGAGGTTATAGCAATTTCGGAACTAGATAACTCATTAAATTGTGACTGCCACAAAGTAATTGATTTGTTGGTTAAAGGTAGAACAAAAAATGCCTTTTTTATAATTCATATAGTAAATTATTCTAAATATTTTTTATATCAAACCCCCGATTAAAACTTAAAAAATATTTATAATTTTACCACCCAATACTCTGTCCTACCCTACCCTTTGATGGATTTTTCAACTTTATTAAAATACATATTGTGCAATATCCATACAGTCTTCGAGTTTTTAAACTTTCTACAACACAATTAAAATGTTTTAAATATATGTTTCAGGATATTATAATTTCCATTCTGTCTCTGTTATCATGAAAAACAGAAATCAATAAACAATTATCTTGCATCTGCTGTGGACCGGACCCTCGATAAGTTCGATAAACTTCGGTACCAGCAAATAGTCGACGTGAAAATTAAATTCAATCTCCAAAGTAGAGCGCGCTTCGATGAAAGGACTTCCACGAAAGGGGTTACTAGAGAACCAATTTGGTCACGTGTATTGAGACGTGCCTGGAGTAAGGAATGTACGAGACTAACTATAGAGTTGAAGACGATGTCACCGGATGTAGTAATTGAGAATGTGCGAGAACTGTACGTGCTCGTAATGGTAGCATTGTTCGGCTAATAATCAAGGGCTCGTAGATTCCATCCCGATGGGGTGCAACTTTTTTCTAATCAATTTACAAATTTTCTGAAACATGTTGGACTTCGTCCGGAATTCTGGATATTAATGGGTGGTAGGAATATTGCAATTCCGTACGGGTCAGAATCACAGGTGAAAATGTCAAGCTTAATCGCGTTTCGGTTTCAGTCTGTGGATTTCCGAATATCCAAAGCCAACATAGGTCGACAGCGCACCTTGCTTAGATGTAATAAGACTGGGGTATATATACCATCAATTCAATACCATGCTTGTCTGTCTTCCTTTACCATAAAAAAAAATTGGACAAACCTGAAAACTCAAACTCATGAAATCAAAACAGCCCTAATAAGTACAAAATATAGCTACGGCCCGACGTTTCGGCTCCTTCAAAGCATCAGAAGTGTATACTGCGTATGGAACCGTTAGTGTTCTATTTAAATGTGCACTACTCGCGTAAACTACAGACAGTATTTGAAAATAATGTAGCTTTGATCTTATCTCAGCTAAACATTTTATTTCAACTGATTTTAATTTTAATCAGTTGTATTTGGGTTCAATAGATAAAGAAGTAAAGGGGTCACAGTGGTGGCTAATAGTTTTTCAGAGCATTAACCTTATGTCGAGATTTCTATCTGTTGTTTAATGTAACTTGACACTAGCAATTGAAAACCTCGTCTCCATAGCTTAGTGGTTAAATCGTTCTCTTCCAATGTGATAAACGTTATAACGATCAGACCTGACTGACTAACTCATTCGAAATCTGTTTTTTGAGAAAAGAGAAAGATAATAAATAATCTGTGGTCTTTCACTGAGCACCTAGTTACAGATAGTGCACAGTGGGCCAAGGAACTGTTAAGAGAACTATTGCTTTCGTAACTGGATAAAAGATAAAATAACAAATTGTTTACATTCATTGACGATAAATTCCGTGTAGATGCATAGTTCAAGTGCACTGTGGTGAGTGCATATGCACCCGTTTGCACTGGGAACGCATACTGCCTCTGTAGTTAAATGAAAATAAACTCCAAGGTTCGATTCCTTGCAAAGATTGTATTATGATTAAGAAAAACACGTTTCAACGATGATTGATGTAAAAGAGAAGTAGTATGAAATACTTATTATATTTTTATTATGACAGAGCAGGACAGTCAAACACGTTGCGTTGTCGACCTGTTTTGGTGTTGTATTACGGAAATCTACAAACTAAAACGCAATAAAACAACGGCATTATTCATCTGTGATTGGGAATTTGAAATTTACAAGCCGGAGTCCGAAATATTTCAGAAGAATTATATATTGGTAGAACATGGACTCGGTGGGGATCGAACACTGGTACCGTTGATAATTAGTTATAAAATCATCTGTCATTTTTAAAAACGAATTAATACAGTAAATGACACAATGTAATATGTACATTAATAAACTTAATACTTTGACAAACGAAATATACCAACTAGACTCCTTTTTGCAATTTAAAAAAATATTTAAAAATAAGTCTACTAATATGTTTCTTTCCCGTTTTTAATCAGTTAAAATTGTTTAAATGTGTACTACTCGCGTAAGCAACAGATAATATTTAAAATTATATAAGCGAAACAGTATTTTAATGATTTGCTTTTGTTTATTTTTTTTAATAACGAATTGTTATTGTCAATTATTGTTTTACCTACGCACTAACAAAAACGCTTTCTACAGATTTCTACAGATGGTGCGTCACACAATCCACATACACATATTTTGTTGACGCGTAGAAACCCCGACCAGTAATGGAAGAATGAAATGGCTTTCTGTACAATATCAACTCTTTCTGCCAAAGAAATACACATATGAATGGAAATATTGATTATAAATGACATATATTTTAATCTATACTAATATATAAAGCTGAAGAGTTTGTTTGTTTGAACGCGACAATCTCAGGAACTACGGGTTCGTATTGTAATATTCTTTTCGTGTTGGTTAGAGTATTTATCAAGAAAATATCATACATATTTTCTCGATAGAATAGAAAAGAATGATTAAGATGTCCGACGGGACGTGACCGATAACGTAGTTGACAGTTTGCAAAAACAATTTTGGATACCCAAAATGACTATTCTACTCGGGCGAACTCGCGGCTCAGCTAGTAATAATGATATTTGACTGTTGAGTTTGGTGGTATTCAATTGGTAGACCAATAAAACGGTAGCCTGTTGGTCCTGGAGTCGAGATCCCCTTCGTAATAATTATTTATCTCAAACTAATCTTTCAAAATTTAGGTGCGTTAGTTAATATTTAAAGTCCGATTTATAATAATTATATTAGAAGTAAAGCTTATTTCCACGTAAAAAGTACTTAAAGTTATAACTAATTCTTGTAGGTACCTATCGCCGGTTTTTCTTATTATAATTTAAACACAATAGTTAAGTATTTAGGCGAAACTACTTATACTTATACATAAGTAAATTTAGTCTTTTAAATAAAACACTTTCAATAGTCTTAAACGCGAAATATTAACCTATTTGGAATTGCAGCCCGACAAAAAAAAGTTAACTTAACTAATATATTTCGCGTTTAAAAATAAGTACTACTCGCGTAAACTGTAATACTTAATTTTGTTTCAATTAAAAAGGCAGTCACTTTTCTTTATATACCATTATTTTTAATATACCAAAATTTATTTCTTGCCGGAGCTTAAACCTAGAAGTTCTCGTACTTAACGCAATGGTAACCATTGAACCGCGGAGACTGCAATATTAGCTCAAAGATACATTGCAACTATTGACAGGGTTATCATGCAAATGTATATGGAAAACCTATGTTTTGAAAATACGTCTTATGCAGATGTCGTTGCCTTCAATTCGATTACACGTGTTCTTAGCGATCATCTGCAATTGGTTTTCATTTGTTTTTGTTTATTTGTCTTTCACGTAAAAAATTATAGATGGACTTCAATAAAACTGGGTACATGGTACAAGGTAGCCAATGCTTTTGAAATATTTTTAACTATAACAATTTATTTATCAGGACCTGAATCAATTTCTTATGGCCCTAAATTTGTCCATCAGAGCTTTCGTTTAACTTCTAAGAAAGGGATCATACGAACAAAATCATTTTTTTTTTGAAGCAATGGTAGCAATGAATGACTAACCCGTGGGTCGTTCAATTCAGTAATGAGTGCCAGGTGTTATTAAATGATACCTATGTAAACCTAACCGTGTTATTAGAAAAAGTATAGCCGTTAAGATTCTCGTTAAATTATGACTAATAACTACGAAAAACAAGGAAAAAACTTCACAGCTTCGTTTATTCAAAATTTACATTTTTATATACTTTAACAATACATACACGTAATACCCGCATTATGTTTTCAAAACTACCCGACAATCGAAACCGTTTAAAATAATGCTATCTCGCTCGCACGTATTGTAGCGAACAGAGACAAGGAAATAATTCATTCAGATTTTGCAAATGGACTTTTTTCTATTTAATACATAGGTAACTTACTGATCTATGGGTTTTTAATGCGGGTTTTCAACGGCACAGTGGACAACACAAAATTCATCTTTCCTTCGCGATAGAAAGTACTCGATCGTATTTCTTCATTTGCCTCGCAGCCACTTCTATGTCCACGTCGGTTAGATAGTATGCTTCAAAATGGTTCAGTGGACGCAACATAGCGTATAGGCGTTCAGCGTATTTTCTGTAAAATAAAACAAACATACATCATTTGAACACTAATCATAGTGCTATCGCTTGTCTGCATCTTAGTTTAAACCCTTTTTTTATGACAGGGGAGAATATTTAAATAAAACACTTTAACGGTTTAAAACGCGATATATTAGTTAAACTTATTTGAAAATGATTTTTAACTTCGGCCCGACGTTTCGGATGCTTTGCAGCAGCCGTGGTCACGGGGAGACAGAATCATTTTCAAATAAGTTTAACTAATATATCGCGTTTTAAACCGTTAAAGTGTTTTATTTAAATGTGTACTACTCGCGTAAACTATAGACAGAGGAGAATAAACAAGCAAGGGATATACTTGATGGTAGATGAAATACCCCAGCCATATAACATCGAGTCATGGTTCACTGTCCACCTATTTTGACTTTGGAAATTCGGAAATCCACAGACCGAAACGCGATTAAACATGAAAAGATGAACAAAATGTGTGGATGGTGGTCCCTGGCCCGGACGGAACTTCGAAATTCCTACCGCTCGTGTAATATCCAGATTTTCAGACGAAGTCCAACAAAATAAATATAAATTGATTTGAATCATGGACCTGGCGGCGGTCGAACCCACGACCCGTTGATTGTTGGCGTTACATTGCTACCATCATACCGACGAGCCTGCCAAAGACCTCCAACAAACAAATATTTCTCTTTGTGATTTTCTAAAACGGGACAACGGCTTACCAATGGGCCGTAAGTTCGATTACCATGGTTAAAATCTCAAACTATTCAGTGACAGTCAAGAGAAGAGTCACCTCGTATCTGAGTTTTTATCGTAGAGCAACTCTGACAGAGAACGTAGAACGTGTCTCCTAGCTGTTGCGACGCTGGGCGGTCTGCCTCTAAGCAGCATCCTGCCTCCTTCAGCAAACGCAGCGCAGACAACCAGCAGGCGGGCTGAAGCGCAGCGGACAAGGGCGCTTTTGTGGCTAAAAATTTGGTTTAATTAACATCACGACTCAATTGTAAGCACTATTACTTAAATCTGCATTGGACTTCATAAGTCAATTGTGGAATATTCGCTCCATTTTGGCAGCTAATGTACTTGTAGACATTATAATATTCGAAGAAAAGTGTTCGGATAATATTTATTCGGATAGACAAACTTAAATGATGACTGAGTTTTCCTTTAGTGGAGGAATCTATACTAATATTTAAATTTAAAGAGATTGTTTGTTTGTTTGTTTGAACGCGCTTATCTTAGGAACTACGGGTTAGAATTTTTTTAAATGTTGATTAGAGCATTTATCGAGGAAGCGACTATAAAACATCGCACTGTGACTAATAGGAGCAAAAATACAGCGGGAACAAAACGGGGGAACACTTTTATCTCTGTGGGTTTCAGATGCGTACGCTGCGAAAACTGATCAAGACACCCAAAAAATATGTATGAAAGAAATATTCCTCTTTAAATGATCTAAAAAAATGTCTACGGCACTATTTGTTTCAACTTACTTCATTATCATATAAATATTTATTTGGTTCCATGATAAATTTGTAAAAAATTACAACCGTTTAGGAACTCCAGGAGTCCAATGGCGGACGTAGTAATACAACTGCGGCGGTCCCGCGCCTGCGCCGCGACCGCGCTGCTCCCGCCGAAGTGTTTTGCGAAAGCAGCGGGTGCGCGGGGCGGTCGCGGCGCAGTTGCGCAGCAGTTAGGTTTTGCGGGCCCGCGTTTGATCGGTGTGTCATCCCTCATATAACTACAGTATTTACAAACGTAGCCGCACTGCAACTGCTTTTGGTGTGCCCAAGCCATGATTCGTGCCAAGCCGAGGTCTTGTACAATTTGTATTTATTTAGCTATACTTTTACAACTGTACTAGTTTAGATGTCAAATACGAGTAATACCTACAATTAAAGCAGTTTTGTAACCGTCAGAATTAAAAAAGTATATCCCACATATGTTTCTGTTTTTGCGAAACCTTTAATTAAACTTGCAAGAACTGTCTTGCCTGTAGCTGTCTCAGCAAACTATATTTTCACGATTAACCGAAAGCAGACTCCTGTATCCACCAACTTACCGAGTTCCATAAATGCAAATGGCGGTGACGGATTGTGTGACGTCAACGCTGCAAACCACAGTGTCTAGGGCCACGTTGGCTGCTTTCCGCACTGGACGGCAGTAGCTGCCTGTCTTTATCAACAGAATGGCTACCGCTTCGAAGAAGTCCTATAAGAAGTAGTGAAAAACTCAATCAAGACTAATAATAATAATTACTTGCTTAATACCTTACTTTGAAATATGACAGTCTATATTGTTATTTTTGTTTTAATGGGCCAATACAGCACTCGACGAATTACATTACTTATTTAGATTAAATTAAATAAGATTTGTCTCAAATAAGATTGATAATGAAATATGTATATAATTTAAAATATGTACTTAGTGTCTCTGAAACTGTTACCAGAAGTTAAATGTGAACGGCTTCGTTGGTCTAGTTTTTTTTATTATACAAAAGAGGACACAAGCACGGGGTTCATTCGATGGAAGATAAAATACTCCAGCAATATAACATCTCAACAGAATACGCTATCGGCCTACTTTGGCATTAAATATTCGGAAATCCACAGACACGGACCCGTTGATTATTAGCCATACATTGCCACCGTTAGATCAATCTTTATAATTATTCTAGGCAAGTTTCTAGGAGTTTAGAAGGTGTTATCACACCATGCCTTAACAATATTAAGTCGGTGCCCAGCAGTGGGACGTCAATCATTAAACAATTGATATGTGGTGTTACTAAATGTAGCTGTTTTTTACCGGTTTTTTAGTATAGTTGGTATTCTTCAATATTTCTGCAAGTATCTGACACGCCGTGCGCGCAACTTGCGTCCGAGGAGAGTCTGCATGGATGGTCACCTGCGTATCAATTTAAACAATTTTACTATGAGGACTAGAAAATATACACAAATAAGTACATTAATAAATTAAAGGAAGATAAAAATCATATCGTAATTCTTTTAAACTGGCTTGGACTCAAATTATTTTACAAATTTTACGGTTTTTGAACTACACATTCGTAACGTTTAGCACCTGTCTAATGAGATCTGCAATCCGATTTTCAGAGATAATCGACCAAAAGTTATCCAAGGCTTTCGGTAGCTCTTCTAACGTTTGTAGGGTTTGACACCTGTAATATTTATGACAGACAATAAGAGACATGGTGGTGGAAGGTGAAATATCCAATCCACAACACCCATGTAGGATTTTTTGCGAGTACCGAATTAAAATAATAAAATAACTTATTAAATAATAAGATAACACTTTTTAATTTCATCTTTGTTTCATAACAATACGCTTTACATCTTAATTTGCTATCTTTGATCTTTCTCTCTCCGTTCCTCTCACTCGCACTTACATTTAATTACACACAACCGACATACATAGATATATATTATATTTGAAGATATAAAAACGTAGTTAAACAACATTTTTAAAACACTTTTTTTAACATAAGAGCTTGTGGACGTTAGTCTTTGTGTATCGTATAATAGACAATCTTTCCTAGCATACACTTAATTAAAAAATAATAAAAAGAATAAAAAAAGGCCTGCAAGCAAATTCAAGAAATTACCCTCAAGAAATCAAATGATTATTTTTCCGTGGGTCTTCTTAGTGTTACTTCTTTGTATAGTTCCATTACGTGGGGCATGGGGCAGACACACTTCACTGCAATTACTAGATTCGATTTCTGTACCAGGCCGAACGAAAATATTTATAAAGTTTCTACGAATTTTGAACCAGCACCTCCATCGCTAAGAACATACCATGAATTCAATCGGAGTCTTCTAAGTAGTTCGCAGCAGAGTGCTTCGCAACCTCTTTCGGCTGCATCGCTCAGCTTTGATCCGTCCGGAGAACAAGTGCTAGTTGGTGAAGGACTTCGACTGAGCCTGATGATAACAGAAATTATACCAGTAGAGAGCGAGTAAAGGCAGTCAAGCGTAGGGTGCAGTAGATGGAATTTAAAATGCTCCAGCCCTGTAACATCTGATTGAGATGTTCTGGCATCTACTTTGGTTAAAACATTAGGCCTAAAATAGAGCTGTTAATATTATATAATACTTTAGGATTTTTCCATCGTTAAACTAAAATTCTGAGCTGGATTTAAACGTTAAGTCCGACATGTACTCGGTGGAAATAAAACACTTGTCTACGATGAATTGCTACCTACCATTAAACCAACAACCCATCAACATTTTTACTTAATACTTCCTTTAAATTCAAGAGTAACTCACGCACTTCTAATTGTGTGCTATAACGGAATATTTTTTCACGAACCTTGTTCTCTTATTTGTCATCTTAAGTTCTTTAATCTGTCCCTTAATGCAAATGGGGGCTTGATTAGCTTGGTTCACGCTAGACTTTGCTTTGGACGCCCTCAATTCGTATCTGTTACATCCCCCTTCTCCATGGTGAATTGGGGGCAGTTGAATCGTTTCGCTGCGTGATTTTGATGTGTCTAAAAATATTTTGGAGAAACATTGATATGATACAAGTTTAGATAATTTGTACAATATATAACGTTTTAGTATATGATGTATGCCTATTAAGGAGTTTACATACAAAAAGGAAAGGCACAATACAAATATAAAGATCTTCCACGATATGTGGAGAAGGTAATTTTCTAAAACAGTCTTGCAAATTCATCTATTTGAACAGCTAATATTAACAACACAGCAAATGTTTTAAAAACTCTACGATTGATCTAAGCGACGTTACCATCTCTAATATTGATAAGTGCATTCTCTCCGGAGCCGTTTTTATCAACGCCCCATCTATTAAACACTTGATCCCTATGATCTTCTGAAACCAGTGGCAGAGTATTCGTTTTTGTTAATTTATTTGTTGCATTCGAGAGCATGAAGTTCAATGGGCTGTTTGGACATGAGAAATTACTATTAATAGGCGGTAGCCTGAAGGTGTTCTGGTCCTCTTTGCATTTTATACCGTTAAGGGTGCTTTTAGATTTAACTACTTGATTATTCGTATGATCCTTCATACAGGAGGCATTTGTTATAGTCTCGACACTGGGCGTCAAATCGGTGATGCTACTCTTCTTGATATTAGACTCTTCTGTCAAAGGAGTTAACAGCCCAGCAACGGGTACTTCGTGTTCTACGTTATTTTCCGACGTAAAGACAGCATCTTCGCAACTTGACAATTTATTGTAAAGATCTTCAATATCGTTATCAATAGACTTTGGGATTTCACTACCTTCGCTTTTATCTTGTAAATGATCATCTTGGTTCTCGTTCTCTAGGGAATCTTCTTCGATGTCCGAATCGTATTTTGATGTCTCAAATTCACTGGTGTTCTCACACTGCGTCATATTCTGTTCATCGCTAACGCTGTCTTGCGATTCCTCATCGATAAATTTGATTATCCTCTCGTCAGAATCACCTGTTAGACTATGCTTGTTTATTTCAACTTCATTTTCAGATTCTTGATGTATAGATGACTTATCTTCCAAGTTGGTAGTTAGCATTTGATTCGGTATAGATGCGTGATAAACTAAAGCATTTGTTAAGTGTTTGTGCGGCTTGAAAAGGGTCTTGTCACCAACAACTTGAATATGGTACTCCACTGTTTTATTTTCAGTGATTGAAAGGAATGATGTTTGTGTTTCTAGTGAGTTTAGACATTCAATTTTGGATGTGGATCTCTCGTTTTGTGCCAATTCAATTATGGTTTTGCTAGTTTGAGTATAGATTTCTTGTGATATAGAACACCTTTGTGGACTGGAGGATGTTTTTATATTATAGTCGACATGTATATCTCGCTTTACTTTGATACAAGTTCCTGCATTGTCCTTCAAGTTAACCGTTTCTTCGGCTCTACTTGTCTGAAATGTCTTATCACTCTCGTCGCTGTCATCGTAATCTATGACGTATGTCTCTTTGCTAGAAGAGTGGTTTCGGTCTGAACCGCTGTCGGTGAAGTCGAGCGAGTATACGTTGGATGTGGTTACACTTTTCTGCGAGTCGGTATAATTTACTTCGCCAACGATGTCTTCAATTTCTTCTTCCTATAAAAAATAACTTTATTGTGTACTGTTTTCGAAGATGTATCAATGTTCTTGAAAAAATAACTTACCATTGTCGAATTTTGAACAAAAAATATATATAAAGTCAAAACATCAGCGCCGTGTAACCACTAGAGAGTTGCGTATATTCACGTATTTAAGAATTTTTCAGTCGAATTCTGACAAGCCATGACGCTATTATTGCAAAAAACTGTCAAAATAACAGCTATTCATCATCATATAAAATCACTTTACGAGAAAGAGGTTTTATGCAGAACACAACTGAACTATTTTGTTACGCTATCTTACTATTTTAGATAAGAGATTTATTTGAATGCTAATAAATGAAGAAGGGGATAATTGAAATAAGTTAATGTTTCAAACACATTATATTTCTGTACTATGTCTAATAATAATCAGAACATACATATTTCTTAACAAGAGCCACAAACATCTATATAAATACCCTTCAAAATCCAATAAATATATTTAATATAAAACTAAGTCGTACATCGCAACATTATTTTTCTGACTTTCCCATTCTTTTATTACCAAGAGGGCGGGGTTTACTTCTATTGGAACAATCAGACAATATTTATAAAATAAAACATATGAGGACATCTCAACAATACTTTAAAATCACAAACATTTCATCTACTAGTAATAAATATAAATTTCGATAGGACTTAGAAAAATATAGTAAATTTTTAAGTAATTAAAATATAGGTCATAATTATTTTATGCTTTAACCATTAAATGCTTTTTGATATGTAATTAGAAAGCATGATTTTTTTCTCAAATTTATTTCATGATTCATACATTTTCAATTTTATGTGAAAATATTCTAGACACGGGCGGTACTAGAACCCACGACCAAACAGCGTATCGTGCTCTTGCCCTAGCAATGACTTGATAAAATAAAAAAGGGAAATATTTTGTTTTTGAAAAATTTGAAGAGCTGAGTCAATAATTGCTAAAGACACGGATTTGGAAAAAAGTCTATAGTTTACTCGAGAAATACATGGTTTAAAATGTGAAATTTATTAGTTCACTTGTAATTAAATTAATTTATTTTAACTACGGCCCGACGTATCGGATGCTTGGCAGCAGCCATGGTTACGGGGGCGGTCGTATTTACAATAAATAAAAAATGTTTTTACTAATATATTTCGCATTTTTCAACGTTTAAAGTGTTTTATTTAACGAGAAAAAACGTTTATATTTAAATATAGACTTCAGCAAGATCCATGTCTCCCACAATACTGACAAGAGTCGAATAGATTGAGTAAACTTGTCTTATAAGAATTCCTATACAGGAATACCTAGGCACCTTAAAATTAACATCCAATGATTACATTTTATACATAAACACGTAACAAATATATAAAATCTATACATTTACATCTAGAGGGCACGAGAGATAATATATAACGTTTCGATTTGTATAAAGACCCAATATAATATACATATGTTAATTTATCAAAGATATGTAAGTGTATGGGCAAATAAAAAACTCATCCAAAAGTCAATACCAAAACATAATCCGTCCAATTTAACCTCTAGCCCAGTGTGCCCTTACATTTACATAGCTTTGATCAGAAAGACATTCTAGACTACGAAAAGTTTTAATCCCTTGGCAAGTTTTATCTATACATTACAATAGGACATATATAGTGATATAAAATTAGGGGCAGACAAAGCTACTAACAATATGTCAAAATCGACAATCTCGTAAAATGATCTTTTTAACATTTAAAAGCTTTAAACTGAAAATTGATTCGTTTGGCGGTAGTTCTTAATTATTTTTCGCAATGGTGGAAAAATGACACACAAATATAATGCCAATTAAGACATGACATTTGGCCTCTAAACTAACAGATAGCTAAACATCAATTGGTCAAAAAATAGTAAGGAATCAAAACTACCCACAAAAATTTAACAATAACATTCTAGGCAACATAGCACTAATCTGTTTTAATAAAATGTAATTAATTCAAAGAGATAACAGTTCAAAGTCTCATTAAAACTGGTATCGAGACTAAATAATTTAAGATATGTGAATACTTTATATCATAATTGGGACGAATACGGGTAAGGATAACCTTACCAGTTAACCTGACACGCCACAGGGTAATTTAACCAGTTTGGACTACGTCAAGTTACGTAACGTCGTTGCCGATTATTATAACGATAGATAGCTAATTTTCATTACTCGCTTTGACACTATGAGTTTTCGATATAAATGGCGTGAAACAACCGAATAACTCGATTTTTCTCTTACCCTTCTGTCTACTTATGACCACGGCTGCTGCAAAGCGATTAACTTCGGGCCGTACTTACCATCAATTTGTAGATAAGTTCATCATATATATTTCGCGTTTTAAACCGTTCAAGTGTTTTATTTAATTGTGTAATGCTCGCGTAAACCACAGATAGTGAATGTGCTTCTGACAAATACGCGGTTATTATTTAGTCAATCATGGTATGCTACACAAATATTTATTTGGATGTTTTGATAAAATTTTCTGCCTAAAAAAACCTACAACTTGACGTTCGTGCCGAACTGCTTTTTAATTATCGTGGCTTATTAGGTCAACGGATACTACAGAAAAAAGCTTCAAGATACCGCTTGAAGATAAAGACTTAAAGTCTTAGAACCGAATGAATAATACAAACGTATAACAATGCAAGACGCTTAATATGTATGTATGACTTTATATTTATATTATATGAAATTCCATTCGTGTTTTTGACCTAGACATTAGGGGCGATACTTGTAATATAACTAGAATATTTTAATTACATTTGGCCATGAGTTACAATTTTGTCGTGCAAAAAACATTTTTCTGAACACTCACGGGAGTGATATTAAAGTTTCAGAAAAAAACTTTGCTCTGTCAATAAAATTAACTGTTTAAGTATGTAGGTGGTTTTATATTTAATCTAACTTTATATTTACTAATAATTATATATTAAAAATAAGTTAACTCATACATTTCGCGTTTTAAACCATTAAAAGTGTTTTATTGAAATGTGTACGCGTAAATTACACACTAACTACGGCACTGATAAACAATGTCTGCAAGTGATTTTGTTATTACCATGATTTTTCTTTATTTTTGCACGACAAAATTGCTAGTGGAAGTGAATGATTAGAAGGATGGTAACAACCGGAAACCCTGAATTTATTAGGTGGGAAGAGGTATCTGAAGAAACATCAACTCTAGAATTTAATCAGTTTTCTAAGAGATTTCAGGTCCAGCACGTGAAAAATAGATGACATATTGCGAAAAAAATATATTGAGAAAAGCTAAAGTAAGTTAAATATTCCTTTTTGACCGCTTCTGTAGTTAATTGGTTAAAAGTGTCGCCTAGCATTGCGTTAAGCGCGAGAACTCCTGGGTTCAAATCCCGGGGAAACAATAGGTTGTTTCGGTGGAACAACGCACAAAAGTCTGATTAACTAACTAACTTGCCTTTTAATAAAACTGATGAATGAAACGGACACAAAAATGTGTTCGCCCCAGGTTCCAATGGGCGAAACGGGACACACGCTTTTTTTTGGAAATCGATTTTAAAAGGAGTTTTATAACAATCAGAATAAACTTTAAAAGGTATGAAGACTATAAAAAATTACATATCCTTCTCATGCTAGACTTGAAATAATTCTCCATAACTAGTAATTCACCTATTATTTTAATTACGAACTAAACACACCGACTACATAGAAAGATCACAATCACTAAGATCAAAACTGGTCATGTGAAATTTCGTGCGCGACTGTACAAGATATACAAGAGTGACAATAACAGGTGTTACAAGGCATTTCTCTGATATATATAACCTGAAAACAGGTTGTGTCTAGCCGTCAATGTTCATAGATGAGACTTAGTAAAGTTACACCGAAGTCAAAACCAAACAGTAACATATTTATAGAACTCTTAAAGATAAATAAAAGAAGATCAGCTTATCTATATATTGTCACTTTAGTTCAAGTTCATTTGCGTAATAGTCCTGTCTCTTTTACGCAAATGAATTTTGTAATTTCACCGCAATAAAGGACAAGTACTGTCGCGCACGTCAATTTATATCGTCAATAATCATAATAAGTACACTCGGGTGCAAACCATCACTTCATACTGTGAATTTCACACTTGTTATTTAAATACAATATTGAACTAACTTTACCCTTCATGTACACTCACGTTAAAATTGCGAAATGATGATCGTCTATAGGGTCTTTACTGCCACGGTACCGTCAGACACACAACTCCACAATACATATTAGTGTCAACACATTTCGCGTTCGTTGCTACCCAAAACCCATCAAATTAAACTGTGAAATTCACCATAAAACTTGAAGTACAGTCACGTTCAAATTTTATAATTTAAAGAACACTCAATGATAAAAGCCGTCTAGTCGATGAGGTACAGTCGCGCTAGACGGTACCGCGAGTCTCAGCGTGATCCTGCCGCCCCTCGCTCGGCTATGTGGTCTGTGTGATGGCGAACTATCTCGTCTACTATTGGTGCTTCAATGTCCACACCTATGAAGACAAATTTGTAGAGAATGAGATGTCAAACTAGGTACAGTGTATTTTTTCTAACTTGGAAAAAGACCACAACAAATATGGCACGCTTCAAACCATAGAGAACCCTTGCCTGCCCTTTTATAGCGTTTAGTCATTGCCACAGATGACACAGGTATAAAAAAATATGTCCATATATAATTGTTGACCAAACAACTTCATAAATATTCAAAAACACTTTTATGATGACTTATTGTTTTTTATGATGTTTATTGGTGTTAGTAAGTGGCGACAATCTATAAACTTATGTACAGCCTACATACCAGCAAGCAACTCTTCTCTGGTGAGAAGTACTTCCTGGTTGGCTTCTCTTGTGACTACCACGACACGTTGATGCCTATTTTGTAGAATGTTCGCGATAACCATCTGAAAGACAAATTATGACACTTGTTTAAATCTTTCTTGTTATAATAATAGTAGACGAAGTGTAACATAAGATCATATATTTCATTTATACACACAACATCAACATGGAGTCGGAGCCGCCGAAAGAAACAAGCCAAAGTAATTAATCAGATGAAAACATAAGAATGCTTAGTGCTTAGATAAACTAAACTTACAGAAGATTTCATTTTATAAATTTAATTACAATAGAAATTTTATAAAACAGAAGACGAGTGAAAAAAGAGTACAAGAGTTTTATGTAAAATAAAAAAATAAAGACTAGACAACCGAGTCATGGAGTGAGTTCGAAAATTTCAGCACAGCAGCAGAAATAAAGAAAATATTGTTTTATTTCAATCAACGTTACCTTATGTTTATATTTCTCTAGCGCAGCCCTCGCTTTCGGAATAAGCAAGTTCTCATCAGTCTCAAGTTTGAATGACACCACATATGCGTTCGGCACCCATAGGTTGACCAAGGGTGCTAAAAGTTTTGGCACCAAATGCAAGTGAATAACAGGAGGCCCGCTATCAGACTGTATTTTGTGTGTGGGCTGAAATTGTTTCAAAAACATGAACTGAATTACCTCCTTTTTAAAAAACTATTTTTATCGGTTAAAACGTAACACCGAATCGTAGTTAGAAATAGAAGTTCTAATATATTTCGCGGACTCAGTAGTGTTAGGTGCGTTAATTAATTCTGAATTAACACAAAGTTTGTATTATCCGGCTCGAAGGACCAGAAATTTCATTATAATTTTTATGTACTTACAATACTATCCTTAGGTATATAGAAGTCAGACACTGCCGCGGCGAGGTACAGCAAAGCTCTAGGCCCGGACTTTGCTAGGACTTCACAAGCAGCGCGCAGCAACCAGAAATAGTCTGATACTGTAGTAAAAGCAACATGCAGGATTGCACCAGCCGCGTGCGCAGCTTGATATCTGGACAGAACAGGTGCCAAGGCGAATACGCTGTCTTGTTTCACTGAAACCAATGACCATGTGTTAAGCTTTAAGTTAGCTTTTTTAAGTTAAGCTGCTTAGCCAATAAATGCAATTAATATATAAAGCTGAAGAGTTCGTTTTTTAGATCGCGCTAATCTTAAAAACTATCGGTGGGATTTTAAAATATGTTTTTGTGCTAGTTAGAGTATTTATCAAGGAAGGCTAGGCTATAATCACTTCGAGCACAAAAAAATCTGAAGTAATTTATAACATACAACAAGTTGTATTATTTAAATAGTTTGAGTGTGTAATTAAATTATAATATTCCAATTCACATATAATATATTTATCACATATAAATTTACCTGATTTAATCTAAACTACTCTAGAGAGTACTTGAACAATTTTAGATTGTCGAAGTTGTTTTACTTCAACAACGTTGTGAAGCGAAAATACCTCTTATCGTAGTGTTATTCGACTGTTCTTGCATCTCCAACATATCCAGCAGCTTCTGCCCGCTAAAGTGCCTCGTGAAGGGTTCCAGGGATTTGAGGCGATGCATAAATATCACCGCGTACCCTTGTTCCAGAAAATACTCGGCCGACGCGGCGCCACGTTTTCCCGCACTGAAGTTGTCGACGAAACGTACCGTGTTGTGTTCTAGCGGCACTGTAGTGCCACCAGACTGTGGATGTAAAAAAACTAGAATTGTTTAAAAGTTTTAAGTTTTTAACAGGACCAGATATCTAAATCACAAATCGCTGATACGGAAGTAGAGATGGCACGTGTGTTAAATTATGTCTCCTTGTGTGGGGTATACAGAAAATATCCGACTCTATTTTAGTGTAGTTTAGGTCTAATAGTAGCTAAAAAATATGCTAAAAGTCAACGGACGTGGTTTCGATCCCCACCAGGTCCAATGTTTCATATTGAACTTCGTCTGGAGACGTGGATATCGAAATTCAGTCCAAGTCACGAACCACCGTCTACAGATGAAAGTGTAGTTTAATCATGTGTAATAAATTCGGTATCACTGTTAAGATTCCCGAATATCCAAATCCAAAAATAGGTCGCCAGTGCACCTTCAAGGCATTATAAGGCTGGTGTTTCACCCTCCATCAAGTGAACCATGCTTATCTGTTCCCCTCTATCATAAAAAAGTAGCTAGTTTATGAAAGAAGGTAACGTAATTTTTCCTTTCTTGGGGCGAGATGAGATACAATACTAACTGTGACGAGCACAATTCTGTGGCTCTGCCGGTCGTGTCGGTCACAGAACTCTTTGAGTAACGACCGATTGTCCTCGAAGTCGGTCGGCGGCAAATGAGTCGCGAAGAATTCTTCCCACGACCCGCTCATTGTGACAACTGCTCGAAGTCTGCAAGTAATAGTAAGTCTTATAAAAGTGTAGACAAGTAGCTAGATAGATTTTGACGAGAGATAATTTTTGTAAAATGTAGTTGGGCTGTTGTTAAAAATGTGTTAAGTTTATTTTAAAATATAAAACGTTTTCTAAAACCTATAAGATATAATAGAGTCTTATGCTGCGCCTAATAGGAGCGGAGAAATAGTGGGAAATGTGGAAAGTGATGTGTGTGGGAAAAATGAGGAAAATTATTCATCTTTGATGTTATCGGTTAACGGTCGACGAAATACCTAATTTTTTTTTCTGCAAGGAGTCCTAATCCTCTTTAAATGGTATGAAAAAAAATAACTCACAAGAACCGTTTAATGGTAATCATATATGATCAAAATAAAGTTTGCCAGGTCAGCTGGTAGACATATCGCACCCCTAGATGAAAACTCCGGCAACTCAAAAAAACGTTTTTTTCAGAAATGACTAAAAACTGTTTTCGGAGTATTTACTAAAGATATCGAGTATACTAATAATTATTATGATAGGTAAAGTTCTAGAGCCTTTTTAATGACCTACTTTTTAATGCTATTGTCACAAAAGTTAAAAAAAAAACTCATTTTTTTAATTAGTTGTGTTTTCTTTAGGTAATATGAAATTTTCGGCGGATTTTTTTTTTTAATTTTTTTTCGAATTTTTTTTTCAACGGTTGAAGTTAGCTTTACCGGAGTTTGAACTCCGTGTAGGTATTCATGGCGGGATTTTGAAAACGCAACTAACTCAATTTAAGTATTTTTTGAGTTAGTGATGTTTTCATCTAGGGGTGCGATATTATATCCACAGATCCTTATCAAACAATCTTACAACCTAGTCTCGCGTGTTTAAGAAGCCTTGTAACGACCATCCATAAAATATATATGACGACACGACTTCAACTAACGGCCGCTTTTCCTCAAGGAAATAAAATAAAAAAGTTAGTAGGTAATTGATTCGAGCCACGACCGCGTTTGTAGCCAAATGATTAAACGTGCCACGGTAGTGCTAGAGAACCTGGATTTGAATCCCGAGGCAATAAATATTATATTGTCTCGTACAGGGCATAGAATCTGATCAACTACTTGATGTTAAAGAGAATAACAATAAGTAAGTGAAATGGACACAGAAAAGTGTTCACCCCGCGTTCACTTAAAGTTTAGCTACTTCATCAAAAATCGATTTGCAGTTAACATTTTAAACAGTTATAATGTACTCGTTATACGATTACAGTTAATTAAAATGTCTAACCACGTTAACCATAGCAAAATTACCAAATTTAATACCGGTTTTTGCGATCAAAATTTTACTGTCCCGTAAGAAAACTCGGCGCGTTTGTGAGTTTTCCGATAATAGGATCAGGCATAGATTGATACGACCAGTTGGTTTCTCTTGTCACGTATAAAAATGTTTGAAAACTGTAATATTTTTCAAGTTATTGCACATGATGACAATATATAAATTAAAAATCGAAACTAAGTTGGAAAAATTTACAGCTCTGGCAGGAATTGAACCGGCATCTTCAGCGTTCATGCATCAATAAGTTAAAAAAATTCGACGAGTATAGGACTCGATTGGTCAGAGCAAGAGCACGGAACGCTGACAATGCCGGTTCAAGTCCTCTCCGAGTAGTAATTTTTTTCAATTTATTTTCGTTATCTATAAAAATGTTAGCATGGTTTTAAGGGTCGCTGGCTTGTACCTGAATTAATAATAAGATTGGGATAGTACATTATGTAGACATATTGAATGACATATATAACGCTATACAGTGTACCAACTAGCTATATTACTCTGTGGTCAAGTGTGAAGGTGATGTTCGTAATTTGATAGCTTTCGCTGCACGAACATTGATAGTATGCCCTAATTATGAGGCTTCCTAGTTAAATTGACTCGAAATAAAGTGTTTAAATAAAACACTTAAACGGTTTAAAACGCGATATATTAGTTAAACTTATTTGAAAATGATTTATAAGTTAGGCCCGATGTTTCGGTCTCCCCGTGACCACGGCTGCTGCATAGCATTATTTTCAAATAAGTTTAACAAATATATCGCGTTTTAAACCGGTAAAGTGTTTTATTTAAATGTGTACTACTTGCGTAAACTATAGACAGTATTTGAAATAAAGTGGTTAGAAAATTGTATCTGATATAAGCACTTTAATTGTTTTAGTTTAAAGAGTTTAACACACTTAATATATTAGCTAACTTAAAGTCTGCAATGTCACATTAGAGATACCCTCCATCTCCAGTACCCCATGATGACTGTTGCAAATTATCCAAAACATTAAGCAATAGTTACATTAAATCAAAAATAAATTAACCAATATATTTCACCTTTAAAATTGTTAAATTTGTTTTATTACAAATTAATTGATGTTAGCTTTGAAAACACTGTGAAAACGCTTAACTTTAATGTTATGATATCTAAGGCCAAGACAGAGGAGTTACTTAGAGCATTACAGAAACATTCTCAAATATGTTGATAATTTATATAAATAACATTCTTAGACTAGAAGTTAAATGAGGACAAAGTCTCAAGTCTACATTTAAAGATATCTGGATTATTGAAATGGTGCACTTCTTTATAAACGGTAATAGAAATTCTACATTTTTATTTAAACAAGCTATTTACAATGACTAATTATTTTAAGATAAGTTTCATGGTTCCTAAATAAAAGCTATTCATTTTGCTATTACACATTATTCATTTAATTTCAGTTATTCATCACAAAGAAACTTTAAAAGTGAAGGAGAGAGTGAGAAAATATTAGAAAACATTGTAATAATTTTATAAATGGCATGACCAACTAAATTAATAAAAAGTACACTCTGACAATCAAATAGCTTGATTTTGTCTAATATGTAACATTCTCTTTACAGATAGATCTTCACTCATCAATGATTTGAATCCTATAAAATATTGTTGACTAAATAAGAATTATTTTATGACTCACTCAAAGTTATAAATCTTATTAAGTCTAAAGTACACCTATCTTAAAAGACATCCTTGGCACTCAAGATTAATCATGATAAATATATGTTTTTATAAGCTAAGCACAAAGTTCAGAAAGAGCGAAGGTAAAACACGATATTACTTACAATTATTGTTCAGTAACCAGATGTACAATCTATAGCGATTTGTTTCAGTATTAACTTTAATAGAAAATCAATGTGATATCCGCAATATTGTTATAACTGGGGAAATAATATTTTTTACTACTTACCTTCTTACAACACGGTACCGACGGACACACGGACGCAACGAACAAAATAATAAATGTATTAACTTCAGGGTGGAGTGATTAAGTTTAATATTAGCGCACCAAATCCACTATTTTATTTAACAAAATAAAATTCTCAAGTTTTGCGACTCCTTATCCCGTATAAAATCTCTATTAATTTTCAAAGCCCCTCACGTTTGACATTTTATTCGCAAATTAATCTTGACGTTTGGTTGAATGACATTGACGTCTGACCTTAGTATGGTTGTAACCGTCAATATAGATAGTCTGTTAATGTCAACCATTACAGTCGTAACACTGTCTGTAGTTTACGCGAGTAGTACACATTCAAATAGAACACTTTTACGGTTTAAAATGCAATTTACTTTAGTTAAACTTGTTTGAAAATTATTGTTAACTACGGCCCGACGTTTCGGAGGCAGCAGCCGTGACGATGGCTTTATTTAAACATTGCAGTCGTATTCCAGAGTTTAAACGTCAAAGTAAATAATTACATATTATAAATAATTATATACAGGTGACTATTACTAAAACAAACTTATATTTGTTAAATATTTTATTTTGAATAAGTAAATAGTGTTTATTTATTTATTTATTAAAATTCGTACAACATTACATTAAGTTCATATATAACTAAAAATTATGCGTAATTAACTATTTCAGACTTAAGTAACTATGACAGTACAAATATATATTATACAACTATGAATCTTCCTATCTATGAATAAGTGATAATTAATTTAAAGAAATATTTATAATAATTAAAAAGAGAAAAACAAAAAAATCTAAAAGAGTACAAAATGGCATGGTAAGAAAAAAAAAACTTAAATAATTATGTAAACCTAATGTTAATTACTGTGACACAACTTAGTAAAAAGTTGTCTTTTGAATGTGCTTTGCTTGCTCCTGAATATATCTATATCCTTATCTGTGCGACAAAATTTATTATACGATCGTGTTGAATCCTTTACGTAGATTGGATTACCTACATACATAACTTGAATCTTTGGTTTATTTTAATCCTTAGCTTACAAAGGGTTGTTTGCAGTTTTTCGATCATCAGCAAGAAAACAGGCAAGCAGAGCGGATGCTATAAAATTAGAAGAATAAGTTATGTACACATACACCTCTAAAATGGTCTATTTGACAATATGAAAAATGTAGCGTCAATTATTGTTCTATATTAAGCATAAGTTTAGAAATAGTAAAACAGTCATATTTGTATTAGAATTCAAGAATACTACTTTTCTAGGGATTCTTAGCTTCTACCAAATAAAATAAAGTACATATTAAAAATCATTCAAGTAGCCCATTGATATAATCATGAACCACAGCTGAAAAGCCACGAAATTGCGTTTTCATTTTAGTCTGTGGACATCCAAAACCAAAATCGCGCAACTCAAGATACTCTCAGGAGATGTTATATTAGTATTTTAACCTTCTGTCAAGCGAAACCCATGTTTGTTTGTCCTCCTCTTTTAATTCATAAAAAAATGAAATGAATATTATTATTGTTAATATTTTCAATTTAATACGCCTGTGGAAATAAGATACTAAAGTTTACTATACTCACCAGCGTAGATAGACGAAAAGACGTAAAAACCAGTTTCGCAATGGTTTCCTAGCATATAGTTTAGAGTTTGTACTGAGATAATAGTGGACAGGCGACCTCCCGTTAAAATAAACGATACGGCGAAAACTCTGTAAGCAAAAGAAGATTATATTAATTGATGAATGAATTTAAATACTGTTTGTGATTTCCGCGAGTAGTACACGTTTAACTAAAACAATTTAACGGTTTAAAACGCGATATATATAAGTTAGACTTATTTGAAATTACGGGGAGATCCTCCGAGTGTCCTCGTGACCACGGCTGCTGCAAAGCATCCAAAACTTCAGGCCGTAGTTAAAATAATTTACAAATTAGTTTAACTAATATATATCGCGTTTTAAGTCGTTAAAATGATTTATGTAAATATGAATTTTAAAAAGTTTTTTAATATTAATTACTTTACCTTAAATACGTGGGGAACAAATCAACAGCTATCGCCAAATAAATGCCAACTATAGTCATTCCAAGGAGGAATATTATGAAGAGAATACCGCTGGCGATGATATTAGGTACTAGGTTTACAGCAATGCCGCAGAGACCACAAATGGACGTCACAGTTATCACCATGTTGCGGCGGCCCACTTTATTAATTGCCTATTGTAAAGTAAAATATAGTGTAAATAATAAATAATAATAATATTAAACACCGTCTCTAGTTTATGCGAGTACACTTTAAAATAAAACACTTTAATGGTTTAAAACGCGATAAATATTATTTCAATATTTTTGAAAATTATTTTAACTACGGCTCGATTATTTCGATCTCGCCATGACCACGGAAACGTCGGGCCGAAGTTACAAAATCATTTTCAAATAAGTTTAACTAATATATCGCGTTTTAAAACGTTTTATTTAAATTCTCATTATTATTTACTGGATATATCCTTATTCTATAAAGTTGACATTAAGCTATGATTGAGCGCCATGATAGACAGCCATATTGTTTTAGTCCTAGGTTTAAAATAATGAACTAAATTTCTCGACATTCTTTCTACGTCCTTTATTTTAAAACTTTTGTGATAAAGTAGGACTAATAAGGTGAAATACTTCAGTCCTAAAACCTCTCTACAGCTGGTTGCGCTGTCGACCTGTATTTTAGCTTTGATTATTCGGAAATATACATAGACTGATTCCGAAAGTGCGTTTAAATTTCACGGGTTTATAATGAGCGGATGGTTCGTGGCCCGGACGGAATTTTCGATATTCCTACCACCAATTTACTATCGATAAATTGATTAGACACATGTCGGACCCGGTGGGGATAAACCCACGACCCGTTGTTGTTAGCCATACGTTGCCATTTTAAGCTTATATTGTGTACCTTAATAAGTGTACTCAGGAATCTACGTGAATAAATTATTTGGTCTCTTAAATAAAGATTAACTGTAACTTACAAAGTTGGTAATAAAATTAAATGTTGCGAGAAATACGCCAATTGCAAACAGAATGAACATCGCGTTAACATCTAAAGAGCAGGAAGAACTGTCCAGCTGAAATCAAATATTTATGATAAGTTACAATAGCGAAGTTTTTAATATAAAATTAAGTTGCGAGTCGTATGAATTTAAATGAAACTCTTTCCACGGATCAAAACGCCAAACCTATAAGTTTAAGTGTTTGGGGCATCATTTTCAGTTACGCCGTGACCACGGCTGCTGCAAAGCTACGAAACCGCCCCAAGTTTCGGTTTCGTAGTAATAATAAGTTAACTAATATATTTCGCGTTTTAAACCGATAAAAGGGTTTTATTTTAAGTTTTTTATTTACCAAGAAAACGAAAAATTGACAAGTAAAAGAATCGTTTCACCACAACGACCTACCTCTTGTTCCGAAGTATTATTAGAGTTTAAGGCTCCACAGAGCGTTAGGTCTGTTCTTTCACCACTTTTTAATATCTTCATAACATTATTAGTTATGGTCGGTAGCCATATCATGAAAGATGTTACTCTGCGAACAGGAAGAAATTTGTAAATAAAGCAACAATATTTTTAACTGCTAACACCCGGGTCTTCACAATATTGTACCAAATGCTGGTAAAATGCAGTTTCCCTAGTGAAATATGTTGTAAAGTCCTGATTCCTCTACTCTTTTTATTTATAATTAAGTTAGGCTGGAGTTACACGGGTCTCACTCAGCACTTTAACAGGTCAAATTCAATACTTTATTTTTTTTCTATTTAACGAAGAAAAGGTAAATATTTTTGTGTATACACGATTGAACTGAAAGTAATAAGTCCCATGAACAAATCTCTGTTCACTGCCGCAACCAGTAGATACGACTTGTGTGTCCCGACAACAAAACGTTTTTACGGTAATACTAAGAATATACTATTGAGCTTTTGTGGCGGTCCAGGACTCAGACTATTGGAAATTTTTGTTTAGACCAATTAAATCAAAAACTTAACTGTTGAAACACTAAAAGCAGCGTCATAATCACTGTATTCTTCAGGAGAGGCATCTTGAATAATGGAAATATTTGTTCTTTAATCGGCCTGGGTCCATTCTGCACAGCCTCCTCTAATATTTTCTTCACCTGTAATATTGCCTCCATTATTTACGTAATAAATGTTCATGAATAAAACCAAAGAGGATAGTCGTGGTGTATACCACATATGGTGCAGTTAGTTAACTACCTTCTTTTGTGTTGATATTGTGTGAACTAGACAGATCATAAAACGATATGGTTCGTACCAAACCGTATCACCATTAATTTATAACAAATAACCAAACATAGTGCAAACTTCCGTATCCAATATAAGGCAAACATATATAGTTTTAATGTTTACCTAAAACAAGCAAGCAGCCCTCCCCGACATATAGCCCTCCCTGACATATTACGTTGTCCTGGACTTGAATCCCGGCCAGTTTTCGCATTTAACGCAAGTTAAATTAACAGCATCCCTCAAATTAAAATGTGTCAGTCCCACCATGACCACGGCTGCAAAGCATCTACTAAGTAACTAAGTTAACTAATACATATCGCGTTTTAGACACATAAATTACAGACAATACATACCTCAAATTGTTTATTGGACCACCTATGATTTATTCTATGGATATTACTTAGAATTTTCAATGATTCTTGTTCCCTTCCTTTCGCAAATGCAAACTTAGGGCTCTCTTCGAGAGTGTACATCCAAGCTGCTGCCACAAGACTGGGTAAAGAGTATACAACTAGAAGAGTCCTCCAGGAATTCCATCGGATATCCAACATAGGAATATGGTATGAAAACGTCATTGGTATAATTGGGATTGCGAGAACTAAAAAAAATACGTAGCTTAAATTCGCAAGTCTGGTTTTCAAACCGTAGATTAAAAGTCCCTAAAAGTTTCACATATATTTTTTGGATTCTGTAACCGTTTCCGCGGCGCACCCAACGGAAGTCCTTAAGATGAATCATATTCTGTAATCTTACGACATTATCCACTGCTTCGCTCCTATGAGGCGTAACGTGATGTTACGTTACTTACGTGCCTATAGTGAACGCCCGTTTCCCCCTCGTGGGGCATGGGGCGAACACATTTCTGTGTCCGTTTCACCGATCCGTTCTTTAACAGGCAAGTAGTTGATCAGACCTCTGTGCCTTGCCCGACCGAAACGATTTTTTGTTTCCCTGGGATTTGAAGCCAGAACCTGTCGCGCTTAACGCGATGCCAATACAGCCTATAGCCTTCCTTAATCTTTCCAAAGAAAAATATTCCTTCGATTCCAAACCAGTCGTTTTTGAGATTAGCGGTATCAAACAAACATATTAGTAAAGGTTAGTAGACAATTATTAACAGTCTATGGTCCTCCCTTACCAGCCATAATTCCTTGGGAAAGAAGTGATATGCTCACGACTAGAAGAACAGTCATGTTACGTTTGCCCTGAGGCACACTTTCGCTCACCATCGCCATAGATTGCGAATATTGTCCTGATGTTCTGAAAAGAGATATTGTTAATTGTGTAAGAGGTTTTGATAGCATAACCCATATATAGACCCAAATATAGTTTAGAAGTTTAATCTTCTATAAAATTAGTTGATTCTTCATTAAAAATCTTCGTTTTTAAATATTCATGTTAGTTTTCTTATACTTTACAAAAAGCTAATCATCCCCTTTGAAAACTTTAATATTTTTCAAATGTTGTACATGATGGCATTATAGAAATTAAAAATCTATTTTAGATTGAAAACATTTTTTTTACGACACGGCCAGGATTTAAGTTAAAGCAGCAGCACGGAACGCTATGGATACTGGGCAATCAATGAAATAAAAAAAAAACAATCTAAAATATATTTCAAAAATATAAAATCTCTTTGGTTATTTAATAAATAACAAACTCTAACCTTTATGTCGATTAGTGATATTGGGCACACTCAAAATCTTGGCTTCACAACGACATACTTTTAGAAACTACTAAGCCACAAACAAATAATAAAATAGAAGTATATTAACTTACAGCAGTGCTGTCAAAAACTGAAGGCACAACAACATTATCCAGTTAACAGAGAAGCTGGCGAGTGCATTTACAAAGGCTGCCAACAGACAGGAGATTAACAGAGTTCTTCGACGACCGAAGACATCAGCGAGAACACCCCAAATGCCACTGCCCAGGATCAAACCTGGAAATATGAGAGTTGAGTTAGGACATAATCTATCTAATTGCTCGGCTCGGCTTAAGCGATCCACACTCTCAAGATCAGGGTTCCAGCACTGGCAGCCATTTTTCTGATAGAGGAAGCAGTTAGCACGGGCTCGTTGGTGCAATGTAGGGCTTACCAACGGGTGTAGGGTTCGATCCACACAACTTATTTCTAATCAGTTTATAATTTTTCTGAAACATGTTAGACTTCGTCTGGAAAACTATATATTAAATGGATGGTAGGTATATCGAAATTCCATCAGGGTCACGAACTACTATACAGATGAAAAAGCAGTCAAGTTTAATCACGTCTCGGTCAGGTCTGCGGATTTCCGAATGTTCAAAGCCAAAATAGGTCGATAACGCATCTCGTTTAGCTGCTATAGGCCTACCACCTACCACCAAATGAAATCCATGCTTGCCTTTTCTTCTCTATCATAGAAAAAGTTACATTTCGTCTGTGCGAGAAAATTAATTCACTGTTATCTTAATTAAACCAACAATGTTTTATTGCTCTTATTTAAAAGTGATAATTTCACTTTAAAAGTAATTAATCTTCTCAGATAATTATTCTCGCCGTCGTTGACAATAATACTAACTTAACGATGATAAAATTATCATTATTTTATAAGCACTTATCGCTACATTGTATGACTGTGAAACTTCATATCGATCTGGAGCATTGGGCAGACACAACTCTGTGTCCGTTATTCTGGTCAACTCCGATGTCCTGCCTGACTATAACGTTTTCTTGGGATTCGACCGTAAGACATTTAGCCCTTAGCGCAATGTAGCAGGAATATAATTGTTCCAACCTACACAATTTGGAACACCATTAATGAAATATTATTAATTAAATATCGATTTTTATATTGAAAAAATTTAACGACACGGGCAGGACTGCAACCTGAATTCACACCGTGCTGTTGCTCTAACCAATTGAGTTACCATGTCCTGCACGTCTTCGTCGAATATGTCCAAATTAATAATAAATCCACCTATCGCGCTCAATCTGAATTCTTTTATATGTAGGCACATATAAAAGATTTTAAAGATTTCAAATATTAATTATTACCAATAACTGGACCTGCAGCGAGGAATCCCTTCTGCGAGCCAGTTGTCTGCAACTCACAAGCGCTGGCTGGAAGAAGAATTGTGCTGCTGTACGCCAAGCAAACGTATGCAACAGTGTTTACCCCAATTGCCCCTATCAGCAGATAACTGTACAGACCAAAACCTGGAAAAATATTCGAAGCTGTGTTAAATGATTCTGTGATCATGTGGTATTTAGTGACTGTCGTAGTCACTACGACATTCGGCACACATTTTATTAGATATAAAGAAAAAATCGTGCCCTCACCGCTTCTTCCCGCCTCAAAAAAAAAATTATACACAGGAACAAGAACAGGTTACTTGAAAAAGTGATATCATGAAACACATTTCTATAATCGTTGCACTGATCGGTTTTATTCTTCTTCTTCTTCTGTGCCACATACCAATCTATTGCTTCCCCGGGATTCGAACCCTCACGCGCTTAACGCAACCAGGTTACCCATTTAGCTACACCAGCGGTGAAGTCTACTTTAAGTAGTTTAATTATATACTGAAAATCGTTAAATAACTTTATTTTTCCTCATTTTTTTTTGAAACATTAGGTCATAGTTCTGGATAAATTAAATTATAAGATTTAATACATTGAAGATTCCTGTTTAAAATTTCAATAACATATTTATCTTCATCTTCCTCAGTTTTAACTACTTATCCTTTCCTATCTTTAAATATATTTAAATGTCAAATGGGATTGTGAGAGTAGTTAGAGAAGGAGTGATATGAGGTGAGAGTGTCGCGGCGAAGTAGGGTTTCGTCAGGTAATCTTAATTAATAATTAGGGTAGAAATATCGAAATGCCATCCGGGTCACGGGCCACCGTCAACAGATGGAGTGCGTGACGTTGACTCTCGTGTCGATGTCAGTCAGATTTCCGAATATACAAAGCCGAAATAGGTCGACAACATATATTTATATGGTTGGGTATATCACCTTCGACTAAGTGATCCCCATGCATATGTCCTCCTCTATCAAAAAATAGACAATTGACACTCGCTTACCAGCGCTTACCAGTTTTCCTCAATGCATCCTCGAACGTTACACCATTCGTTTCACTCATTTTATCGTAAATATTAAAAAGAAGACCGCATTCGTTCGCATGCTTTTGCAAACGAAACATGAAATAATGATAAGTATAATTTAATGCTAATCGTGCGGATGGTTTAATTAAAAAGGCATTTATAAATTACAAGGTTACCTGTTTGACTAAATATGGTTATATTGAAAAACACAATATTAGTACAGCCTAGCTCACAGTTTTGTCTACTGGCCGTGGACGTGTGTTATAGTGGTTTATAAATAATGAGGCTTTCTTTTTCTAATTGCATATAACAAAATGAGAAGTGCTTATTATACGTTTTTTTACTATATTATCACTTTTACAAAAATTGATTTGGATCAATAGAATGGGGATTCAATTTAATATTTGCAAAAGTTCGTTGTTAAATTTACATTAAAATATATTAGAAAGAAAACATATGCCTAGTTTTTGTGTCGTTTTGTCTCTTCATTACAGTATCATAGAAATACTAAGCGAAAATATCTATAGAAGAAGTATGATGCACATTCTCTTGTCATATGTGCATGGTCATCTATCATACATAAGAACATGTGAAATCTTTACGAATATAAATTATTATGATAATATATATTAATCTGACTTCTGTGCTTCATCGATCGTAACTGTTGTTTGTGGTAATCGAACCAAGACCGCGTTTAACGCTGTAGCTATAGAGCCAAATTAAATAAAACATACAATACACATCATTAATTTATTTATATGATAACCAGTCTTATCTTAAATAATACATTAAAACTAATACTTACATTCCTAAGTAAATAAATATATTATTGCAGTCGAGAATGTCCTTTAAGTAGTTTGTCCTAATATAATACTGTTTCACTTTAGACACTATTCCATTAGAAGTAAATAGCCAATAATTGTTATTGGCAATAGCAATTATTTTTAGGGTTACGTTAGCAAGGAGTAAAAACGGGATGTTATTGACCAAGCTGTACTCGCAATTTGTGTATCTTGTAAATGATACCGAACCCTTCGTACGTAAGTGTTCATCGCACTTGCCCGATCAAATTATTTTACCTCCTTCAATTGCTCGCCTCAGTACTAACTATAGCTTATAACAAAATTTTGTACAATTTCTCTTATAAATACATTAACTTTTAACTTAGCAACCCTTACAAATTTGTACATAAATGATGCCATGTTTATTGTTACATCAGATTAAGAAATTTGTATATGTATCAGTTATCTCGCAAAAAATACACTTCTTTCGCCAAAATGTTAAGTTTTAGACGAAGGACGTAGTACGTCGTACGGCGTACCAGTTATTTCTGTTGAAAGGCGGTTTACCTTAGTATAGATTTAAAGTTGTGTAATATTATTATCGATAGTAATAGCTTCTAGCTATAATTTATTTGGCTACCACCCAACATGGCTACTGGTGGAGGTAAATACTGTCATTTGTCTGTCTCCACTTTCCGTTGCCATTCACGGCTTCTTATCACTAGGCAAGAACCACGTCACCGCTATTGCACCTGAAACAATTAGTTTTTTAATTAATTAAACTGTTTTTAACGTGCTATATTTAGAAGCGAATACAAAGTCATGTAATTGTCAATGTATCAAGTAAATGATTTGAGTTGAGACATCATTAAGTGTCCACAAAACATATGTTTTAACTTTAACACTGTAATAAGTACGCAATCATCCCGAACCAGGAAGGTTCCTCATTTGAATCTAACAGAGGTTACATTTGGATCTAATTTTTTCTTATGATAGAGACCACAGTCAAGCATGGGGTCCACTTAAACATTGTCTATAGTTTACGCGAGTAGTACACATTAAAAAAAAAACTTTTACGGATTAAAACGCGATGTATTAGTTAAACTTATATATCGCGTTTTAAGCCGTTAAAGTTTTTTATTTAAATGGGGTTCTCTTGATATAATATCTAAACAAAATGCTTTCAATATTCTTATCACCAATTTAATATACAAATTTCTAGACCAATAAAACAACATATTTCAAAAAAAGTATAAATCGATTAGCAAAATGTTGGACTCGCTGGGGATCGTACCCACAACCCGTTGATTATTATATATAGCATACACTGCTAGCACTACACGAGCCCATCAATCTAGTTGGGAGTAGATATATTAGGTTCTATTGTTGTCAAACTTACTGAGTAGTAACGCGGCCCAGGCGTAGAAGGTGGCTTCACAATCGACAGAAATGAGATATCCTATAGCGTTGACTCCAAGGAAGGCACTTGATCGTCCCAACATCACGGAGAGACACGAAGCCATTCCTCTGTGAAATAAAAAATAATAATATATTTCCATACACAGAATGAGATAGAGTGTCTTTAGTCCCCACACTAGGTAAAGCCTGTGTCGTGGGTAAAAGTGGAATGTTATGAGTATATATTTAAATCTTGCGATAGGTAATATTATTGAAACCTTTGTATGTCTTTCAGTGCTTTTAATTATAAACGTACTAGACTTCTAATGCAACTAAATAACTGACCGTAGATTAAGACAAAAATTATCGAATACAATTGTAAAGACTGTTAACGGATATCTACGTATAGATTAAAAGAGTGTAGTAAGTACTTGAATAAAACGGTTTAAAACGCGAAAAATATTAGTTACAGGGCGACCCTTGTGAACCCGGCTGCTGCGAAGCATGCGAAACGTAGACCCGTAGAGTACGTAGAAACGTAGATTTTGCGTTTTATACCGTTAAAAGTGTTTTATTTTATTGAGTACTACTCGCGAAAGCTATAAACAATACTTAAATACTTATAACTCACCTGACAGAAGTAGGATAAAGTTCCACAAAGTAAACGCTGAGAATTCCCATTGACAAGGCACACAGTAGAAACAGAAAGAAGAACACACCGCCAGCAATTGGATTAGACACTACGTTCAGCAGTACAGCTGAGACAGCAGATAGAAAGACTATCGCCATCATGGCGAGACGCTTTCTGGAACCGCAGGTGAGGGAAAGTACCAGGTTGGAAGAACTTGCGAGAGCCCCGTACGACATTGCCGAAATGAGGGTGGTCGGTTGGATTGTGTCGTTGCAGATTTCTTGTACGGCCTAAGAAAAAAAATATCTTTTAAATCTATAACTACCTGTCAACTTAGGCTTAAGAAGTCGTTTTTTAAGTACGCGTAATTCCCTCCCCCCACTCCGAGGGGAAGATCTTAGAAGCATTCTTCTAAGATCTTTATCCTCTTTTTATTTAAGCCTATTTTAAGCATTTATTAAACTAATGCTTAAACTCGTTCTATTATACTGTATATGTCCCGTAAAATAAACGGTCTCAACTTAAGTTTGAGTTCAATCATTTTTTTCTAATGATAGAGAAGGAAAGACAGAAATGAAACACCGCAGACTATAGCATCTAAACCATTTTGGTTTTTGATATTCGGAAATCCACAGACCAAAACCGACGCGTGATTGAACTTTACAGCTTCTTCATGTGTGGATGGATCGTTACTTGGACGAAATGTTGATATTCCTACCATCCATTTAATATCCTGACTGTGCAATGTGTTACAAAAAAATTATAAATCTTTAGACCTCGTGGGGATCGAGCACACGATCCGTTGAATACACCAACGAGCAATTATACTTACTGTGTCATTTCCAGCAACATATAGGCTGTCTGTAGAAAATCGAATGACGGTGCAGAGATTCATCCCACTGCCTCCTCCAGTTTCCAAGACAGAGAAGAGATTATTCATGATGTACGGTAGCCAGAGGATGAAGCCGCTTCCACTGAAGAGGATTGGGTTAATTTGAATGCGTTCTTGCCAATTGAATGTATGCCATGGTTTTTGTCAAACAACAGCTATAGAATTGACTTACGTCATGTAGATCACGACAACAAGATAGAACAATTTGAGGGTGTCTTTGAGTAGCGGTCCTCGGAATAGGGCCGTTGTTTGTTGCCAAACGATGGAGAGGAAAGATCCAGTGTCAGCTGCAGTATTCTCTTGCTCTTCTGCCAGCTTCTTGACCTGGAAGCATTATTCAATGTTTAAGATCGAATATAAAGTTCTTCTTGTATGTCTAAGTTGGATCATATTTAGATAAGGGAAACATCTAGATAGATTTGGTTCTAGTGTACGCGAGTACTACACGTTTAATAAAATCAATTTTAACTTATTTAATTTATTAGTAAACTTATTTTTAGCATTCCCCCGTGACCAAATGCCGCAAAGGATCCGTAACGTCGGGCCTAAGTGTAATTAAAACAACATAACTAATATATAGGTTTTAAATCGTAAGAAGTGTTTTATTAAAAAAAAATGCAGTAAACACGAGGATCAGCCATTATTAACACTTAAAGAGGTATTTGATAAGAATAGTTAGTTACACAGCATTACCCATTGGTTTCAGGTTTTTTGTACCAAGGCACATGGTATTACTACTTACGGGAAACTGATCAGCCTTGTGTCCTGTATTACAAGCGTAGATTTTCTTTAGAACAGCTAAAGCTTCGTCGGGCTGACCTCGGGATACTAAGAACTTGGGGCTTTCGTGAAAGAATTGGAGCAGGAAGGCAGTGGCCGCGCAGGGTAAGGACATGACGAGAGCAAGTAGGCGCCAGGGGCGGTAGTTGATGCCCAGGAAGTCGATCCAGTATGCAAATTCCATGGGGAGAATTGGGTAGGCGAAAACTGTGAAGTTTAAAAAAAAGGTTAGGTTTTAATAAGTCCTAAGTTGGAAAGTTAATCAAGTTGTTCTAAGATAATCATGAAAGATAGACATATACTTTTGTGGATAATTTAAAGGGAAAATATGTAATACTTACTTCTTACTTATATTAAAACTTAATTAAGTATAGATTAAAATAAAGAGAAGGTTTCGAAAGAAAAATTTGATTCCTAAAATAACTATTCTTTACGGCTGACACGGCTAGTGATTATGTAAAATTAGAAGTACTTAAATTTTTCTTGAACCTTACCAGCAACAATAGCTTGAGAACACATTAGAGAGCAGGTGCACAGCAGCATACTGCGACCTCGAGAGCGTTCCGGGCAACTTTCCCCAAGCAAAGTATATGCGCCGGAGTTGCTAGCTGACGTGCTGGAATTATAATTATAGTACCACTATTAAATCTTTGCTGAACACGATTTTAGCTTAAGCTGTGCACAGGTTTCAAATGAATGATGAAATCTAGATTTTTTAGCTATTTGTTCCTATAATATTATTGTTTCCTGTTTAATCAATTAATTTAACAAAAAGTTTTAAATTAAAAATTGATTATATATCGAAATAAAATTAACTACACGTGATTTATATAATGCCATTATTTGCAATACATGTAAAAAATATGAAAACTTTTAAACAGTTTTGTAGCTTAGTGTGACAAAAAAAAATCTAAAATAATAAATATAAATAGACACACTAACATTGCTATAATACGAAAATGGAAACAGAAGGAAATCTTCATTCAAAACGTAAAACATAAAATCGACAATTAATTGAAGATGCGCCTGCGCGTAGCAGGATGAGAAATCTTGGAAAACCCACGTTAGTTCAAATATTCACGCACGTAACAATCATGTTTGCATAATTAATAATTATTATAAATATTGGTGTTAGTTTTATTGTTGTCTTCCTTATCACTGTAGCTAAAAATAATTAGTTTAGTCAATATTTATGTTGCCCGTGAGATTACTATAAATTAATATAATATTATGAATGTATTGACGTCAGAGAAATCGCAAATAGAATGTTGTTTCGAACTTAATGACGCGATAGTGTTTTGGGAGTGATAGGCGTCAAATTGTATGATGATAATTTAGTACAGCAATAGCGGCCTAACCTTCGTTTTGTAAGAGGTATAAAAATATAACGTCACAGTACTAGACATGAGGCTGCTAGAGGCAGAGTGGCCTTATAACAAAAAACATGATTTTCAATAAGAGGAAAATAAGAATGCGCAATTAACTTAGGCGAAAATGAACTTGTACTATTATTTGTGTAAGAATTATGTTGTCAATTCGGTCCCTGAGCGCTTGTAGATTAATATAAATATGTGAAGTCATAAAATTGCAGTTAGGCTACTCTGACTATAGCGGCCTCATATGCTTGGTGTATTAGAAATATGTATACTAAGAAATAAAGCTTAGAATTCTGTTAATGTGTTTCGCTGTTTTTTGAAAATGTTAGTTCTTAGTACTTTGGTTGTAAGAAAGTATTATAATACTTTCGTTTCGTTCATACCCAATCTCTTATCAAACTTAGCATCATCTCAATTTTTATTATCTTGAACTTGACCGTAACAAATAGTGACTCAGTATTCGACGTCACGAGATTTCGAAGTGTTATCTACATACTGTATACAGTATAATGCATTATCTAATAATACTGGAATATTTCAGAAAGGCCTTGTACGTAAAAATAAAACTGCGTCTTCTTTGACTCGATTAGTTTCGAAGTTCGTTCATACAATTTGAGGGAAACTGGCCGTAGACAACGATCTAGAGGGATCGATGTATGGCTAATAATCAGTCGGTCCGGGTTCGATCCCCACCATATTCAACATTTTTCTATTTAATTTCTAATTTCTTTACTTTTCGTCTGCTCTGGATATTAAACGGGTGGTAGGAATACTGAAATTCCAGTGCGAGTCATAAACACCGTCCATAGATGAAAAAGTCGTAAACTTTAATTGCGTTTCAGTCTGTGTATTGTCAAATATCGAAAGCCAAAATAGGGCGGCAGTGCATCTTCGATCGAAGCTCTTTATTCTTTTTTGAACCAAGCTTTATAACCACCAAGTACAACGAAAACAGGCAGATTTATCACTTTAATACTTACAAAGTCGAAGACACAAGTTTCATGACCGCCATCGTCTTCCAGTCTGGTGAAAAGCTGCTTAATGCAGCGAATACGAAGCCAACTGACATAGACAATACTAAGGTAAGTCTTCTGCCCTTAGTATCAGAGACGTAGCCCCATAGTTGAGCCCCAAGAACAACACCTGCAAAGATTTGGGACAATCAGAACTATAAAACAGCAATCTATACTAATGTTATATACCTAAAGCTAAAAAGTTTCTTTGTTTGAACGATCTAATCTCAGGAACTACTGGTACGAATTGATAAATTGTTTTTATGTTAAATAGACCATCAATCGAGGAAGACCATATAACATCACATTGCGACCAATAGAAGCGAAAAATTAGAGGAAATGTGGGAATAACGGGGAATATTATTAGTCTTTGAGGACTCTCGAAAAATATATATTATAGAATGATTCCTCTTTAAATAATGTAAAAAATGGCACAGATTACAGCTATAATTTATAACGCTGAGGATGTTATTGGTCAAAAAGAAATCGATACCCAAAATAACTATTCCACGCGGGCAAAGTCGCGGGCACAGCTAGTATTTTTTGTAATTAAAATTTATTTCTTACCAACTAAAGGCGTAGCAGTGAGCAATGCTCTTTGCTGCAAGCTCAGCTCTAGATCGCAAACAGCAGCAGCAACCACGAAACTGGTGCCGAAGAGATCCATGCCCATCGCTTGAAGTGTCCAGCTGCATATTAGCAGTAGGCCGAAGTTGTACTTCCCAAAACCTGTAATATGAATGATTATTAATGGTATGGTAGGAGCGATCGTACAGTTTCTGTAAATACTTATACGTTCTGTAAATAGTTGTTGATTAGCATTGTGTTAAGCGCAAGAGGTTCTAGATTGGAATCTTAAGGAAACAATAAATTGTATCGGTCGGGCAGGGCCTAGAAGTCTGGTCAACTAATTGCCTGTAAAAGAACTGATCACTGAAAGGGAGGCAGAAATGTGGGGGACTGAAAACTTTAGTTTTCAGGAGCGCTTAAAAACTATGGAAGAGTTAAATTTGAGTTTTCTTTAACTTTTCAAATAACGGTGTAGATCTAAATGGTACATAATTTTAATTAAAAATTTGGGTAAACTTAAATTCTGTCAATAAAGTCGTTTTTTGGTTACATAGAGCTGACAACAAATTCAATTAACTGTGCAGTGCAATAAAGAGTCTTCTAGTCTTAATTTCAAATTAAGTCTTTAAAACTTTTTGTTTGTTAAAATTGTCGCTATGACATTGCAGATAAAAATATATATAAATGGAGATACACGGACAAACAAACGTATTTATACACACTTTGTTTACGCGAGTAGTACACATTTAAATCAATTTAAAAAATCATTAAACACTTTTAACGTTATAAAACGCGCAATATATTACTTAACTATATTAGTTTCGGATTCTTTACAGCAGCCGTAGCCCTCCGTGGTACCGTAGCATTCTAAACGTAGGGGGGGGGTAGTTAAAACAAGATTTAAAAAAGTTAATTTAAATATTTGTCGTTTTAAACCGTTAAAAGTGTTTTATTTGAAATAACGATTTTCTTATTAAAATTAGAGTCGTCTGTCTAAAGAGTAGTGTAATAGGAAGACATTAGAAAGTACCTGGTTTTCTTGTCTGTTTTGCTTACCTGTAGCAGTTAGTGCTTCTTCTACAGTAGCTACAGAAAGTGGCCTCTTTTCCTCTAACTTCAGATCTTTCTCAGCTTTGATGTGCATATCTAAAACAAAAATTAAGTATATCAACATTCATTATACGTGTTTCCCATTATAAAATAACATTCTTATAATACTACTAGAAAATTTGTATGAGTTTTAGTTAATTAAGACAAAGTTCCCTACACATTTAAAATATTATTACGAAGAAAATAAACAACGGTTTACTCTTATTGTCGAGTTTTATTTATTTCTAAGTTAGTTAGGTTATTTCTACATAAAGAACATAAACTGTTAAGTAATACTTTAAAAAATCAGCGTCAAAACCACAGGTCTGATGATTTGATAAAAATAACGAAAGGCGTTGGGAGTTATGTAGACGTGTTTTATAAAACAATTTATACGTCAAAATGCGTATAAAAATTTAGATTTAATCACACTCCCTGTATGTACGGTAATTTTATTTCTAATGCCCCTATTTTAGTTTTTTATTAGTTAAATAATACCGGTCCGAGTAACACATATTTACACTTACTTGTCATTGCATATTTTCTGAAATAAGTATAGCACCACTAAGTGAGTTTTAATGTTTAAATTTAAACTAACTGGAACGAAAAAAGCTCGTAGGTTGTTTATTTTTTTATTTTATTGTTTTTTACACGCTAATTCAGATGAATTCCCAGGCGAAATTGTAAATTTTGTACGAACGTTTCCGAAAAGATTTACTTTTATATTTAAACAACCAATCGTTTTAATATACCAATGGTAATCGGCAGACAATTTTGACCGAATAAAAATAAACCGTAGATTTTTAATTTGGTCCAATCCACAAGAAATCTTGTCTAGTCTTGGACAGAAAAATAAACGATTTTTCATTTAGCTGGAGTAACTCTAAATACATTGAAAATTTGGTTTTACGAGTGCAAATTAGTAGTTGTATTATATAAAATTTTTCTCTTACAAGAAAATTCTGTGAATTTTCCACCTCAGTGTGTTCATCACACCATTACTTACTTTGACGATACTGCCGACTGATGTCTCGTGTTTTGAGCTGAAAAGAAACGCTCAAAGAGCCATAATATGTTCAGCTTACCTTCTGATTACCCAAAATACTATAAAACGAAGACTCTCGATCTATCGATGGTAACAGTGCCTTATCAGAGCAATTTTAAACAATGGATGGGAGGTGGATGTTCCGCGTCTTTTATATCAAGATGGTTATCTATGGGTGTTATTTAACAAATAAAGATTACAATAAATATAATTAAATGTTATATATTAGTCGATGCTTCTAAATTTAGAAAGGTAACGTAATTCTCTGACGCCGATGGAATCGGCGTAAATAAACAATCTGGTTTGTGGAAATTTTTCATGATTAAAAGTCTTGTAATAACATCTCTTTTGTCTACATAGTTCAGTGGTTAGTTCGAAGCATTGAGGTCCCATGTCAACTACAAAATATTTAGCGGGACGGACGACACAAGACCTTAACCACTTCGTCTGGATATCTAGATATTAAACGGGAAGTAGGAATATCGAAATTCCATTCGGGTCCCGAACCCCCGTCCACAAATAAAAAGGCCGTCAATTTTATTTAAATTTAATCGAGATAATTTAAGTTTAATCGATGAATAAGTCTAGTATAGTGTTGTGCTTTATTTCTAACAGGAGGTTAATGTCTTTATGACTTTACTTAAGAAATGTATGTTTTATTTATGTTTCACTTATTAGCAATTTAATACTCTGGAGGATAACTGTTATATTCGATGGTTCGATGTCAATCCTCGACCACATGCTAGGAACTCCCTCCATCTTTAGTCCCCCGGTGACCACGACTGCTGAATATGGGAAGTAGTTAAAAATCAGTGTTCCAAAATATTGTCTTTTAAAAATATGTAATACCAATTTTGTTGCATATTTACTATTTTGATTTCATCTGTGGCATATTTGTATACACAAAATAGTTTAAAATATATACTTAACGAATTTAAAATCTCGTGAAAATTAAAGACCCATTCGTACTTATTAAAGTAAGTGTCTGTAGTTAACGCGAGTAGTAGACATGCAAATAAAACATTTTAACGGTTTAAAACGCGAAATATAATAGTTAAACTTAAATTTTGAAAATTATTAAGCCGTCACCCCTTGACCACGGCTGCTGCAAAGCATTCGAAACGTCGTGCCATAGTTAAAATAATTGATACTCATATATTTCGCGTTTTAAACCGTTTAAGTGTTTAAATGGATGGTAATGAATTTATTTATGAACACAGGAAGAATATTAATAGAAAGTTCTCCATATATAAGTTTTATTGCGGTACTTTTGGTATCTTATCTAGTTCGTGTTATAAACATTAGTATAATTAATATTTACTTGAGCTACCTAGCGGGCAAATTGATAGATACAGATATATTTTTCAAAGCCTATGATAGTATAGGATAGACTTTTTCACGTCCATATATATTGAGGTCTTTCCAATATTAATTATTACTTTAAAAACGGTTAAATTTTTAAATAAGAAGTAGTTAAACATTACAATTTTAATAAGAATTTATAACATGATAACTCTTGGGTGGGGACACAAATTCCATTGTTTTTAATTTTAATACTGTCTACTTATGGCCTATTTATCGATATTGACTGTATTTTGTTTTCAATTATTTTATTTTATTTTACAGACAGAAATCCATTCCTAAAAATCCCTTGCTTTCGAGGTTCTTGAGAATCAAAGTCCTAATAATTGGTTTTCGCTTTTTAAAAATATTCCCGTAAAAATCTGTATACAAAAAAGGAAAGAAATAGTTACACTTGATAACATTTTATTTATTTACATGAAACACTTTTAACAGTTTGAAACGCGAAATATATTAGTTAACCTGTTTTCAATGTATTTTATTCAAAAACGGTATATTATAGTTAGTCGGTTCTGTAAAGACCCAGGCCCAGCCACCAAATACCGATTACGACGAAACAGATGGCGTAGCAGTTTTGATTTTGACATTAGGGACACCCTCCATATTCAGACCCCACCATGACCACCGCTGCTGGAAATTAAATAAATAATAAATAAGTTACTTAAAATATTTCGCGTTTTAGGCCCTTCATCATTATCAGCTCGTTGGGGTCCACTGCCAACAGCCTCTCCCAAAGCTTGCCAGTCGGCCCTCTCTTGGGCTCCAATCTAGTATATGTCGGCTCCAACGAGCATCTTCTCTTCTGTAGACATGGCCAGCCCATTGCCATTTCAACTTGCCGATTTTGCTAGCAATATCCGTCACTTTCGTTCTTTGGCAGATGACTTCGTTTCTAGCTTTGTCTGCAAGATATATACCTAACATAGCTCTCTAAGTCCTTAAAAGTGTCTTATTTAATTGTGCACTACTCGCCTAAACTACAGAATATACAAAATTTACCAGATCTCTTATTTTGTTATAGTCAACTTATATTATAATGTATGGCATCTTAGAATATCGGTCAAGTCATATATCTGTAAGGACTTATAATCTTTATTTTAAATTTATAAACAAAGTTAGAATATATCAAAAAGGCTTAGCTAAACGACCACCCGTATTGAATTAACCCGGCAATGAATTAATCACAAACGATACTTAAAGATTATTTATTTATTTTATTACCAGTTTAAGTGGGTTCTGCAAACGGAACTAACTTATAGTAAAGTACAGATTTAATAAATTCAGTTTACTACATAACTATTTAAATATGTCTATTTTATATGTATGTGTTCGTTTATTGCATAAAATTCTGGTCCCACACAGAGGGAGCACGAGGAGTAGAAAAAAAATGGAGAGAAGAGCACCGGATTTTTCTGAAATATCATGGACTTCGTCTGGTAATCTGGATATTAAATTGGTGGTAGGAATTTTGAAATTTCGTCCGGCTTCCGGTTTCAGTCTGTGAACTTCCGAATATCGAAAGCCAAAATAAATCGAAAGTGCATCTTGATTAGATATTATATCGCTTGAGCATTTCACCATTAATTATCAAATAGATCCGAACGAACTAACTAGTGTATGAGAAAATAAAGAAATCTTTAATGATGATAGGGGCGTATTCACAGTAAATAACGGATCGGCAGTAACTCACGATAATTTGTAATTATCGCAATTTCAATTAGTTATTAATGATTCTATAATTTATATTTTTGCTGCGACGATGAAATAAAGGTACAGTACGTGTTTTGTGCTCGCCCCTGGCGTATGGAGACTTTTTTATTTTGTCATTCTTATTTGACTCTAAGTTTATAAGGTAAGAATACCAGAATTGGAATTAAAGAACACTGTAGCTAAATTAAAATTGGAAAATAAATAAAAAATTGTACGACGCGGGCAAGACTTGAACCGGCATCGTCAGCGTTCTGTGCTGTTGCTCTAACGAATTGCACTGACGAGTCATTGTCGCATTTATTCAACCTATTGATACCTGCACCTCCCGGGCAATGAAATTTCAATCTTAACACCTACGTATTAAAAATGTTAGTTCCGTTGCCCTTGTGGCATGACATATTACTAGGTCCGGATTTCAGATCCTATTTATATATCTTCAGCCCCGTCCGACTACACTCGTTTTGAAATAAATCTTGTTGAAAAGGAGAACAAAGAGCTACCCACATTTTAGGTGTCACATAGGTTTATACAGAACAACATCAATGACACTTAATTTTCAGGACTTCAAAAAAATTTGGTTAAAACTCCCATCGCTTTGGCTATATTTAGTCTAAGACAAAATGTTGTCTTTGAAGCGTATCTTACTTAGTATTTTAGTAGTACATACTTAGATATTTGTTTTTTTATTTGTAAATGTTTAAAATTACTTAAAATTTACGGATTTATGTAAGAAATGTGTAGAGTGCAAGCAAGTTAATTTTGTATAATGAGAGGACAATCGTTTTCGGTGGTAAGTTGTTGAGACCAATGTTTGTTTACATTTCTACAAATTCAGTTGGAACAGAGTATATAACAATTTTGTATGTGTTACTAAACTTCCCAATAGAGATTAGTTTAAACTCAGCTACCAAAGAAATTTTTCGTGTAAAGTTATGATTTCTTAAATTAGTCGTTAGTCTATTCTGATGTATTTTTTTTCTAGCACAGTGTGTGATTATTAGTATATATTTGTATTTAGGAAAACTAAGTTTGATCTAATGAACTTGAATGTTTTATATTTTTGAAGTGATTTAAGAACCATACAAAAATATGAATATAACAACCATCATAATTCTCGTGAACACAAAGAAGAATAGTTGTGAGAAATATGCGTGACAGTCAACACAATATCCGCAAAGGAAGAAAAATAGACACTAGTAGATAATTACATTGCCTAAGTTAAACATACCTACTGTTAAGAAAACAATGCGTCTGTTTGTATCTTAGCTAAACAGAAGAAACGTACTCAATTGTATTATATTATATTAATATTATTTCCAATCTTGATTGCTGTGTTTACCAGCAAGGGAATACCAACAAACTTGTAAAGGTCAATAACGCTAGATGGCGCTGTCTTACATTTTCATTGCCGCCATTTGTACCGCAATCCGACCATAATTATTGCAAAAAAGTAATTACAAGTTACTTAGGAATTAACTAATCGGAAAAGTTGTCTCGCCACCGCTCACTGGCTAAGGTGGAACACGTTTAGAGATAATCCGGTAAATGTGAAAGTGTTCGTATAGGTTTAGTTGTACGGACGCGGGCGATAACTTAACACTCAACTCGGAAAATTATTACAAACGCCGTCACCATGCGAATACGATTGTGCCCGCTTTCCTTTACGTAAGAAAACATTTTCACCTATTTAGCGAAGTCCTTGTTCGTCCAATGGTAGCAATGCTTATCATCAACGAAGGGCACTGTCTGCCCCACGGCCCATGTTAGGAACACAAGATTTACGACACTATCTCGCTATTTATTAGTCGTATTTTACCCTTTTCAACAGACCTTTCAGTTCTGGATAATATAGAGTTTTAACTGTCGTCCGATAGTATTTTTTTTATTAGATAACAGACAAGCAAGTAAGCGGAACTTGATTAACCCCCTTACTTTATTAACCACCCATATGACATCTAAGCGAAATGTGTTGTCGACCTACTTTGGCTTTGGCCATTCAAATGCACATACCAAAAACCGAAATGCACATTTACAATACACAATTTTATCTATCTATGTGGTTCGTGATCCGGACGGACACACAACATTCCATTTAATGTCCTCATTTTTCAGATTAAGTCCATAACCCGTATATTATAGATATTGAACCGAGTGGGAATAGAACTCACGATCCTTTGTTAGTCATACGTGATATGGGCCCGTCGAAACAGATAACGAAATTACTCAAAATGTACTCCAAATTACTTATATTGATGCTAAGCACAGTTCCGTTTAAACAACAATTAACACTTACAAAATATAGAATAATTCTCGCAACAACATCATTAGCACGTCTCTGTGCAAATATTGTAATGGCTTTGAAATTCCCGATTATATTGTGAATGGGGAATTTGGAGGTCCTGGTTTAGTTGTATTCTGTGCTCTGCAGGATGGGGACGAGAGACGAAGGCGGGGAGAAGGTGAAGAGTGTGATGGAAACAGATTTGGAGACGGCTTTGGACATCGCTGGTAAGTGTTTTGAAAACTTTAATATTTTGTGCTTGTATTTGCAATGCTGTCTGTAGTTTACGCGAGTAGTCGACATTTAAATAAAACACTTAAACGCCATGCGTGTCTGTCGTTCTCTATTATAAATAAAACGAAACAAAACAGCAATTAAAAATCGATTATAAATTGAAAAAAAAAATGCAGCTTAATCAACATATGAGAAAGATAATTTAAGTGAAGTTAATTAACATTTAAATAAGATAAGCTTCCGAAACATCGGGTCGTTACAGACAGAGTAAATATCGCTTTTTAAACCGTTATAATAGTTTTTGTTTAACGTGTGCTACTTGAGTAAACTATAGACAATAGAGGAGTATCAGGAACAATTGAATTTACCTAGGACTATATAAACATGTCGTTCTTTCTTCTTGTGCTATTTTACAAATGACTCCGTCCTTCGGTAGGGTAGGTTTTGGTTTGCTAAAATTTAATTGTTTTGAACTGACAATAGATTCAAATAAGAAATACAAGGGAGAGAAATATTGTGTTTATTGCTTAGTTCAAGAAGATTTTTTAATTTTAAAACTACTACTCCACTAATAATTATGTATGGAGAAGAATGCCATTGACTTGTATGATTTCTAAGAAGATTTCAGTGATATACAGCTATGTTTAATTATAATACAGCTGAGGGCGTGTTTAGTAAAAGCTAGAATAATTAATAATTAAAACAACACTATAAGAAATAAAAATAAATGAAAATTATTCAATAACAAATCACCAAAGTACTGTATTTTTTTTGTATATATTATTAGCTCTATAGATGGTTAAATCTCATTGATCTAATAGTTCTGCTCGAACGCAGATCATATCGTGCAGGATTCGAATCACGGATCCGACAAAATGTTGGTTGGTTATTGAAGTTTCGTAACAAAGTCTACAAGAACGTAGTATAGAATAGATGACATTAATAGTTAAAAGTAGTCATTATAGTCCGCCAAACCACACTGGATGGCTGGATGGGCTCTTAGCACCCTAAGTATTTAAACCCTATTAAAGTAGAAACCAGTAAAGAAGTGTAGTGTAAGTTCTAGGTAGCTTCCATAACAGCACACAATATATTGCCAGTTGTCATGGTAACCAGTCTTTATGTTTAAGATAGATTAGACATTCGCAAATGTTTGGAAGAGCAGTTTGCAACACGATAAGTAACCAATAGTCATCATTACGGATCGCTCGGAAAATTTTCGATTGTCGTGGAAAAATCTTAAGCTAACGGTACATGCCAACATTATGTACCTTATCTCTTTGTACGTGCGTACGCACGACGCAGCGTAAAAGGGGGTAAGGACGACTTAATAATAAAAGGTGCTTCTAAGCATAAAATTCTAATTACCTATGAGTTAGACGCCCTACGTTAGATGAGGGGACTTCCCTAGTCTATAATTTCTAAACATAGAAGTGTTGTCTGCAGTTTACGCGATAAGTGTAAATAAAACACATTCAAAACGTCGCGCCGTAGTTAAAAGAAATTATACACAAGTTAACTAATATTAAATGAAACACCTAAACAGTTAAATAAAACACTTTAACGGTTTAAAACACGATATATTAGTAGAACTTATTTGAAAATGATTTTTAACTTCGGCCCGACGTTTCATATACTTTGCAGCAGCCGTGGTCACGGGGTTAAAATAGTTTTTTAAATTAGTTGAACTAATATATATCTCGTTTTAAACCGTTAAAGCTTTTATTTAGATGTGTACTACTCGAGTAAACTACAGACAGTATTTAAGTTTACTAATACATTTCGTGTTTTAAAAGGTTTGACTTATTTTCAAATATTCTTACTGCTGTCGAGTAGAAACGGAAAATGCAGTAAATAAATAAATGAATCCGTTTCATTTCTTCATTAATTACTAACGTGTTCTTTGAGGTGGAAACGCGTGTTACTCGCCTGTTTAGCTTATGTAATTAACGCTTATGCTCATTGTTATTTTTTATACTTTGCTAAATGTAAATTTATGATGTAATACTAGCTGTGTCAGCGACTTCGTCTGGTTAGAATATTTTGGAGATCCAAATTTGTTTTGAAAGATACAAAACAAGGAAGTGCTTAAAATGGCTGACTGATCGAAATTCTTTATAGTCTTTCTTCCTACAGGGATTCGAACACAGTCCTGTGTTTAAAACTGAATTGAAAGTTTTATGAAATTTATACAATTTTGATCTACAAAGGTGATCTATATAATATGTCGGGCCGTAGTAAAAATAAATTTCAAAATAATATATTTCGCGTTTAAAACTGTTGAAAGTGTTATATTTAAATATATGGATAGGCAAGTAGTGTTTACTTCTCGCGTAAATCACAAGCAATAAATAATCAACTTACAAAATTGCCCAAAACCAATATATTAAATAAATGTTATGAGTTATATAAGACTAAGTAGTTAAAGTTGTTCTATGTGCTGAATAAGTTGAGTTATGTTAGACAGGCAATTAATTACATTTATAGGCTAAAGTTGATTTCTAGATACGAAGTAATTGCCTGGAAATCTACGTTTAAATAAATTTCGCAAGAACCTGTCTTGGATACGTGGAGTATATTTGCTTGTAGTAAAATTTACTGGTCTTTTTGGGATGTAATCAAGATCGATCGAAGCGTTCCGTCGCTCAAGTACAGAATTAGACCAGAAAACTTAAGGAAACTTGATTATGTACCCAGGTACGAAATGCCGCTAACGAGCAATTCGTATGGCGAACGTACCTGGGAGTAGGTACATGTTGCCTCTGTACTCGAACGACGACAGTAATACGCACGATGCTGTTGGTTAGTCCGGATAGATGCGGGGGGCTTTTAAAGAGCTTTTATAGATGTATGTCGTACCAAAGCCCGGTTCGCATAAACCGATAGACGGTTTCTTTAGCGGTTTAATTGTGTTAAATAAAACGATGTTGGTAAAATATAAAAAAAATAGCTTTGAGTACAATCAAATTAATTTTATCTTGAATTGAAAGTATGAAGGAAAAAGACCTATAAAATATTTTATAGCAATTACGCTATGTAAGATTGCAAAATTGTTTTTACAGGCGCTGGAAAATACCAAATATTTCATTGTTCGTTGATGGTGGCAACACTTGGAGCGGCCATTCTGGAGATGATAGGCTGTGCCTTTCTGCTGCCTTTGGCTGCTTGTGACCTTCAGTTGCCTGATCATTTACGCGGCATTATTACCAGCATTCCTAATATTGGTATTTAAACAATTGTAGATATAACACTATAATAATTTATTAAGCTTCAAAAAGATTAAAAAGCATTTTTATTAACAAGTTGTTATGGCGATGTCGCTGGACGGAAATATTTCACCCTTCTATTAATGCCACTAATTATAATAATTACTAACTATACTCGACTTATTATCTTTAGTCACTATATTATTTAAAAATCGAAAATAAATTGAAAATATTTTTCATGTGCAATAACATGTAAAAAATAATAAAGTTTTTAGTCACTATTATAAAAAATGAAATGTTTGTATTTGCGATGAATACAAGACGAAATGTTTTCATAATCAGTGTTGTAGCACTGTTCTGCAACCTATGCAATGCAAGCATCATGTTTCTCAATTTCAAAGTAATATAAGTAAATTCATTTTATATTACTTAATGTTTATATTTATTATGTACCAGTATTGTTTGAATTGTATGGCGAATAAAGAGTCTTTTTTTAATTTGACTAAATTATGTAGTAGGACTCGAATTCACTGCAGTCCTTCATATTACCATATACACTTTTTTCTAAATACGGTAACTTTTAGCATCCACAATTTTTATTAATAAAAGATAACATTACAAAGTGCTACCCAAATATATTATAACGCCTGAAAAATCTTTCAGAGACGATGAGTGAAGTGAGTTTTAATCTGAAATTAATTTGATTAAAACATAGCTTAATTAACAAAACAACGATATTGTGTGCGGGTTCGTGTCCCGTCTGAGGCATGAAATTTGAGCCTTTTCTGCCTTTCAGGTATAATACTGACTGCTCCGTTTTGGGGTCCCGTGGCCGATGCGCTGGGCAGAAAACCTGTACTTATTGTATCAACTATGTTGTCTGGTATTATTAGCCTTCTAGCCGCGTTTATGCCAAATCTTCTCACATTTTCACTCTGTAAGCTGGCTGGATCATTATTGTAAGTACTCATTATACTTAATTTTTATTCAACATAAAAACGCATTACCAATGATTTAAAAAAATTTAATACTGTTCATGACGTTTTCCATGTTAAATATTTAAAAAACAACTCGAGCATTATAATCTTAAACACTTTTAACGGTTTAAAACAGAAAATATATTTTACACGGCTACTACAAAGTTTAAAATGTCTGAAATGTCGGATCGTCGGTAAAAATAATTTAATAATTATATTTTCTTTTTTATTTTTTTTTTTTACCTCTTTTTTTAAAAAAAAAAAAAAAAAAAAACCCAAAAAGAAAATTTATATTTTTGAATTTTTTTTAGTTAAATAAAATTATGCTAATCAATTTGCAGCTTGTCTTGTCCGTCATCTCTGGGCTTTGCTTTTGCTGGTGAGCTCATGCCACGAAGAAGGAGGGACATGGCCGTTTTGATATGCAATGCATCTCTAATGCTTATAGCATCATTATGTCCTAGTAAGTACTTTGAAGTGTTACTTTCGTCTACCATCATTAGTTGTAGACATGTTTCAAAGTTTTTTTTTTTTTTTGATTATATCATATTGTGCATATCACGTTAACATTAGTTAGTTATTGGCTCAGAGAAGCAGGATTTAAATATATAATTTCAAAATTCTCCGCCGTTAGAAGCAAGACTCACGAAACAATAAAACAATAATAAAATGACACTTGTACTAAAAACATCTTCCAAATGAAAAAAAAAAATTCGTTTCTTGATTAGGTCGGCTTTCAGTTGTTATGAATGCATTATTCATTCAGAAATACATTGTACTTTTATTTTTAAATTATATATCTAGTTTATAGTTTTATTTCGCCTATCTTGTACATCTTGTTTTCCCCTTCTTTTTCTTCCATTATTGCTTTACTGGAAGAAATCGCTTCACAGACAAAACCGCCTACTGCACTCTATGCTATAAGTTGTACGCGGGTTTGTGTTTTTTTTTATAAATACCAATCTTTTTTTGTTTTTTAGTACTAGCTTGGATAGTCTTCGCAATAGATTGGGAAGGCTACTCAATCAATATACGACCCTGGCGCATTCTGACTATAACGTATGCGCTGCCTCTCATTCTATCTGCATTATGGATGACCCAGACGAAAGAAAGCCCCAAGTTCCTCATGAACAGGGGCAAGGAGGAGGAAGCTCTCGATGTTTTGGGGCATATCTTTGCGTTTAATACGGGGAAATCTGCTGATGAGTATAAGGTACTTAACGATTTTATAACTAAAGATTTCACTAAATTTGTCGCTCTGTCTGTTTACTGGTATGAACGTAAGCATTGTCTGTAGTTTACGGAGTTAAACGCGCCTTCCCCCCCCCCGCCATATTTCCTCCTAAACGACGCGCCGTAGTAAAATATTTTTGTAACGAGATAACTAATATCTGCGTTTTAAGCCGTTAAGTTAAAAATCGTAATAAATTAATTTTGAAAAATTCTTAGTCAAATTGTCTAAGTTATTATTGATTTAAGTGATCTTTTCTAAATTTTAAGTTATGAGGTAGAGGGTGGAAGCTTGTTAATATAGACGAAATTCTGTGGAAGGAGATACGTATAAAATGAATCTTAAAATTTAAAGTGTAGTTGTTCTAATTTATGTACTTTTAAACGGGTATTATCAGCGTCAATTTAGGATTATATGTATATAGCTTATTTATTGTGGCCTAAGTTTACTATGTTCATTACTAGCATATATATATTTACACTATGACAATAAGTTGACATTTTTAGGTTTATAAATTAGGAATCGTTCTATTCTTGATTGCACGTCAAAGCCTTATTTTAGTTACGTTTGAAATTCATGCATCATTTTTCAGGTCACCTCGTTAAGAATGTCGGAAGACAACCAAACCAGCGATGATGGCGAATCAAGCAAGAGAAGAAGAATATCAGCCATCGCACTCCTCAAAACTCCGCACGTGAAATGGTTGATGCTTCTTGGCTTTTTGATGCTGGGTCTCTTTTCATTGTAAGTGTTGTTTGATGTTGATAAAGTTTGTATGTAAATATTTTATACCCACGTTGACTTTTAATATTTCAAAAGTATCCTCTAATATATCCCTGTATGATAATAACTCAATTAAATTTAAAAACCGAAAATAAATAGAAAAAAATTTCGACTCGGGCAGCTACCGAGCCTACATCTCATCGTAGAATTTTTTCAACTCGCACACTGCATGCACCTCTCGGGCAATAATAGTAGCTCAATTGGTAGAGCAACAGCACGGAACGCTGACGATGCCGGTTCAAGTCCTGACCGAGTCGAATTTTTTTCCAATTTATTTTCGATTTTTAAATGATATAGTGCCTTAATGTGCAATACCATGTGAACAATAGTAATGTTTTCAATCTCAATTAAATTTTTATCAAAATTCGTTTAATCTTGTATAAAAAAGTGACAAACTATTAATATACTAGATGATAACACTAGTCGATATGGAAACATTGTATGGTAGTTGTCTGGGGGGCATGAAAATTAACTAAAACAATTAATAAAAAATAGGGGTTGGTGATGAAAACTAAAGCTGCGTGTATTTTTTAATGCCAAACTATATTAAAATGTAGTCGATAGCCCTTATCTAGTCATAACATTTTTATAAACATTTTATTTGGGGGGTAAGAAAAGAAGATCGTAACTGATTCACAGACCTACTGGATATGCAAATAACATCTTATAATAATTTACCGAACAGTTTTATTTAAGATAGAGAACAGACTAGCCGGGGTTCTCTTGATGGGAGGTGTAATATCCTAGCCACATGTACACAAGATGTGTTGTAGATCTATTAACCAAAACGCGTTTACAATATACGGCTTTATTTTTGCGGATGGTGGTTCGTGACCCGGACAGAATTTTGATATTCCTACAACCCATTTAAGATCCAGATTTCCAGACGAAGTCAATCATGTTTCAGAAAAATAAGTTTATATGAAAAATGGTTGACTCAGTGGGGATTGAATCAACGACCCGTTGTTTTATTATTAGACTAACGAGAATCAACGAAAAACTTTTGGAGGAGTCTGGTAACAAACACTGTGACACGAGAATTGTGTATTTTATACTATATAATACTGTTTTTCTTACCTAAAACAAGCTTTCCCTAAAAAATCACTAAACTCTCACGAACAATCTGCCTTTGAACAACATCTACAAATAACACCTATAGTAACAAGATGCTCTGATTACAATCAATTTAATAAATAATTTCGCATAATTAATTGCGAAGTCAATAATCCGAGAGTCAAAGACCCCATCTGTGTACAAAGCAGGGAATTGCTTTTTTCTTATTGTATCGATGATTTATAATATTGTTTATTTATATTCTGATACATTGAATTCTTATTAATAATTGAATGGTTAATCTTATAAACTGCTGTTTATTAACTTGTTCCAATATTATCATTTTTACTACTCACACACTCGGCTAGCGCACCCAAATTTAACGCTTCCCACTGCATAACAGCATAACATTTTTATTTCTAACTTCTAGAAGAACGATGCTATTTAATGCTATTGTGAATAACATTACTAACACATTCCGCGTTTAAAACCGGTAAAAATAATTATTTGCTTTCAGATTAAACGGATTGTTCCTATTCACGCCACACACAATAAACCAAATGATGACAAAATCAACAAATGAGACGATTTCTATTTGCCTGTCTTTGAATCAAGTTGAGAACAGTGTAAGTGATGTTTGAAAGCTTTAATATTTTTCACATGTCGGCACTATATACACAAAAAATCGATTATGAATTCAAAAAAAAATCGATTGTAACTTTTATTCAATTTACAATCGATTTTTAAATTAATATTTTTTAAATATAACATTGTCTGTGACTAAAGTGGGATCAAAGATTAGTATAGATATTAAATGACCACAGACTAGTGTCTGTTTCAGGATTCAAATTTGCGTTGCGACTAACCCCAATAGGCTTGACGTTCTAATGATGGTATGCATGGCTAATAAGTCGCGGGTTCGATCCCCACCAGATACAACATGTTCCTCATCAATATATATTTTTTAAACATCTTCGTCGTTCGACTTCGTCTGGACATAAAATGGGTGGTAGGAATATTCAAATTCCGTCTGTGTCACGAACTACCACAGATTAAAAAGCCGCAGCCGAGTTTAATTGCGTTTCGGTTGCAGTCTGTTTCCGAATAACAAAGCTAAAATAGGTTTATACCGCATTAGTTCAGATGATATATAGATCGGTTGTATCGTCAGTTGAAGTCTGTCTGTTTCTCATAAAAAATACATATACAAACTTTTTCTATTTTTTTTCCTTTTTAGACGCAGGCTATAACATGCATAGATAACATATCCTACGACACTTTCAAAGTAACCGTGATCACAGCGCTGTTCTATGGTGCTATTGTGATGGGAGCCAGCCTCAGTCCACTGTCCAAGAAGACGTTACTGGTGGGAATGTACTTTATTGTTGGTGTCGCTTGCTTACTGAGCGTGGCGGTACAAAACAGGTGAGAATTTTTTTCTGAAACATGTTGGACTTCGTCTCGAAGTCTGTCTGTCTCCTTTATCATCAAATAAAAACAGGTCTACAAAGCATTTACCAGAGTCAGTAACTCAAGTAACTTACTACCCTAGCCCAGTAACTCAAACTTGGTCGGCAACCTTTCATGTCCCAACGGTGTATAGATCGAAGACCTAATACGGTACCCCAAAAACTGCAAACTTAATTGACTATCACCCCCAAATTACTGAAGATACGAAAGATTCTGACATACAAGTGCGAAACAGCTCCAAACTATGGACGATATTAGAGATTTAGTTGGAAAGATTCCGAATACCGAATTAACATGCGTGAGCGAAGATTCGAACCCGAGTATGTACTAACCACTCAGCCAAGATGTTTTCATTTAGAAATCCTCCCAAAAATACATGTTTTATTACAACTTCGAAATAATGAACAATTGGCTGTAATTTGTGCGAGTAGTACACATTTGAATAATACGCTTTTAACGGTTTAAAACGCAAAACCGTAGTCAGGAGTAAGGTAAATGTCGAATAGCATCCAACATCGGGTAGTTAAGTCATGAACATGCTCAATATCGAATCGAATCCAAACCGTAGTATCATAGTTAAAATAAGTAAAATAATTCGTGTTTCAAACCATTCAAAATATTTTATTTTCGTACAATTACGTCATTTTTGTCATTATTATTAGTCCAATCTTTGACAGATTAAGATAAGCTTTCCAGTGCGAATTGTGATATTATTAATCTGCCGAGATAATCGAATGTAGTCTAATTATATTTGCAGACTGCAGGTAAATATAGGTCATTGCCCAAAGAATTAAATGTTGCGAACAATGAAAGTAATATCAGTAGATGATAAAATACCTTGATAGTACAATAACTTTACCTTCATATAGCGACCTGTTCCTGGTTACGTTTGTTTATAAATAACTCTTAAAGAAATAAATAAATACTTCTAAAATGCTTTGCAATAAAACGCTTAGCCGACGTTTGCGATAAATGCAAGATGACCTGGGTTCGAATCCTAGAAGAATGATATAAGTAATAAAAACCTGCATCAATCCGCTCTTCAATTTCAGTCTGTGGATTTCCAAATGCTTAAAGCTAAGATAGGTCTATCGGTTGTTTAGACTTGGTCTAGCTGAACCTAACTGCATGGAGTAAAACAACAAGGCTTTTTGTTTTGTAGGTTCGTGGCCGGGGTGTCAATGTCCACTCTAGAGTTGACCGCCCTTGGCATTGGACCTCTTAATGCATATGCCGTTCAGATCTTCCCGACTAGTTTGAGGTACGTCTTCATGACATCAATTTAAAAAAAATGTTTTTTTACTTTTAATTAGCTATTCTAAGCTCGCATTTTTGTCCATTTCTGAATCTCAAAGCGAAACCTTTTAATTGGCTTTCTGTCTTTTTCATCGAATAACGTTATTACAAGACGTTGAAAGTGAAGAAGAAACACTGTAAATAAATAAGCTTAAATCGTATGTCAAACAAAAACTGCTTGGAAATGGTTATTATAACGTTAATCAATATTGAAATGATAACGAAATATTGCGTAAGGAACTTGTAAAAAAGTTGACGATAAATGGAGCGCGGCGAGTTTCTTGTCAATTCTTTTTTATTCGTTTTACGCACTTAATTCACTATATATAATACTAGCTGTGTCACAGACTTCGTCCGCGTAGAATAGTTGGTTTAAGCATCCAAATTTTTTTAGCAAACCTCTACATCTTTCTAAGTATAAGCTGCCCACGACATCGGTGCTCGCGACCCGTCGTTTTTGCAAGTTAATCTTAAGAGATAGGCATATAGTGTCGCGGGTTTGTTTTTTAGATCCTTTAAAGAGAAATCATTCTTTAATACGCATCTCAAACTACAGAGATGAAAAATTTCTCTCAGTTTTGTTCACATTTCCCGCTGTATATTCGCTCCTATTAGTCACAACGCGATGTTTTATAGCCTTCCTCGATAAGTGCTCTAACCATCACAATATTATTTTTCAAATCGAACCCTTCGCTTAGTTCCTGAGATTAGCGACTTCAAACAAACATAAACAAAATTTGTATAAATAACTATAAAATATCAAATGTTTAATACTTATATAATTTTTTATTACTATAAAGATACTTATGAAATCTTTACTATTTAACTGATTCAAAATACGTGTTACTTAGAGTGAAATGTAATTTATTTTCTCCTTTTTAGAGTAGTGTTTGAGTCGATTCTTTGGTAAAAAATATTTTGTAAACTTTAGTACTTTTTTTTTTAAAACGTTTAAGAGAATAAAAAGCGATTTTAAAAAAATACTACTTCATCGAATTTTTTCAACCTTCTGAAATTATACTAACATTTAACTTTTTCTCTTTCAACAATATCGAAAGTAACTTTTAAATGAACACATTAACGGTTTAAAACGCGATATATTTTAGTTAAACTTGTTTGAGTCTCCCCGTAACCACGGCTGCTGCAAAGTAGTTAAAATATTTTTCAAACAAGTTTAAATATATCGCGTTTTAAACCGTTAAAGTGTTTTATTTAAATGTGTACTTACGTCGTTATTTCGTTACAATATAATGGAAAAAATCCTGAAATAATCTTTTCTACACATATTTAAGAGTTTCAAGTCAATTTACAATGTTTTTCATAGCAATACATTAATGCCTTGTTAATATTGCGCAAACAGTTGTCTGTTGATAATAAAATAGGGAAAGCCCGAAAACAACTACTTATTATTAAGATAATTATTGTTTTATGTACTTTGTTCGTTAGGATATTAATCGTAGGTGAAATAATAATTAGATAAGGATATTACAGATAATAATATATATAGCTTGCAAGCAAGTAAGCGTCCCCTCGTGGAGCATGGGGCGAACACATTCATGTGTGTTTTATTTAGAGGTATTTGATCACACTTCTGTGTCCTGTCCGGCCAAAACAGGAAAACCTGTTGTTTCCCGCTTAACACAATGTTAAACAACACGTTTACCCATTTGCTACGGAGGGGGACTTAATATTAAAAATAAATTTAATCTAAATATGCATTGGAGAACTTTAATATTATTTTTATGTGGACATAATGGCATTATATAACTTAAGAATCTATTTAGATTGAAACAATTACACGGGCGGGACAAGAACCGGCATCAACAGCGTTTCGTGCTGCTCATACCATTCCCTCATTGTCACGGCCCGTGTGGGTCGTCAAATTTGTCCTTCTTTAGATTTTTAAGTTATTGCTTATGCATAAAAAATATGAAGATCATTTAAATAGAACACTTTAACGGTTTAAAACGCGATATATTAGTTAAACTTATTTTAAAATGATTTTTAACATCGGCCCGACGTTTCGGATGCTTTGCAGCAGTCGTGGTCACGGGGAGACGAAACGTCGGGCCGAAGTTAAAAAATCATTTTCAAATAAGTTTAACTAATATAGCGCACATCGCGTTTTAAAATTAAGTAAATTTAAGTAAAGTTTTTTAACGGTTTAAAACGTGAACTATAGACAGTATTTAATATGAAGATCAGTCTAGCTGTTTCGAACATGGTTCGTGCGATGTGGACTCGTTGGTGGGATGGTAGCAATGTATGCCTAATAATTACTGGATCGTTGGTTCGAACCCCGGATCTAAATTTTTCTAATCAATTTATAAATTTTCTGAGTGTCACATGCACTGTAGCATGTATAATCAGATATGTTTTTAATCCGATTAATAGTATTATCCATCTATTTTTAGCTATTACTTCATTATTTGGATTATATAGTAAAACTAATCTAAAATGTAGACTTCTTAATCTATTCTTTTATACCTACTATATTTTTGATGGAAATAAAAAATGACTACATAGTATAAAAAAATGTCGCTTTTGCTGTCCCTATGTGCGCTTAATTCTTTAAAACTACTCAACGGATTTTTCTTAATAGATGGAGTGATTCAGGAGGAAGGTTTTATATACAACGTTCATAGTTTCTCTGTAGTGTATTTAGTATCAGTGTTGCACACAAGCGAAGGCGGGGTGGGTCGCTAGTATATTATAATATAATACCCTATATAAATGTTTTAATTTATACAAATTAATAGTATCAACTTAAATGTTTAACGTGATTTATTTTTAACATGTATTCCAGTTACGAAGTCTACTTTATTGGAGATCTGGATATCAGATGTGTGGTCGGCACATCGAAAATTCGGTCCATAATGACGTTTAGGTTTCCGTCTGTGCGTGTCGAATATTTTTTTTAATGACGTGTTCTAGTCACGCGTAGTTCCAAAATAGTATTTATTGCAATCACCATTATTATTGAAGTTCACTGATTGTAGGGGTTCAGCGGTTGGAGCTGTAATGATGTTCGGTCGAGTGGGTTCGTTGCTCGGCGCTAATGTTGCCGGTATCTTCTTGGCCCGCGGTTGCACGTACACTTTCTTTGCTTTTGCCGCTCTCCTATTCTGTAAGTATATGTCATGTTTTCAATAATGTAAATTATATTGTAATAATAATAATAATAATTCCTTTAACGTTTTATTACAGAACAATTATAATTTGAAAAATTGTACAAAATAATCTTACAATATATATATTTCAAGTTTTAGTAATTATGTAGTCACTAGCGGTGCCCGCGGCTTCATTCGCGTGAATTCGTTATTTTGGGCATCATATTATTTATTGTTGCAAACAACCTCCTTTACAAATAGAGTGAAGAGAGTAAATCTTAAAGAACAATCATTATTTCATTTATAATTTTGGTTTTTTGAACCGTTTTCGCAGCCCACGCAACGAAATCCCTCAAAGATATAAAAATTTTCCCTGTTTTACCACATTTCCGTCTAATTCTTGGCTCCTATTGGTGGCAGCCTTATGTTTTATAGTAAAGTATTCCTCGATAAATGATCAATACAATATGTTTTCTTTTAGTGTGTACAGCGCTTAGCTTCCTTCTGCCGAATGACAAAGTGGCTTCGAAAACAGAGAAAACCAGCCTTTGATATTAAACACCAATATTATTACACAGATTAAAGTTAATATTGGACGTTACGATGAAATAAGAAAAATAAAAAAGTTCTGGGGCTACATAGTTCTACGAAGTGCTACGATAATACATGTAAATATTTGGGGCGCATTTAAATCAAACACGTTCAACAGCGAAATCATGTGTTTAATTAATTTTTTTTAACCGCGCTGCAAAACATCCGAAACGTCGGGCCGTAATAAATTAAACATCAAGTTTTAAAGCGTTGAAATTGTTTTATATTAATGTTTACAACTCGCGTCAACTACAGTTAATATGACTTTCCTCAGTTATTAACTGTTATCATTAAACAGTTAAAACTGCTTATTTTTTTACTTTCTCCTTTATGACTGAGCATTATGACAGGGGGATTGTTCATTGCTAAGCGAACATTTGCTGAATTATTAATTGAAGCCCGTTATTTGTTCAAAACGATTGCTGCAAGCTGAAACATTGAATTTATAATTTCGAATTATTTAAAAAAAAGATGGTTTAAAAAAGGAAGGAACTGTATAGAATTAAACGTTTTAGTTATTACATTATTTCTGGTTAATTCTTAATAAGTACGGATCTCTTCCGAAGTATTTATAAAGTTGGTAGATGTTAAAACAGAATATATTCCTATATGATATACTATTTTATTATTTTTATTTCTTTAACGAGTTTAATGTATAGTAATCGTAGTGCGTTTTTAAGATCTCCACACTAAGTATCTCTGAACATGGTGCTATCTTTAAGAATGTATTTTAGACTGACTAGCACGTAAGTTCGGTAGATAGATTTTGTAATTATATTGGAATTAATTCTTAATCATATTCTTAATCCGATTAATGGTGTTATCCATCTATTTTCAGCTATTAATTCATTTTTTGGATAATCAACTAAAACAAATTCCTAAATGTAGACTTATTTATCTATTAGTCTATATATTTGATTAAGTTAAGATAAAACGTATAATATTTATTGCTTTTATAAATATATACTACTTTATACACTTTAATTGTATCAATTTATGTACGTGATATATTTTTAATAAATTAAAGGTAAAATTTAAACAGTTTTAAAAGTGTTTTATTTAAGTTGTCATTTAATTGGTTGTTATATGTCAATGCATACAATAATCAACGTTACACGTAACATATTTGACCCAAGAGCACCTCAACGTGAATCCGTCGAGTTATCAACCGTAAAGATTCGAGTAAATAAACAAACTTGTTATTTTTCATGTTCATAAATTTAACATAAACCGACTCGCAGCATCAAATGTTGCTAGTCGCGCGTACGCGCCGGAGTGGAATTGTGCACGAAGACTTTGCTTTAGCGCCCTCTAGTGATGGATAAGTACAAAATGAAGGTAAGACTGCAATATTAAATTATTTTAAAGGTATTTTTACTTAATATTTATTTTTAAGATATTATCAGCTAATTTTTTTAAATATTTCCTATTTAAGAGCGTTGCAATAATAGTGCGCGAGAACGAAAATAACGATGTAATCTGTAATAAAGAGAACAATATAAATCCAAGTCATAACTTTTAATTTTTCCTTTTAATCATCATATTATATGCCAGTATTAACCATAATTTTTATACACCAGAGTTTGATTACGTCTCTGTGATTTTATTACCGGTTAAAAAGTAAGAAATACGGTAGTTGAAAATTTTACAAACTTTTGAAAAAATACGTAAATACGTATAGCCAAGCGATTGAAATGATCGATTCGCAGGTTGAACATTTTATTCAAGAAAACATGCCTATGAACAATAGTAGTATACTTAGATGATACTTAGAGATAAAAATAAGATTCATTATATTCATTTTTATAGCCGGTAAATTTTTGTTTAATAAAAGTAGCATCGTATTCACAAAGTCGCTTTTTGTTTTTCTTTATTGAAACTATTTAACTCTTATTTAATTATAATAAATATGTAAACGTATGATTTTAGACTGAGTTTTTATTTGACTTGAATTATATATCGCCTCGTAGTCTTTAAGTTTTCATTTTTCTTCTTTTACTTTCACTCTTCATGTGTATAATGTGTGCAAACGTAATAAAATACAGCGCATCCAAGTCAGAAATCCTAATTAATTATTCAACTACTCAGTAATTAACTGGCCATTTCGTGACAATTAACTGCTTTTTACGTCGTTTAATTAACCCAGTTTAACAGCAACACGCTAAGCGTCATATACCCGTAAATAGATCTAAAAAGAAATGGTCAAGGATATAAATAACCAGATCTTACTAGAATTAAGTCTATACTAGAAGTGCTTCACGTTGACCCGCTGTACATAGATAATATCAAACTTTAAATTTATTTTTGGCGCGTTTTTGATTTGTACTTTTTTTTTAATATAACAAATTTTTCGGAATAGAAGGGAGCCTTTGTGTTATACCTACATATTTATAGCCTATATAATATTGCAAAAAATTTCCATATTTTTTTTTATGTCGAACAAGAAGTTTTAACAAGAAACGGTAAAAAGCTTTCACTTTATACAATTAAACATTCATAATTCAAAATATCATGAATAAATAATTTAATTTCACTTTATACTTTCGGGATCAATTATTTTGCCACATACATAAGGATAATTTAAGAAAACTAATTATAAACGAAACATTCAGATAAATATTGAATGAAAAATACGAAGAAAATATTTCACCCTTGTTTGCTTAGAATTATATCTAAATTAAATTAAATTATCGAAAGAATATGACAAAATTATGACTCGGGCAGGACTTGAACTGGCGTTCCGTTACTCTAAATAATTGAGCTGCCGAGTCCTATCTTGTCATATTATATAGGGTTCACAAAGAATAACTCTTCAACTGCAATACTAATCACACGTAATGGCTTTAGTACCATCTAGAACTAAATGACGCTAGTTGCTCTATGTAGCAAAAAAACATAAGATATTCAAGAATTTGCTTAGCTTACAGCTTACTCAATCAATTAAAACCTATTTCAAGAAAAACCAGTCTCGTTCCGATCCAGAACATAAATTCTTTTTCGTTTTTATACTATCCTCGACCGTGATATTAAACTGGACGTTTTAGTACCTAAAAATAAACCGACCAAACGGGACTTAACGAAAAAGGTATCGCGCCTAGTAATTAAAATGTACAAGCCGATAAAATGTGAAAAAAATTCGTATGTATTGTCGGGCTTATGTAGTCAAATGGTTAGAGATGCTCTAGCATTGTGTTAAGAGAGATCCTGGCATCGAAACCCGGGTAAACATTATATTCTTGCAGTCGAGCAGGATACAGAATCTGATCAACTTGTCTGTAAAAGAACCGATCAATAACACGAATCAGAAATGTGTTCGCCCCAAAGTTTTTATAGAGGAATAAACCCGGGGTTTGTTTTCGAATTCCAGGATAAAGATGGTGAGTATTTTCTATGTTACCGGAAGTCAAGCATGAGGGGAAATATCCCATGCCTATACATATAAGTAAGATGTCGCCCTATGTTTGCTTTTGGCATATGGACATTTGGTTTGTTACGACTTTGCCATCTGTGGACGATGGTTCGCGTTTGTTCGCTGCAACGTCCGTTTTTTGGCGGGACTTTTAGAAAAATAAAGTAGGTATTAAAGCGGTGGAAATCAAACCCACAGCACGTTGGTTATTAGCCATACATATCTATTGCACCAACCGAGTTAAGGGTCAAAACGATCCGTCAAACATATTATATACGCAGCACTTTGATTACTATCAAAATTATCAATAGAGACGCTACAAGGGGCTTTCGAAATAATTAGATGTCATTAGTGATTGTGTTTCGTTTATCGGTATTAGTAGATGCCGATACATCAAAAATATAACAAATCGGTATTTCTGTTGAGGTTTTGGCCTTAACGCCACTGTAAAGCGATTTCGGTAGTTCCAAATTTCTATTGAGAAAAGGCGAGCATTTAAATAAAACCACTTTAAACGGTTTAAAACTCGAAATATACTAGTTAAGTTATTTATAATTTATTTTAACTAAGGCCCCGGGCGTTTCGCTTTTTAAACCGTTAAAAGTGCATTATTTAAATTTTATTAGACAAGCCCTTTTGTATTTGTAATATTATGTTTATGCTAATTTTATTTTAATGAAATAAAAAAATAAGGTTAAAAGTTTACTTATATCCTGTTTGATACATAACATATGTCTTGATTAAACCGCGAGGTGATTAAAATAATTAAATTTAATAAACGAATAATAATAAATAACTAATAAATATTGCCCTTTTGTAAAATGTTGGTCCGCACGAATCGCTTTTATTATGTCCCAATATCATTAACCTTCAAACGCTTGTTCTTAGATTATCCTAAAAATTTCAACATATTTCACCGCAGTAACGCAGTACGCGCTAAGATCCTTCCGATTCGATTCACTTAGTTATTTTCCTGCTTATCACTAATTACCCAACATGAATATGTAATACCCATATTTTTACGTTGTTATTGTAGTAATAATTACAATTATGCCCTTAAGAATAATTTCTAACGCACCTTACTTTAAACAAGAATTTGATAACGATATGCTCTCGTTATCAATATTCTTGTTTCAACATATTACATTCAAGGAAAAATAAAATTGTAAATTATGAATTGTTATCTTTGATATCATAACTAATACATGTCTAACTACACAAACAACATTTCGAATTATTGTAATATAAAATACTACAACATAATAATATATAACATATAAACTAGGTATTTGACGTTGGTTTGTCTCGTTGAAACTCGAGCGAGTGTTTTTCTCAGCAGGAAAGATTCTAGCACCGAGCAAAGTGTAGAAAACATTGTCTAGAAGAACAACTTATAAATAAAATACTTTAACGGTTTAAAACGCAATATATTAGTTAAACTTATTTGAAAATGATTTTTAACTTCGGCCCGACGTTTCGGATGCTTTGCAGCAGCCGTGGTCACGGGGAGACGGCGAACTAATATATCGCGTTTTAAACGCGAGATACCCTTATATATTTTATAGTAATAAATAAAATAGGCAATATTTTTCTATGTAAGTCGGTTTTTTATTTACAAATAAAAAAACTTTACGATACGGACAGAACTTGAACCGGTATCGACAACGCTGTACGCTCTACACTACTATCTATATACAGGACGGAATCAAAATTAAAACGGTGACTAACAAAATCTTATCATAATGATACCTCCTTGCAGTATATAATCATAAAACATAGTTTAAAGTTTCTATAAATCACTAAGTGGTTTAGTAAACGCTTGTGCACTATGTTATAAGGAATTACACTGCGGAATTAAACGGGGTGCGTATTAAAAAATAAATTACAACAATTATACTATTATTTTATTTACTAATAAGTGTTTTTTATTTTTATTGTAAACACGGTAATTTATCCATAAATATAAAAGACCAAATTAAGACCTATAATGATAGAGGTAAACCGCAATCTTGAAGTTCACTTAATGGATCTCAACAAAATCTGCTTTGAATATTCGGAAATCCACAGACTGCAAACGATACGCGACTAAATTTCATGGCTGTATCTGTGGACGCTTGTTCGTGTCCCGAACGGATTTTCGATATTTCTACCACCCACTTAATATTCAGATTTACAGAAGAAATCCAACATATGCCAAAAAAATAAAAATTAATTAGGAACATATTGGACCCAATGGGGATCGAACCAATGGGAAACCGGAAGGTGTAGATTCGACTAAGGACTAAGAATCGCAAATATAAAAATATTATTTATTTAACTCTTTATTGCAGAACACACGAATAATATACCAATGTTGTCTTTAAAATAGAATTATAAGGGAACCCTTGTTTCAAAATAAGATAAAATATATATCACGGGAAATTATATATTAATTTGTAAACATCGAGATAATAAGAAAGTTTGCAACGCCAAAATCTTAATAATCTCTCTATTCTAATTCTTATACCTTGCTCCCGAATACATTAATTCTTCTACAAGCAGTAAACAAATTATTAAAATTACCTAGGATTATTATTTTAATACGACATTAATAATATTATGTCACTCGGTTTAAAATAATTTAATATTTATCACTGCAGCCAACTAAAAAATAAGAATACAATTTCATTTACGTATCGTGAGAAAATCGTAAAATTCGTATAAATTAAAATTAGCGATAATATGTTATACCTACTTGTGTTTGAAATATAATATATTGGAACATTTGGTTATGGTGCAAAATTGTGGGAAGGCTGTGGCTCTAAAATATCCAAGATATCGAGACTGCCTGTCTGTCATTAATAAAATGCAATTCTAATATATAAGTACGCGTTTTCCTCTTATAGTTGCGCCAAGATGACCTTAATTCATGGGACAACGTACAGTAGGTGCTTGCAGAGTTAAGAGAGTAGATACAATTTTTTTTTTAGTTTGGGTATTTCACATTATAAAATCACACATAGAAGAACACACAATAAATATTTGTATGTTATGTTATTTTTTACAAAACATTGATAGCTCTTTTTCTTTACATGGACTACAGGCGGACAGTCTGGATCATTGATCAAATTAATCCAGAAGTCAATATTTTCCTCTGTTCTATCAAAACACAAGTTAACTATGAAATTCCCTAAACCGTCAATCTCAGTCTCTCAATATAAGTTGTAAAAATATTGCTAAGAATGTAAAGCAGATAATATTACACATATTTTTCAATATCCCACGCTAAAACGGTCATATTTCATTTAAAGAACTTGTTCTGTATGCTAATATCTTTGCTACTCCCTGTCACGAAAGATGAGCCGATTGATAACACGGTTAGATTTACAAATATTTACATAAAATAGCGTATATAATATAACTACCTAACAAAACCGCTGACAAAAAAAAACAAAAACGTCAGACCATAGTTAAAATAATTATCACATAAGTTTAACTAATATATTTCGCGTTTTAAACCGTAAAACTGTTTTATTTAATAAGGTACATTAATTTTATAGACTATATTCGTCACAAGCTAATATTATCATGAATTGTAAATGTAGTGTAGAGTTTTCAGTGCCATTAAATTAGAACAAAATATCTAGTTAACTTAAGAAATGCCGGTCATCTTCCAATGCAAATCGTAAAACGATTAAAAGTACATCAACAAGGAAAGTACTAGAAATTGCAACAATCATCGTTAATTATTTTGTCGTAAATGGCGGATATCTTATCTTTGTCTGTGTTGCAAATGGAGCGTAACCACGAACTAATGTATCGTTACGTTTCAACGATAAGCTTTAAGATTCTTTAAGCGATTTGTGGGGGGTTTAATTGCAAATAAGGTCGCTTATACACTAAATTATAAAATGTTAAGTAATGACTTTAGTTTACGCGATTAGTACATATTTAAATAAAACACATTAAACGCTTAAAAACGCGTAATGTATTTGTTAACTTATGAGTACTAACTTATCTAGCGTCGTAAACGTTGTTAAAATAAATTTCAATTAAGTTATTTCGCGTTTCCGAACATTAAAAGAGTTTCTATTTTAGATTATATATCAAAAAATATATAATTTCCTTTATGACTCATACAATTTTGTTCAATAAATTCATACATGAATCTCACGCGCAACGTTGTAATTCGTAAATTTAAAATAGACTATAATAAATCTATTTATTTGACATTCATTTAGTGCAATACTGGTAAATAATAAATATGATCGCAATAAAATAATGACTTATATAAAAAAAGATTAAACAAAAGTGACCCTAAAGTGGTTGAAATAAGTTTCAGCACACTTATGCTACAACACTGATTTTCAGGAAAACCCTGGTGTTCAAAGACACCAGCGTTTTCTGGCTGTTAAGAAGATAGCGCATATAATGCATTGATTAAATGCGTAATGCACGTGATTCGTTTTTAATCATCTTTACTTCTTTCAGGCCGACACGTTCATTGCCAACATAAAGATGGAGAAGAAAGGACAAATTCTTGGCCCATCTGTGGCAACGCTAGATGAAGCCATGTTAGCTACAGGTTGGTTGGGGTTTATTTTCAAACTTTATAAAAGATTAATTATAAACCTATTACATTGCGCGAGAGGTGTATTTATCGGGAGATTTAATAATTCGACGATGACGTGTAGGACAACGACAGCGCGGACTACTGATGATGTCGGTCCAAGTCCTGAAATTTTTTCAATTTTTTTTTGGGGAAAAACAAAACCCCCACAGGGGGGGGGGGGGGGGGGGGGGGGGGGGGGGGGGGGGGGGGGCCCCCCCCCCTTTTTTTTTTTTTTTCCAAAAAAATTTTTTTTTTTTTTTTTTTTTACAATTTTTTTTTAAACCCCCCAAAATTTTTAAACCCCTTTTTTCCCCCTTTTTTTTTGGGAAAATTTTGAAAAAAAAGGGGGTTGCTTTTTTTCTCCCCTCCAATTCCATAAATAATGTATTTGTTGAGTAGTAAATACTTATTTATACTTACTTACTGCTCTGATTACTGAAAAGTGGATCTTATCACGAGTAATTATACTAGATGATGCGGAATAACCACGCGGGCGAAGTCGCGGACACAGCTAGTTTAATAACGTTAGAGGAGGTCCTTTTATAGCAATTACTTATTAATAAAGGTATCAGAAATAACTACTATTTCATACTTTCCATAAAAACATATTTACATTTTATTATTATGATAAAGACATTTACGTGATATTTTTAAAAACAATTCTCGCCTGATACACAAAGCCCATAATCCCAATACCAATAAAGCGTTGATATTATAATTTACAATTTGTTAAAAATTTCCGATTCGCTTTGTAATTTCCTTTGTTTTATCTCTACACAAGTGACAACAAAATATTTTTTACAAGCTATCACTAAGCGATATTTTTTATAACCACAGATAAAGAGAAATTAGAAAAATCTAGATAGAAGAGCACGATGTCGGTGTTTGTATAAAAAGTGACATTCCGGTCGGCCCCGTAGGGCATGGGGCACACATATCTGGGCCCGTTTCACTGATCGGTTATATTTACAGACAAGAAGTTGATTAGACTATGCCAGATCGAACCAAGCTATTGTTTCTCCGTGATTCAAACTCCTTTCGCTTAACGCAAGGCTAAGCGACATTTTTACTTGTTAGCCACAGAGGCGGATAAGTATTAATGCGTGAAATGTTTCTTTAATGTATAAGATCTAGTTCACATATAAAATATTATTAGTAGCAAATAAAAATTAAATATGATATATAAAAGTTAAAAATCGATTAAAAATTGAACAAATTTACGACCGACCAGAACTAGAACGGACATCCACAACCTTTTGTGCTGTAACTCTAACCAATTGAGCTATCGTGTCAGAGTATGCTGACTAATTTTCGTCCATTGGAGAGTATGCACTAGGTGAATAGTTTGTTGGTAAATTATACGCCGGTATTCAAACTCCGTCCCCTCAAACCCATGGAATAACACTTCAATTATATCTAATCTCTAATATAAACTATCATCTTATCTTTAGTAATTTATAGTACGTAGTTTAGTTTACATAAGACTTTTTAGATGGCCTCACTTCTAGTTATTGTTATCAGTATCCTGTCTATATCATAAATAAGGTTTAATCACTGAACCTGCAAACAGACTAGTTTTTGTTGACCGTGTGTCAACTGCGTATTTGACAAGCTCTATAAATGGCGGTGTCTAGATAGCCCACATACGCTAAGGATATTTAGACCTTGGTCTGCGTATTGGTTTGTTATTATTATTTTATTATTTTCTCTCGGGGACACCTGTGGTAGGACGGGTGATCAGTTCACACTATCAGCTGACCATTTCACCCATTTCCCCATTTCCACCTTGTGGAGGTTTTGGGTCATCCAACTCTCCCCGTGTCCCCTTCAAACCTTCCGGTTTGCTTGCAGAATCTTATAATTTTTTCCATCTGTAATTCTTTGATCTCATCTTCTGTAATTTCGTCCGAACCCATATGTGTTTGTCTCAGCCTCGAGTATGCAGAGCATTCAGTGAGTAGATGGATGCTTGTTTCCTCACTTTCTCTGCACTCCGGACATAGGGGGTCGCTGCCTATTCCTATCATTGTAAGATGTCTGTTTAGACGGCAATGTCCTGTTATGATCTCTACGATGAGTCGGATGTTCGCTCTCGTTAATCTCATCAGGTTTTTGGTCTTCTTTTTGTCTAGGCTATGTATGAATATCTTCGACTGTCTCATTCCCGTCGAAGATTTCCATCTTTGGTTTGTTTCTTCTATGATTCTGCGCTCGATTATTCCCTTGGTTACTTTATGGGCTATCGGAAGTCTCGGTTCCGGCCCAATCAAGCTTTCATCGGCTCCTTCGCGAGCGAGTTCGTCCGCTCTCTCATTGCCAATATTTCCTTGGTGTCCGGGGACCCAGGCAATTGCCACTTCTACCTGATCAGTTAGTTTGTGCAGTGCTTTCTTGCATTCTTTGACAATAGCAGATGTTGTCTCTTCTTTGCATAGCGCTTTAAGTGCCGCCTGACTGTCACTGTAAATAGTAACACTTGACAGGGGTCTTAAGTGCCTGGCAATCTCTGCACATTCCATGATGGCGAATAACTCCGCCTGGAATACGCTAACAAGTTTCCCCAGAGGGATTGATCTTGTTATCTCTGTTCCGTCCTCGCATCTCATATATATGCCTGACCCAGAGAGCTTTGTCGTTTCTTTCCTGGAACCATCTGTGTAGCACACCGTGCCCACATTTTCCAAGTCTATTCTCCACTTCTGCCTTTCCCCAATGTGGATTCTGTATCTCTTGTCAAAAATCCTTTCCTTACGTATGAGATCATTGTTTGCAAGGATCATTGACATGTTCTTGTCATTTACTTTACCTATGCTAGCATGACCTGTGTCCATGATATTTCCTTTCCATAGGTCTGCGCTTTTTAACCTGAACCACGTTTCCGTAGCTTTCCTTTTTATTTCTAGATCTAATGGCATTAGTCCAAGGATGATCTCAAGTGCCGCTGTTGGAGTCGTCCTCATTGCACCCGTGATCATCAATGCGGCCAATCGCTGCACTTTGTCTAGTTCTATTTTATTGGACTTTAGCGAGGCCTTATGCCACCATACTATTGCGCCATGGGTGATTCTGGGTAATATTATCGCCTTGTATATCCAGGCGACAACATTTGGCTTCAATCCCCATGTTCGACCTATAGCACTTTTGCATTGTAGCATTGCGGCCTTTGCCTTTGCGCAACTGCTTCTGATATGAGTGCTGAAACTGAGTTTGCTATCCAGTGTTACACCAAGATACTTTATCTCTTTTACTAGTTCTAGTTCTGAGTTATCTATGCGAACTGGTTCTCTATTTCCTAGCTTCCTTTTGTTCGTAAAAAGTACTAATTTGGTTTTATCAGGATTAAGGTTCAGTCCCTTACTCCTGCACCATTTAACTATTTCCCTTAGTCCTTTATTCATGATCGTGCATATGGTGCCTAGGACCTTCCCTGTCACCATTATCGCTCCGTCATCTGAATAGACTTGTGTGTAGATATGCATCGAGTTGATGCGATTGACTAGCTCGTCTATAAGGAGACACCACAATAGTGGAGATAAACATCCACCCTGTGGAAATCCCCTCCTAGCCTTCACTGTGTACTTAACTCCTGCAATGTCTGATTGTATCAGCCGGTGCTTGAGCATGTTTCTTATCCATTTGCCAATGTCCGTACCTATTCCTTCTCTGCTCAAGGTTGCCTCGATTGCGTCCGGGTTTGCTCTGTCGAAAGCACCCTCAACGTCAAAGAAGCAGCCTAATGCATATTCCTTCCCCTCTATGGCTCTTTGTGCTCTTACTACAATATTGTGCAGAGCCGTCTCCGTTGACTTCCCTTCCATATATGCATGTTGATTATTATGTAGGGGAAATCTGCTCTTATCTAGTTTTGTTCTTATCGTTCTATCTATTATCTTTTCTAAGGCTTTCAGAATGAAGGACGACAGACTGATACACCTGAATGCCTTAGCGTCTTGATACGATCCCTTCCCTGGTTTTGGTAAGAATGCAGCCCTAACTTCTCTCCACTTGCTTGGAATATAGCTTAGAAGTAGGCTGCTGTTGAACAATACCAGAAGGTCCTTGTTAATTATTTTATATGCTTCTTGAAGCATCTTTGGAAATATTCCATCTGGTCCCGGAGCCTTGTATGGCTGGAAAGACCTAATGCTCCACTCTAGTTTTTCCTCTGTGATGATAGTCTCCTGTGCCTGATTACTATTTACGTTTTCATCTTCAGGGCTATCATCTCCTATGTGTTCTTCACAATCCGGGAAATGTACTTCCATCATTTCCATGAGGATTTCTTTGGGATCAGTTATTAGCATCCCGTCTTTCTTTATGCTTTCAAGCCTACACGATTTTACTGCGGAGAGGGTTTTTACCATTCGTGCTGCGTCCGGATATTTCTCAATCCCTTCGCAGTACGCCCTCCATCCGCTTGTGTTTTCTTTCCTGCATTGACTTTTGAATAGATTTCTCTGTTCTCTATATTTCATCCAGCTCTCCTCGTCTCCTTTCTGTAGGGCAGTCCGAAGAGCTCGGCGTGTTCTTTTCCTGGATTTTCCCAGTGCTTTTGTCCACCATATTTGTCCTTTCCCAGACTTTATTTCTCTTATCGGGCAAGCTTTGTGGAGTGCCTCTCTTAGAGTTAAATCAAGTCTTGATGCTTCTGTCTCTAAGGCTAACTTACTAGTGAGTATGTCTGTCGGAATTGGGCTCCACTTCTTCTGCATGTAGTCATTAAAGGTTGCCCAGTTCGTCTTTCTTGCATTTCTCACCATGACTTTGTCAACCTTGCTTTCCAGGTCGAAGGTAATGCGTCTATGGTCTGAGAATGCGTCACTTTCGTCAACCCTCCAGTTCTGAATGTGTCGGATAAGTTTGTCTGTGGCGACTGTTATATCCAAAACTTCTGCTCTGGTTCGAGTAACAAACGTTGGTGTTGTACCTTCGTTTATTACTCCAAGGCCTGCGCTACCTAGAAAATCTAGTAATAAGTCACCCTTTTTATTGCAGTCAGTGCTGCCCCATGCTACGTGGTGGGCATTGGCATCACATCCTATAATAATCGGAATGTTCTTACCTTGATATTTCCTTGTTACTTCCTCAAGCTCCCTTGTTGGCGGCTCGAAGTCTATTTCACTCGGAAGATAGGCACAGACTATGAGTATTCTCTCCTTATCTCCGTTGCAGGCTTGAATGGTCAGTTCTACACTCGCTAAGTCTCTGTAACAGTCAGACTTTATGAGTTCTAGCGATCTCACCCTGTTGCTCACGTAGATGCACGCTCTGGGATTAGACTCACCATCATAGTAGATTAGATCACCTCCCAGAGCGCCCATCCCGACCACTCGCCTGTTTATGACGTATGGCTCTTGCAACAGGGCGATATCTATATTTTCTTTCCCAATGAATCGACATAATTCCGTCATGGCTTCACGACAGTGATGCAGATTTAGTTGGACTATTTTTATTTTGTTTTGTTTTTGTTGTGTGTTCATTGTATTGATTGTGTTTATGTTAAGTGTACGATGAATGAGTGTTTAGAGTGTAGTGTGTACTTGCTTAGTATGTGTATGTGTATGTTTCCTCACTTCCCCTTGCCGCTATTCAGCCAAGACGGACTTAACTTTTCCGCCGTCTGGGAACCGCTACTGGGTTTGTGAGGAGGGTGTGTGTCGTGATGTGGTGTGTTGGTTGTTGGTGTTTTGGTGGTTGTGGTGCAGGGTACCCATCTGTCGGCCGACCCGTCTTTCGACGTGCCTTGCTGGTTGATGTCCATCCTGCTCTCATTCTCCTCAGTGCGGCACTGATCCCGACCACCCTCTACAGCGGTCGTCCCCTCCACCGCGCTTCCGGCAGATGCACTAGTCGAGGCCACGACCCCCTCCGTTAGGCGGTCGGTCTCATTGCCAGACTTGTGTACTGGGCACGTCTTGCACGTACATACTTCCTGCTTCCCCGCTTCTGTCTGGGCTCCTCCTTTCTTCACCGCCCTAGCCAGGACCTGCGTGGCTTGGTAGTTCAGCCACACGTTTCCTGTAACCAACTCTTGAGGGACACCCACTACAAGTCGAACTCCTAGCGGCAGAGTCTCCTTGTAGATGAGTGTCCACTCCGCTATACCTAAATCTGTCCTATAATTATTCTGGCCCCTTATCAGCGTGAGAGGGTCACATCTTAGACCCTCTAAGCTTCCCGGGAGCCAGATGCTCACCCTGCGTCTGTCTAGTCTTAAGACCCCCAATGGAATGCCCTCCCGGTCGCCAAAGTCGCAGCCCAACAGCCATGTCATTGCCTCCTCGGTGTTGGGGGTCACTAAGAAGAAACCTTCCGTAACCAACCCCGAGGCCGCAAAGGACAGGCACCGACCGTCAACTCCGTCCAGGACAGCCTTCTCAATGAGAGCCGTAAGCCTTTGTCTTACTAACGCAGCAACCTCCTCAGTCATAGCTTCTCCGTTCCCGAGCCTCACCGCCACAGATAGTTCACTTTGACCCGTACCGGGTCTCCGTGTTCCCTCCTGGCGCCCAGCCGGGGACTGAAGACAGTTTTGTCTTTTAAAAGGGCGTTGCTGCGTTTGCTCGTCCGGATCAGTTCCTTGCCTTTTAAGCTTCTGCGCTCTCGAGACGCCTCCGAGATCCCTCATCCCAGCCACAGGAGCAGCTGGTTCCGGGACTCCATCGGTGCATTTCGAGAGCCTAGATGCTGCTCTCTTTTCCTTTGCCTTCCTACGCCTACGCTTTGTTCTGGAGATCCACTCCCCGTCTCCAGATTCTCTCACTGGTCTCAGGTCTGTGGTCTCCTCGTTGATTTTTAATTTATCTATACTGTCCCGAAGGGTCTCAGATGTGGACCTTCCAGGACGTGCTCCCTTCTCCTCACCCTTAGCAATGTTGCTCCCCACATAGTACGCGGAGCAGGTGGTGTTACCAGTGGTGAGACTCTCACGTCTCTCCGCTGGTGACACCACGGAGGATTCCCCAGCTGAGCTGGGACCTCCCTGTGGACCATATTGCATTGCACTTTGCTTCATTATTATTTTACCGGGGCTGCCGGTGAGAGTTGGGGGTTGGGGGATTGATGGAATGTTGATGTTCTGCATCCTCGGCTCGTCCCCGCATCTGCTGCTAGAACGGCCTCGGTCGCAGCGTCACTCTTGGATGGGGCAGGATGGGTTGGGGGGGATGGAGTTTCCGGCTTGAATATTCTGTTGCGTCTGTTTCTTATGGAATCAGACCAATAACAGGCGGCACCACGTGAAGGATATATCCAAGCCTTGCCTTGTAGATCATCACGACCTGCGCTACCTACGAGGCCATTCACCAGACTCAACACCGGGCAGGTGTGAGAATAGAGATTTGCCCACCTCCCTAGTTATAAGCTAGGTCATGGAGATGGCCAAACCTCCGCCTGTATTGGTTTGTTACTGATCCGTATGTTTTTTAGGTTAGGTAAGTGTTCTTTGTGACGGGCTCGTCCACCCTTACCGGTACCAACGTATGTCTAATTTTTCAATTTATAATTTCTCTGAAACGTGGAAATCTGGATATTGAATGGTGGTAGGAATATCGAAAATTCCGCTCGGGTCAGGAACCACGGTGCACAAACGAAAAAGCCGTGAACTTTATTACGATTCGGTCTCTATTATCTCTATCGGTGTTCGAATATTCCAAGCTTCGTAGATCCAAAAACTAAGAGTTTTCGCCCAGCCCCGGGTTCAAAACCGGGGCGTTATCGTCAACAATCCATAGCTAACTACAAACAGATAAATTACATTTCTGCGCATTGTAATTAAATAATTTATCTATCTGTTTAGAATTTTTTGAAAATTTCCACACCATAAAAATATTTTATCTTCATTAAAAACTTAAAATAACTCGTAGCATGATTAACTTATTATTGTGTGCAAGATATAATATTGTATTACTCTATTAAAAAGTGAGGCTTTCTGAGTAAGTTCAAAAATAAAGTAAGAAAAGAATTTGAATACAACACAGATATAATGCTATAGTTGACAGCATTTGTATGCTTGGTATTCAAACCCAATTTAAAGTAGGCTTAAGGCAGTTGCCACTGCATCAGGGAATTCTGACTTTCTGAATTCGGAATAATTTCGTGCATCTGCCACTTGACCCCTTGTTATATCTTAATATGTTTTATCGTATTACGCAATCAGTAAAGTTTAATCGTCGGGTTATCGCTACTTCAGAATTGCGCAGTGATAACGCAATTGTGGGGGGCAATTTTATTGGCCTAGAGATTTAGATACAGTAATTTCTATTTATTTATCGCTTTATGAGACTTTTAAACTAAAAATATGGAGTATAATAGGCCTTATCGCTAACAAGTAATCTCTTCCTGGCAACTTCGGTTGGAAATGAAAAAGTTTACTGAGAACTGAAATATGTAATCTAAAGAAAGTAAAAATTATGTAAGTTTTGTTTTAACTTACAAACATTTACTAGGAAAATTAATGTTTAAATAAGCAGAAATATGTTAAAAGTTAAAAAAAAATAGATAGTAACCAGTTCACTCAGATGGATAACTACTTTTAAAATATAGGATTGAAGGCGTCATACCTTTTGTTTAATTAAAAAAAAGTAATAACATGTTTGTAGGATATAAAAGTAGGTATCTATGTACATATACGCAAACACTATAATAACATACATTGAAATATTCGTTTTACTGTCGTGTCTTGACATTGAAATCATATAAATACTAGTTGCTCCTTTGCGGTTTCTCCGTGTTTTAATAATACATACTTAAATTCAGTCCTTTCAAATGAAGTGCTCTACGAACAAATAAACTCCTCTAAGCTTTATAATGATAGTAGGTTAGCTAAAAAAGTATAAAAAATAAACTTTAAAACTATAGTCATTGCCCTTATTAACCAAAAGTTCTTCATGTAACTACGATGAAACAGATGGCGGTAGCGTAGCAGATTTGACTTTGACATTAGGTACACCCCCGTGTTATAGTTTAATTAAATTTAAATTAATTTAACTAATATATTCGCGTTTGAAACCGTTAAAAGTGTTTTTTTTTTTAATATATAAAATCGCGTAAACTACAGACAATACTAATTACCCTTTTAAATAAAACACTTTAACGGTTTAAAACCGATATATTAGTTAAAATTATTTGAAAATATTTTTAACTTCGGCCCGACGTTTCGATGGTTTGCAGCACCTTAGGAAAGACTAATTACACTTGTAAATTCCAATGATATAGTAAAGACTTTCTATTTTTCTTTCTGTCAATATTTTTCTATTCTTTCTTAGTAGTATTGTTTAAACAATCTGTTGTAAAGGCAGCAACAGAAACGTCACATCATAATAATAAAAATAAGTCAACTAATCTATTTTGCTTCTTTGAGTTTATTTTATTTTATGCGTAATTGAAACAATATTACGCTGGGAAACTCCGAGTTTACTAAAGAGATAGCGACTGTTTGTCTATATTATTTACTGTAAGATAATATATTTATTTACATTTGAATGCGAATAGTGAAAACATGCGATAAAATCTAATAATTCTGTTTTAATTAGTCAGTTGTTTAATATTAATCACATATACTTTTTGACATTAATTTCCTTATGACAACGATCTAAAACTGTTACCCGTAGTGCAATGCATCGTACATTACTGGATTGCCCTTTTAATTTTCTTATCGTTTTCTTTGAAATCACCTTGCGTCCTACCAACATTTTTTACGCGAAACGAACCTATATCCTTTCAGTTGTGATTTACATCTGTCATAATTATTATTACGACTGTTCCAGGTTTTGGTATCTACAATATCCTGCATATGCTTCTCAGTGGCCTAATACTAATGGGGGTGATCATGCAAAGCTTAGCCCTGGGCTACGTTCTTCCAGCTGCACAGTGTGACTTGGAGCTGACGCTGCAACAGCGCGGTTGGCTTGCTGCTATACCTTTCGCTGGTGAGACATAAAATATTCAAACAAAATGCAGATTGGGTTGTTCATATCGAAATAATAGATAATTATGTTTAACGAATACTTTTCGCGTTTATTTTGACTCCGGCCTGACTGAAGTCTACGAGTAAGTAGTCTCCCCGTGACCACGGCTAGCATCCGAAACGTCTGGCCATAGTTAAAATAATTCCCATTCCTTGAGGCTAAATGATGTCTTCCATTTTGCAGCCATAATCCTGACGTCATACTTCTGGGGCTGGTTGGCTGATACGCGCGGAAGACGCTTCGTCATGCTGTTCTCTATGCTGATTTCAGCTGTCTTCGCGGTCCTTGCGAGCTTCTCACCAGAAATCATCTCTTTTGCTATCCTGTCCTTTACATCCGCTGTGTTGTAAGTACAATCTTACAAGGGCACTTTAAGTACGATGTGTTGTCGGTCATTCAATAACCTATATAGTTATTGAAATTTTATTTATAGTGATGGTCTTTAAGTATGCTATATTTATAATTAAAAAATTAAATTATATTATAGTTATAGAATGAGACAAAATGATATGTTATTTTATTTTAGCATGGCTGGTCCATCATCAGTGGTGTACACATATCTAGGAGAGTTTACAAATATACGTCATAGAGATAAAATGGTGGCGTTTGGATCTTCTTTCGTTGGCATAGGAACTGTGGCTTTGCCAGGTACAGTATTGGCTTATTTAGAGTCCGCCATCTTGAAAAAACAAACAAACAAAAAATACAAACTTTGAGCTGTCAAGACTTAGTACGTTTTAAAAAGATACCAATAACCAATACCTATTCTATAATGAATAATCTATTAGATGTTTGAAAACTTTATTATGGTTCATATGTACAATAATACATGATGGCACCATATAAATCAAATCAATGGCATTATAATCGATTAAGGGGCAGGAATCGAACTGACATCAATTGGTTAGGGCGTGTAGAGCAACAGCTCTAACCAATTGAGCTACCGTTCCATACATGTTTTTGTCGCTTAAAGAGTAACGTTTAGAATTTGTCATAGTAAATGAAGGAGAAATAAAAATGTTTTATTGTGTGTAGTTTATGCGAGTACAGTACACATTTAAATAAAATAATTATAACAGTGTAAAACGCGGAACATATTGGTTAACTTTTGTTTTTGTTCGAACTAAACGAGAGCACACCGACAGTCAGTTTTGTAAGGTCCCCGAATATCAACTACGAAACAGGTGGCGCTAACGTTACAGACTTGACTTTAATAAAGGATCACTCTCGATCCTCAGTTAAGCTGCAGATCATACTTAACTACGCGCAGTATTAATAAAAAGTTAATGTTTCGCGTTTTAAACCGTTAAAAGTGTTTTATTTAAATTTTTTCTTTCTAGCTGTCTCTTGGCTCATCTTGCCTGTAGATATCTCTCTGCCTATCGACTTCCTGAGTATAACTTACCGGTCGTGGCGTCTTTTGGTGATTGCTGCTAATCTACCCCTGGCCATTGGATTCGTGCTGCTTCTTTTTGCGCCTGAGAGTCCAAAGTTCTTGAACGCCTGTGGACAGCAAGAGGCCTGTTTGGGTGTGCTCAGAAAAATGTACGCAGTGAACAAACGTTTACCAGAAGATACATATCCGGTATGTCTTGTTAGACTTTACCCGTCTCCTAACTTTGAAATGGATATAAATGAGTGTCGAATAGATACTAGTGTATGTATACTGCGAATGGTATATTTGATGGTGTGATTTTAATGTTATCAATCCATGACTCCTAAAAACGTGGATTCTCGAACCCTAGTGGGTCCAACATGTTATCAAACATTTTTTTCTGAAATATTTTTGACCTCGTCAGGAAATCTGGACATTAAGTGGGTAGGGTAAAAATTCCGTCTGGGTCACGATCCTCTATCTTTAGACGATAAAGTTGAGAAGTTTAATTTTTGCTTCACTCTGTGGGTTTCCGAAAAATCCAAAGCTAAAATGGTTCAGCGCATCTTGTCAAGATATAATATGTATTAATATGACCTCGGTTACCGAATTTCACCTTTTCAGCTTGTCATACGTCATGTATCAGTCCAATTTGTATTTAATTTGCACATCCAGCTTTTTTTTACTTCTCTTTGAATACTATCCACACATAACCAAACTTATTTACAATTTATTTTAACTATGGCCCGATGGTGTGACTGCAAAGCAAAGGTCACGTGACTGAACATGGAGTGTGTCGCTGTCAAAACGTCAAAGTCGAATCAGCTATAGTTAAAAGTGTTTTTTTTTTTTGACTTAACTACAGACAAAACTTTATTATCCATGTAAACTGTATTCTTTAACAGAGTTTTTTATTTCCAGATTAAATCTCTAATGGAAGAATCTCAATCCGTCAAGGCACTGGAAAACAATGGCATCATGGCTATTTTAAAGTCAATGAAAGACCAGACTCTTCCACTCTTCCAGCCTCCGCTGCTGAAGTGGACTTTATTTATCTGTTTCATTCAGTTTGGACTATTTGGCACGTAAGTGTTTTTCAAGTATCTTATTTCTATATTCAGTTAAATTTCTAGAGAAGACAGAAATTATTATATTAATAACAAATTATTGCCTATTTATTTTGATTAATGATCACTGAAATAAATTTAATTCTATTACATACATTTACATTTTACAGCACAAACGGTTTCTACGTATGGTTCCCCACTATCCTTAATTCGGTCGCGAATCATGACGGAGGATCAGCTGGGATCTGCGCCATTTTAGATGCACATCAAAAGACTCCAGGCAACGGGACTGAGGTAAATATAGCAACTCATTAGTTTGACATTTGCTCGTAGATTTTATGCAGGCGTACTTTTTACTAGATTTACATGACATTGTATTAATTTACTATCGTCTTCACGTAGACCGTGACCACGCCTGCAAAGCATCCGAAACGTCGGGCCGAAGTTAAAAATAATTTTAACTAATATATATCGCGTTTTAAACCATTCAAGTCTGTTATTTCAAAGTCTACACGATGTTTAAATTGTTAGTGTGAAAATGTATTGAGTTTATTATACTTTTGTGATAGGCTAGATATTTTTCCTCGGTTGACAAATTAATCGCAAAGTTATCTCAAACTACAAAACTTTTGCAATTTCGAAATAATAAAAATTACTTACATATTGTTTTATCGAGGAAATAGTGTGAAAGCATAAATGTTCTTAGCTAAAACATTTCTTTAATTATATTGCATCCAACATTATTTATGTTGATAAGTATATTTTATTCATAAGCTCCATTTTCCAGGTGGAATGTGATGATACAATGAACACCACCACTTTCGAGCTCTCCATCTACATTGGCCTGGTCTTCAGCTCCATGTATATAATCGTGGGTTTCCTCGTGGACTTCATGGGCAAGAAACTTATCCTTCTCATCGTCCTATCCAGCACAGGATTGTGTGGAATCGCTGCTCATTTAGTCCAGAACCAACACATCGCCGTGGTCCTGTTCGCGATATTCCAGATGTGTGGTGCATGTATTGGGTTAACTAATGCTGTTACCGTCGAGCTGTTTCCCACTAAATACAGGTTTGTTCAACTTACAGCTTCATAGCTCAGTAGTTAAACGTGTTGCCTAACATTACTTAAAGCACGAGAACTCTTCGGTTTTATTCCCGGGGAAACAAGTAGTTCTTTCTATACATAAAGTCAACTACCGGATAGGTCATGACCCAGGATAAAACGGGACTACTTTACTATTATTCTACAGCATATTTAATCGTTTTTTAGATGTTAAATTAGTTGTTTTCCATTTTGCAGAGCAATGGCCATATGTCTATCTATGATGTTCGGGCGAGTTGGCTCCATGTCTGGGTCGAACCTCATCGGGATGTTCCTATCAACCAATTGTGGACTAAGCTTCTACATCTTTGGAGGGCTTATTTTAAGTATGTATATAGTAATAATATTAAAAACTAATTTCTTCAGATTAACCATCACGCGGTAATTTTTTTTCGTATCTTTCTCGAAATGTGCAAAAAAAAGCAAAATTAGATAGATATCGATGTTTGTATCCAATACACCATCCTTTTATTCCCTTTTTAACAAAAAAAATTTTTCTTTTTTATATTATAACGAATCGTTTGCTATTTCCAGCCTGCGCTCTATTATGTTTCACGCTACCGGGCAAGAACGACGGTCCGTCCAAAAAGATAAAAAGTGATCCCATCCGGAACCAAACCCACGAACCCGCCTGAAATTAAATCTCAAGCACTCCGAAGACTAGTCACACATTCCCCCGAAGGACTTATGAAAGAACCAGTGACATTAGAAATATTGGCGAAACAGATATTCGTGACGTGGGACGAATGGGTTACCAGAAAACTAAATTTTTAACCCTATTTGTGGCTGTGATTGTTTATAATAAGTAGAATAATTATAATATATATTTAATGACTAACATAAGGTACTCTATATAATTATATACAATTTTTAAAATGCACTTCACAAAAACAAGGGCAAAGACAGTGATCAAAAAAGCCATACATATTCACATATGTTAAGCTCATAAGTCCATTGCTCAGTTATGAGTTAAATATACATAATACTATGTTTTGAAATAAATTAATAATTAATATTAAATAGGACTTTGATTTTCTTTAAGAGTTCCTGAGAACTTAAAAACTTGTTGAAATATCATTATTTTTATATGACATATTGTGTTTAAGAAGTGATAAATCTTTTTCTATTACAAAGAAGAAGTCTTTCACTTCATTCTATGGGATTTCAAGTTCTTACCCTTATTTCGTCTTATTAAAATTTTGTCACCGCAGTCTCTTTGACATGCGATGTACTAGGACAACATGAGATAGTAAGAACTCTGGGAATGTCGTTATTTACATGCCTTTAAAAAAAACATTCCTCTGTACATAGTCACGAATTCACAAAATTCTATTACATAAAAAGATTATAAATTTGAAGAAAATGTATTTATTATTTAGAAGTAAAATTTACATTGCGTTTCAAAAAATACATTGTCAACATTTATAACTGCGCGTAACATCTGCGCAAAGGAGACGTAAGATTTCCGTAAAATAGATTCTTGTTTCGACGGAAGCTTGGGCGGATAATAAGCTCTTCACCGCCCTACACCACGGAAAATCTAAGGTCTCATCCGGGAAAACCAGGAAGGAGGGCAAGAAAACGGTTGTGTTGTGGGCGGTTGTACTAGGAACGCATTATTGAGGGAGAGATAGCATTCTCGAAGACGCAACGGGCAGTTACGCAAGCGCCATTTTATTGATTTTCTTACACCCTCGTAAACTTACAAAAAATGTTCGAAAATTTGAATGCGGCATTTTATCTTATTTGTCATTAATAAATGTTTATTTTACAATGCACTATAATTTCTGTATATGAGGCTGCTAGAGGCGGAGTGGCATAATAACAAAAAACATGATTTTCCTCTAGCGGCCTAATATAACATTAGTTGTAATTTTTATATGTATCTTTTACAGCCTTTGATTGATTGAACAGAATTTGATGCACTTTTATTTTTTGGCGTAAAAATCGTTATAACAACATTAAAGGGTTGGAAAATGTGTTAGATTTTGCCTTTTATTTTTATTAAGGCATCCTTAAACTTAAGTCTGCTCATCCAAATAAAATGTAACCTCATATTTTTGTAACTTCATGTATTTATTTTCTCATACCATTGAATATCTTTATTACTGCTTGTGCCCTAGTACCTCACATGTCGTGAAAACCCGTTTGAATGGGGATTGATGGGAAAATTCCTTTATTGAGAGGGGAAATTTTCTTTTCTTAGAGTTCTTCCCTCTTAAATAAAAATTGTTATTTTTATAATAATTATAAGAAAATATTAGAAATGTTTGTCTTCTTTGTAATGTTTGTTGTTGTGTGTTTAATTGATAAGCTTTTTATTTATTATAATTATTAGCAATAAATTATATTTTTGTATAAATAAAATTAAGTATTGATATTAAGAACTATGTACAAACGCCCACCTTTCCAGGAAAGATTTTGTAAAATTTTAAAAGAAAATACGTTATTTATAAACATTTACAGAATTTTTTGCCCCTGAAAAAATATTTCCAGCAAGATCCGCCATTTTCACGGATTTCACCAGAGACTCATAATACGCCAGGAGGCATACGATTTTCCCATGCGCAACAGTTGGGTGTTCTATCCTTTTCTATTGTTAGAAAATACATTCATATCTTCTTCCCTCAAGGCTGGGCTTACATTCTTTATATTACTTTGTATGAAAATTCGTTACGTGAATTCAACTGCTGATGTAAATGGGAAATAATTTCGTAGCGGCTAGTTTAACAAAATATATTTACTCGTATGATGCAACAATCATGTATGCTAATGTCAATAAAGTTAATTAAAAAAACTAAAACTTTAACATTAACAAATAATTATAAATCCCAATATATTTTTGGTCTGGACTCTTCATTTCTTCATTTGTATTTAAAAGTAAGTCGAATAGAAGTAGAATGATATTTACAGACAACACATAGCAATGGATGTTTTTAATTTATAGGTCAATAGCACATTTTGTTGTGATATTATATGGCTGGGTTATTTCATCTTCAAGCGGGCCCATGTTTGCCTGTGATTTTCTTCAATAAAGTAATTAATTTTGGCGAAATGGACTGAATATGCATTTGTTACAAATCAAAAACGGTCGACGTTAATAACAGTAGCAGCGAACTTTAAACCATGTTGACGAGAGATAACACAAGCTGAATTCACGGATCTTGTTATCTAATATTTGCTTATAAATTATTCTATCAATCAAGCAGTTTTATTACTCTCCTAGCTATTACACTACATGAAATTCTAACATCAAATGTTAAAACAAATACTATTAACCAGTTAATCTGGCAAACGTTATTTGATTATTTCCGTGCGTTTGCTACTTGCTAGTTAATCCTAAGAGAAGACTTATACTATCGATATTTTTCTACATAATCTAAAGAGGAACATCTTTTTTGGTTTCTTGAACCGTTTCAGTCCACGCAACGGAAGCCCTCGAATATTTTTTCCACTATTTATATTTGACGCAGTGTGACGGAATACAGCTTAAAACCTGCATCGACAAATATTCTATATAACACAAAAACACATTTTCAATTCGAAGAAGTAATTCTCGAGATTAGCGCATTAAAACAAACATACAAACAACATCTTTTAGCTTTATTATATTATGTATTCTAGTTGCATTGTTGACGTTTTTTACACAATTATGTAAAATGTAATTTTATTATGGAATAAATGTTCAACAATATTTAAAGTACATATATTTGTTTTTTGGTTCTTAAAGAAAAAATGAAAGGTGAAACACCGCAGAAATATAACATCTAAACAATATGCACTATCGGTCCATTTAGTCTGAAGATATAAAAATGGACAGATTGACACAGACTGAAGCCAAAGGTAAAGCGTCCTGGACAAGAGCAATAGAGATAGTAAACTTACTTTAAAGGCAAAAAGACATTTCCTATGATGCACAGAGTTAGCTCGTAAAGTGTTTACAGTTTATGATTTCCTACGGATTATGAAATAATAAGCTAATAATTACTAATTGTAAACGTATGATATTTAATATTAGTTAATAGTTATAAGTAAGCTAAATTGAATTGTATATTTTTATGTTAGTTTTAAAGTTCAGTGTTGAATTGGGCACCTGTCATGACATTGTAATTTTAATGATTAAATAAATAAATAAACAAAGAACGATTGCAATTTAAAAATTATAAATAAAAAAGCCTTTATTTTCTTAAAAAGAACCAAACCCACGATCCGTTGAAAATTAGGATTATTGTCCATCGACGGATCTATGTGAAAACACGTTCCCCCCGTGGGGCATGGGGCGTACTGACGGGAACGATGTAGTTGGCGGCCCGGCCACAACGTCCACAGCGTTCCGTACTGTTGCCAACCTTTTTTGTGTCGTAGACCCCTTGCCATGTTTTTGACCCTCTACTTACCTGATATTGATTTCCTGTATATTTTTAACTGTAGTGAAGTTTAGTGGATAAAAACTTGAAAGTTTGAAACTACTAAAAACTACTTATATATGTTATGTAAAATATACGTAACATTAAATAAAACTACTAAGCAATAAGCCAATATTTTTAGTGCGAAGGATGAACCCGATGCTTTAATAATAAATTATCAACATGTGGCGTCAATTTTGTAAGGGTTAATAACAACGTAGTAAGGGCTAACGACGTCCACCCTTTTTTTTCGGTACGAGATTGGTAACAGCGCTAAGCTCCCTTTACACTAGGTATAGTTAGTTAGTAGTTGAGATCCACTACCTGGACCTCCATTTTCATTTTAAGGAGCCCCATTTCTTTCGCTGACGTAGCCTACATGTGGTCGTGGTCGATATTTTATGATACATTTTTAATGTATATCCACTAATTGCCATCATGTGCAATAACATGTGAAAAATGTTAAAGTTTTCAAAAGCCAAAGTATGTAAGCTAGAGTTCGTAATCCCACCGCGTCACTCCCTCATGACATACAGAGATGTAATTTAAATAACAGTGTACACAGTTTTGCGAATCAAATAAATATTCAGTCTATTTAAAGAGTCGCTTGTATCGGAGCCATTCATTTGCCTCGTTTAGTTCCAATATAAATTATTAGAAGGAGACGTTGATACGTAGTACATTGGCAAAATGAACGGAGAAAATAAAAAGGGCAGATACAAGTTCGATGACGCGCTTGAGGCCTGCGGTGAGTTATAATGTTAGTAATAAAATACTATCTGTAGTTTACGCGAGTAGTACTCATTTAAATAAAACACTTTAACCGTTTAAAACGCGATATATAGATGTTAAACTTATTTGAAAATTATCTTTAACTACGGCCCGACGTTTCGGATACTTTGCAGCAGTCGTGGTCACGAGGAGATATCCAAAACGTCGGGTTGTAGTTACAAAAAAATTTGAAATGAGTTTAACGAATATATATTGCGTTTTAAACCGTTAAAGTGTTTTATTTAAATGTGTTATAATAATTATATAATACATAAATAAGTTAAAATATTGATAACAATAAAGCATTTAGTGCTGTTTCTTTTTCACAATAATAATTTAATAATGCCTACTTGCTAAAAACTAAATGTCATTTCTGATTTGTATTAAAGTGATCGGCAACTGGTTCGGGTACTGCTTTTTTCAACAGCTTATCTGTCAACAAAGGCCTCTTTTAAAGAGTTCCGCCCATTACTGTAAGTTAGAATAACGAATAATTAATACAATGGCGCAAATTATATCTAAAGAAATCGCTAAATCTAAAGTGGACGGAATAACACGAACACCAAATATTTAAGACGCGTAACTTTCGTATGTTCTAAAAATGTTTATAACGCGTTGTCATTTATGTTTCAGACAAATGGTTTAATCTTGATTTTTTTTATCGCGTACACTTGCTAATAGAGTATCTGAGACGTTGTGTAGTAGTAGTTAAAAATAATTGTTAATTGATTTTTAACTTTTACCCAACGTTGGTGACCCTGACGGTGTCTCGATGGGGCGTTTAAATAGAACAATTTTAACAGTTTACAATGCAAATTGTATTTTAAGCTTAATTTCAATTTATTTTAACTACGGACTTTTGTTTCGGATGCTTCATAGCTATGGTGACGGGGGTCCGTTAAAGGCGTTTTAATTGATGGTAACTATAAAGTACCGGTAGTTAGCGCCGTGCATACTTATGTGTTTTTGTTATTGTAATTATGCGTGCTTTCCTTCTAGGTTTCGGCAAGTACAACTACTGTCTCCTAATAATATGCTGTGTGCTAATCCTGGCAATGTACATAGACATCTTCGGCTTCTCAGTTCTCTTGCCCAGCGTGGCCTGCGATTTTGCTCTCTCGAATACTCAGCAAGGACTTCTGTCTGCTCTACCTCTTGTTGGTAATTATATAAATTTGATACCATTATTATAGTTCATGAATTAATATGATAGATACGTAGTTATTCAAAGATATGTTACTAACTACTAAGTAACGAGCAAAGTGCATAGTTATCGAACGAATTTAGGAACCCTTAGATTTATTGCCTAATTTCCGTAAGCAAATTAAGTGCCATATGCCCAATTTATACTAATATTATAAAGCTAAAGAGTTTGTTTGTTTGACGATCAAATTATATATTGAATCAAGTCTGACGTATATTTGTGTCAGAAAATAATACGCAATTTAAAATGTATTTTTATAAACTGTCACCTTTTTTTTATGTAATTGCATGTAATTGATTTTTATTAATACAATTAATATCTGCTTTTAAAGTGATAACTATGAAATTAGTACGTCTCTAGGTGTGCTGTTAAGTCGTATATAAGTAGCGTTCCTTGTAATATGTAGGACTAGATATAAGTTGATCCGGGACAGAACGCAGTCGTATTTATTTTTGTTCAATAACGAAAATCTTTATAAATTCGCTTCATATTGGAACCAGAGCCTTGAAAAGCCTTAAAGTCTAATCGCGTTTTGGTTTCATTCTGTGGATTTTGGGTATATCCAAAATTCGACGGCGCGTCTTGTTGCGATGTTATATAGCTAGAGTATAGCCACCTTCCGTTAAGTAACCTCATCATTCATTTCATTTTCGATGTCTATTAACGTCGTATGTTTATTTCGAATAAATAGACCTTCCATGTTACGTCATAGATTTTTTATAATATATCAAACAGATGAGATTTTATCATGTTCATTTCGCTCGGTGAATTTGCAGGCAATAATGCATCTAACCTTGCATCTTAGTGTAGCGTTACCCGTTAATGCTCTTGTTTTGCTTGGAGCATGAACTTTATATTCGCCATGCCCGCATGGAATAATTTATTTAGACATTTTTTTTGCGTAGTTGAAATCAATAGAATAGTAATAGTTTCATTTTTTTTTTGTGAAACCGTTTTCGCAGCTCAGGCAACGAAGCCCTGAAAGCAGAATAATTTTCTTGTTTTTTCATATTTTCCACTGCTCCTTCGCTGCTATTGCTCGCAGCGTGATATTATATAGCCTTTCTCAATATATGGTTTATTAGAAAGAAAAAGGAATTTTCAACCATTAATTCCTGTCATATTAAGTAATTTCACTCATGAAGTAGTGTTTCTTTTTCCATTTCTATGTTTAATGCTACAAAAGAACGTATACTAAAATCGTAATCCCATTTTAATATCGTGGTTCTGTGGTTCTATTTCTAGTAATATCGCTAGATTTCTTATCTTGACTTGATTGCTTTAGAGTCTAGACCAAGAGTGAAAAACGTTTCCGCATGAAATCGTGGTGGAGTAAAATTATATGATTCTTGGTATTCAAATTTCAATATTTAAAAGTTGTAAACATAACTACCAAAATAATACTCGATTATTTGAAAATTTAATTTATATTAAGTTGTTTTCATAGAAATATGTACTAGTTACGTAAACTATGATACATACAATTTTTATTTAAAGCTTACAAAATATGTTTTTTTGCAAATTGGTGATTGTATTGGATTTCAATAGTGTAGTTCTTGTTCTTTCGTGAACCTGTGAAAGGTTTTGCACCCCTGGCTATCTACCTACAAGCTACCTAGCATACAAAACGCCAAAATGTATGTCGTGTATTATTTAACATTAAATTTTAATGCAATTTGTATAATTCCATTACTTGCATTAACACGTGAAAAATAAATTCTGCATAATCACGAATATTGTGTCAAAATGCACATTTTTAGTACTAATGTTACTTCCGTGAGATTTCCCTGTGCAAATATAACAATATCGGGCTATCTCTTAAACAATGGTTCACTTATCGCTCACACCTAATACAATGTTATTATGTTCTTACGTTTGAGTAAATAACGACAGACAGGTGAGGAATTTCGTCAGACCATCAGCCGTCACGTGCCTGATTAGGTAACAATTGATTTGCTGCTTCTGACGTCGTGGGATATGCAGCTATATATGGCGTAGCTATCGTAGTGGCATGTGGTGCAATGCACCAGGGCCCCGGAACTTGAGAGTTTTCTCCTCTGAAAAAGGAGATAAGAGCCCGATTCTTTCTTAGACCCTAGGATTAGGTAGACCGGGGCCCTTGTCAACCAAGCTACGCTACGGGCTATATACAAACATAATGCCTTAGCATTAAGTCAACAGAAAGCGCGTTAAGCGACTTTGTCCTCGTAAGATAATTATTTTGGGCTTCAAAATTAGTTTTTGCAAACCTCTTCTTCATCTTTATAAATTTAAGCTATTACCAACGACGTCCATCGCGTTCCGTCCGTCTTGCTAGTTAATCTTAATAGATAGACATATACTGTCGCGAACATTGTTTTAGTTTATTTAAAGATGTAATATTTTATAGTATTTGGTTATATCGAACTAATAGTTCCTGAGATTAGCGCGTTCAAACAAACAAACATCTTATATTAGTATAGATTATAATTAAATGTTTTAATTTGTCAGGAACTATGGTCTCTTCTTACGCCTGGGGACTTTGTGCAGACACTTTGGGCCGACGAAAAACCCTCTTAATAGCAATGCCCATAGGATCTTCTATCAGCCTTTTAACAAGCATTGCGCCCAACTACATTGGATTGTGTGTTCTACGGTTCTTCTCTGCGTTTTTGTAAGTTATTCTATAAATATTTTAACTAAAATATAGCGCGATTGGTTCTTGTATCTGTAAAAGAGTTAATTGAATATTGTCTATGGTATACACATTGAAATAAAACATACGGCCCGACGTTTCGAATGTTTTGCAGCAGTCGTAATCACGGCAGTTTAATTAATATATTTCGCATTTTAAACCGTTAAAGTGTTTTACTAAGGTAGTGTTATTTATTCCAGTTTGTCATCAGCCAATACGGGTGCATTCGTGCTTCTCGGAGAGAGTGTACCCAACCACCATAGAAAGCAGTTCATGTTCTTCATGGCTAGTTCTACCATGATAGGACAACTTTGCACGTGCTGTATGTATATTGCTACTAACGTTGCTTTTACTAGAAGAAAATAGGAAATTCCCTCCCCCCTCCATGGGGCATCATAGGTCACTGATCGGTTTTTACTTACAGACAAGTAGTTAATCAAACTTCTATGCCCTGTCCGACCATTGTTTGTTTCCCCAGGTCATAAATATTTTCGTAGAATTATATGGGATAGAAGGATCAAGTTTTCGATAAAAAAAATTGCTATAAGAAGTCTAGCATACTAGATATGTGATAAGGTCTAAAGTTCGGTTTAAAGACATTTATTTCCCACTAAGATTACAAGAAACTTATTAATAAAGTATATACATTATTACTACTCATCACGCGGTTCTATGACCAAAAGTAAAATAATAAGCAAATATGCTCTTATTCCAGTACCGGCTTTAGGCATCTTCCGACTGAAATTCCATGTGGATGTTCCCTGGCTGCAAATGACATACCGTCCGTGGAGGCTACTCCTCCAAACCCTCTCTATACCTGGTATTGTTATGATTATCTTAATGACGTTTTTCAAAGAGAGTCCTAAGTTCCTCGTCAGCAAGGGAAGAGAAGAGGAAGCTATAGATGTCTTGAAGACCATGTATAACTGGAATACCGGAGCTAGCAAAGAATCTTATATGGTTAGTTTGATGGAAAGTTTACAATTTAACGGTTTAAAACGTGAAATATATTAGTTAAATTTATTTGAAAATTATACGGCCCGATGTTTCGGAGTAGCCGTGGTCATGGGGAGTCTCCCCATAACCACAGCTGAAACGTTAATGGCTTGGGCACACCAAAAGCAGTTGCAGTGCGGTAGCAGTGCGTCTACGTTTGTAAATAATGTAGTTGTACGAGGGATCACACACCGACTAACGCGGACCCGCTGAACCTAACTGCTGCGCAACTGCGCCGCGACCGCCCCGCGCACGCGCTGCTCGTTCGCAAAACACTTCGGCGGGAGCAGCGCGGTCGCGGGTTAAAATAAAATCGCTTTTTAAATCGTAAAAGTATTTTTTTCATGACGTGTACTACTCGTTTAAACTACAGACAGTATTTGAGTTTTAATTTTTTCTAAAATAACCATCGTTAATATGACTTATACCTAATTAATTTTGGTTGACACCGAGCAAATATTCTTATATCCATCAAACCATAACGAATTTTTAAACATTTCACAGGTAACTTCAGTGTACCTAGAACAGTCAGAGTTGAAGTCTGGTACTGATAAATCTGTGGTAAAAAGAATTTGGAATCAAACTGCGCCCCTTTTCAAGCCACCCCTGCTTAAGAATTCCTTGATGCTCTACTTTATTCTCCTGTGTGCTTATATGACGTAAGTTTCTTTCCGTAACCCTAAGTATCTTGCCAGTTCTCCTCGTTCGTTCTACGCCCTTGATTTGAGAACTGGTAGAAAATGTACATATAGAGTCTTTAGTGTTGAACTGATGTGAGGTTCAAAAGTGTTCCTGGTTACCTACGTGAATAAATGTTTTTGACTTTGACTTTAACTTTATCGTATTATTAGAAAAAAAAACCTTAGTCCTGACATAGGCACACAATTTTTCGTGCATATCGCGGATAGTTTTAGAAGACAAAGACACATATGATTGCACATGATGACATACATTAAAAATAGATTATAAATTACGACTCAGGCAAGACTTGAACCGGCATCCACAGCGTCCCGTGCTGTTACTCTAACCAATTAAGTTACCGATTCCTACACGTCATCGTCGATTTTCTTCAACCTATTGACACATGCAACTCTTGCGCAATGTAATTTTAACCTTAACACATTGAACGTCTTAGACGTTGGAGCTCTGAAAGTTACGTCGGATAATAAATTGTGTAAGGCTTTCACGGCCATCGTTCAGCATATCATTGTCTTTCGGGCTGTTCGGCCGACGTGAGCGAGAAGAGGTTCTCGACGTTTCGCATCACGTGTGGACGGCATCATCAGGAGACGTTAACTCTTCGATTGCTCGAAGAATTATAATTATATTCCCGCCACCCATAAATTTTGCCGCCCATAAATTTATTATATACTATATAACTGCCTGAAAGACAATGATATGCTTACGTCGGATAGTTTGCATAGCCTACAACGATTACTTTTAAGCGGAGTCTAGTAATTCAAAACTCTTTAGTCACAACATCACGAACTCGTTAGTGGTTCTTTTTTTTTGTGTATTTTAGTTAATTTAGTTCGTCCTTTTTTGATTCAGAAAAATTAATTCGATAACTATTTTCATTGTAATACGTAATTTTTATCCATCAGGTCGACAGGTTTCACCATGTGGATTCCAACCATGACCAACGCTTACTTCAACGGTGGTGATATAGCGGGCAAGACTTTCTGCGAAGTTGCTAGTCACGCGGCACGACGACCACCGAGCACTAATGAAGTGAGTTTCCTAACAACCTATTGTTGTGTCTATTACTTCACTTGATAGAAGATGAAATACTCAGCCCAAAACATGTCATTAGAAAAGACTTCACAGTTTTTCCATTTCCGTATTCTTCCCGTGGTTCGTGACGATGGTATTTTACTCTTACTATCACGCATTTTATGTCCAGGATTTTTCTAAATGGGGACATGCCAAGAAAAAATAATATTTAAAGATTTAGAGACATGTAAAGAACAAGTTGAAACAGAGACAATTAAGTTTGACAGAATATTTATTCTAAGGCGACTAACTAAACATTTCTTTTTTCAGACTCTCTCAATATCCCAAGACTGTGATGACGTTATCAAGCCGAACACTCTCTACGCTGTGATGGTCTATTCTGGTCTTTGCGGAGCCCTAAACTTCACTCTGACCTTCTTAGTAGGTCCCCTGGGCCAAAAGACCACTACGCTACTGATATTCATCATCACCTTAATGTGCGGAGTCTTTCTGCTGTTTGTCAAGATACCGATGCTCAGTATTATGATGTTTTTCATCTTCCCCTACGTTTCTTTAATCTTGGGAAATATCAATACTTACTTAGTGGATTTGAATCCCACTTATTTAAGGTGAGTTTCTTTGGTTTATTTTTTATATGAATCTCCAGTGTTCACGAACTAGGGCCGGACAAAGACGCTTCGGTTGCTTTTTCCCTGTGACCGCGGGTCTGCAAAGCATCTGATAACTTGGGCCATAGTAAAAATATATTCTAAATAAGTTCATACGTTTCGCGTTTTAAAACGTGTGTTTTATTTTTTAACTTTACGTCTTATTTTTTATATTTACAGAGGCATGGCGACGTGTCTGTCAGTGCTGGTCGCTCGTGGTTTCGGCTTCATCAGTGTCCAGATCATTGCCACATTCCTGGCTGACCATTGCGTTCCTCTGGTCATCACTTATATAATACTTGGACTTTGTAAGTATGCTGGGTTCGGTGGAACCTAGTGGACCTCTCGCAATTAATGCCCGATAGTTCAAGCGGTGAATTTGACGGGCTGTTTCGTTTTGGCCATGTTTCGTTTTTTAAACTTATAGTTTCTGAAACGTGTTGGACTTCGTCTGGAAATCTGGGTAAACGGTCCTCCTCCATTATTAAAAAAAAATTGAGAAAGATTGTTTTTTTTTTCAGTGGGATTGATAGCAGCATTATTCCTACCATCAGATATAAGAAAACAGGAGACATACCAAGAGGATAATTGCAAAAAAATATCGGCCAATTGCACTGAAATGGGCAGCGTCGAAAAGTATTAAATGATTATCTATAATGTTGTTTTACTTTTAAAAAGTTGTCCTAATTGTTACGTAAAATTTGTGCAATGTAAAATTGATTTTTTAAATTTTATAATGATATAAAATAATAAAGTTTTCATACAAAACAAAAATGTGAATCAATAAAGGACTTCCATTTTCACCCACTGTGATGAGACGTCATTTGTTTATCAAGATACTTTGTCTTGTATATAAATAGATATGTATAGCTATGAAAACAATCTATGGTATCACCAAAGACTATTATTTCTATTATAGTCTGTGATATTATGTATAAATTAGCATATACATAATTACTGCAAATCTTATACAATAACAATTAGAGAAATCAGAACTAGAGTAATTATTATTATGAATAGAGACAGTTATGGTCAAACTAAAGGTTTCGAATTGGAATTCCTAATAAACCTCAAGTTAGTTTAAACAAATTGTGTTTAGAGAAATCGGACTTGTTGATTATACTGTAAAAGCTAGACTCCAATTTATAACGTTGACGTATTTTTATACGACCACCTTCTATATTTAAATACTTGGTAATATAATTTTTCATTTATTATTTAATGTAATGAATATCAAAATCGTTAATAAAATGTATGTAGAATACTGTCTATGGTTTACGCGAGTAGTACAAATTTAAATAAAACACTTTAACGGTTTAAAACGCGATATATTAGCTTAACACGTAGTCTCCCCGTGACCACGGCCGCTGCAAAGCATCCGAAGTCGAGCGAATTAAAAATCATTTTCAAATAAGTTTAACTAATATATCGCGTTTTAAATCGTTAAAGTGTTTTATTTAAATGTATGTAGAATTCATTGTCATCAGCCGGTATTCGTCTAGAGCAGGACGTGGGCTTCCCCCAAAACATGTCACTCGGCCCTTTCTTGAGCTCTATTCATCAAATTGCATCCGATTACTTCCTTGAAGTCATCAATCCACGATGTTTCTAGTCGTCTAACACTACGTTTACCAAATCATAGTATCCAGTGTATATCGGCTTCAACGACCACCTTCTCTTCTGTAGACAATAATCCAACGACCCCATGGCACGTTGGGCCCTTTGAGATTGTATACACACGTAAGAACTGCTCTGAAACAGCCTGCTATGACGTAGAGTTATATAAATTTAATAATTTCTTATTATCATAAATTAAAGTAAATTTAAAAGGTTTTATCTAATAGTGCGTATTTACCATGAGACCACTCCAAATGATTACAAATACGTAAACAATCAGATGTTACACATTGTAGGTATCTAGATATATTCCTTACCTATAGAGTAGATATTAATAGATAAAACTGTATTAATAGTGTGTGTACTTGTCAATATTCGATTTGAGCTTATAGTCGATCTCAGGTGCTCTTAAAACATAAAGCAATTGTTTTTATCTATCATTATATTTTGCCTATTCTGTATACAAATTAATCTGTGCACAAACGGTATTTGTTACGTATTTTCCTATGAATAATATTGATTACAGTGTTTCATTCTCTAAGCGCATCTGGTAAACACTGTTTGTATTAGGTAAAATAACACATAGATTATGAATAAGGAGAATGATTCTAAAAAGATCGACTTTGAAGAGGCTTTAAATGAGACAGGTACGATCGAATTAGATATCCGAAAAAGATTTAAAAATTATTCATTACATCTCTAATTTTCATGTAAATGTTAAAATAGCCCTGAATTACGGGATTTATATATTAAGTTTTAATCTGAAGTAATTCAGTTCTTGTCAACATTTAGTTACAATTTAAAACACTTTGACTTCTGAGAAGCATTTGAAATGTATATATGTATGTACTTATGATATTTTGCCTTTAAACTTAAGTGTTTTATTTTATTCGTCGACTTATAATGGATAAACACTGTTTTTCAAACAACATTGGGTATATAAAATATTTTCAAGAAAATGTCAGATACCACCCCGAAATAATGTTAAAGGTAACCTTCCCCATGCTTCGAGCGCGTTAAGACTTCAATCCCAATTATCACACTAAACCTATTGAAATAATACACTTGGAACGGTTTACAACGCGAAATGTATAAGTTAACTTATTTACAATTTATTCTAACTACCGCTCGACGTTTCGAATGCGTTGTAGCGGTCTCGGTCACGTGGGAACTAACGATGGAGGGTGTACTTAATAGCAATAGATAGCGCCATCTGTTTTCTTTTAGGTTATATTTGGTAAATAAGTTAACTTCCACTGGAGTAGCTTGTCGGCTAGAGAAACATGTGCCAAGCTATGGCCCATTAAATAGTGGAAACAAAATTTTACTCCAAAACTATGGTAGTTTTATATATGTTCTCATTTCAGATTTCGGCAAATACAATATTTGCCTCTTAGCGACATGTTGTCTGCTGATTCTATCAATGTATATAGATATTTTTGGCTTTTCCATTGTTCTACCTATTGTGGCTTGCGATATGGCACTCTCTACCTCAGAGCAGGGGCTTTTATCAGCAATTCCTTTAATTGGTAAGGTTTTTATATGAATAACGTGCTGTAATGTGCAACAGTAGTCAAGCTTTACAATTATATTCTATCATAAGTCTTGATGGACTGGTAATTCGTAAACTTGACAGTAGAACTCGAGGTCTCGAGTTAAATCAGATAACTCCACAATAACAGCAGCCATTTATCGGTTTATAACGCGAAATTATTAGTAAATTGTTCAGACATATTTTCAATCTTCTTTTTTTAATGATTATACTCTGTGCTGTCAATGTATGTCTCTCAAATGATTCAAACAGGTGTCATGGTATCATCCTATGGCTGGGGTCTCTGTGCTGATACAATAGGTCGCCGGAAGACTTTACTTATGGCCATGCCAATCAGTATAGTTTGGAGCCTGGCAGCGAGTTTAGCACCTACATTTACTTGGCTAGCAGTATTGAAGTTCTTGTCTGCTGCTTTGTGAGTTAAACATGTCTTAAAACAACTTTAACAGAGGAACCTTGTTCTCATTATAAAAAGAGAACTTAAGATGATTCATTACAATTATAATCAAATAAAGATCAAGATAAGATGGGGGACAAACAAAACCGATTAAGGAAAGGATTCAATTTAACTAACTTTCTTGCAGTTTTTCGACCTTTATACTTGTAGATTTTTGTCATGATTTAATAAAAATACAATTATATGACGTTTTAAAAATCGAATTAACTGGTCATATAGGGTCTCACAGTTTTAATCAATGAATGTAGTTCGTCTTCCGCCAATGCTGCAGCCTTTGTTCTGCTGGGAGAATGCACTTCATCGCGATATAGAAGCAAGTTTATGTTTCTGATGGCTAGCGCTACTATGTACGTTCAGCTGATTATCAGTGGTAAGAAAATATTTAACATTATTCTTGTAAGCGAATACAGCATGTGATTTACTGCATATTATAACCTCAATCATCTAAAAGTAAATTAAGATAATATGCTTGTTCGAGTCGATTGACATGAATGCCAAAAATGTACCTTTGAAAACACATTTTTCACATGTTATTGCACATGAAGGCACTATATAATTTTTTTTCAATTTATTTTCGATTTTTAAATTAAAACTGTACCTTTTAATTTTATATGAATACCTACCACCTAACTACACAATCTTGCATATACTTAGTTATTATACCTATTCTAATCAATAATGTTTTATGATCATAGAATACTACAGAAATAAAACTATGATATACTTACGTTTTTGAGCAGTTTAGCTGTCGTTATTGAGAAATGGTTCTCGATTTTTCACCACGCCAAGGGGATGATTTGCAGAATGACCGCGAAAGTCTCACACACTTCATAAAGATTTTATATTTAAACTTATTCTAATAAAATCTAAACGCAGCTTAAGAAAATAGACGTAAATACCAAATAAAATATTCACACTTTTTCCCAGTTGTGGCCCTACCAATTCTTCAGCTCACATTTAATGTAGATTTGCCGCTGATAAAACTACAATACCGACCCTGGAGGTTGCTCCTGCAACTGATAACCTTGCCAGGGTTGCTTGGAACCATTGGTATTGTGTTTCTACATGAAAGTCCTAAGTTCCTGCTCAGTATTGGTAGAGAAAAAGACGCAATAAATATTTTGAAAATCATGCATGGCTGGAATACGTCATTGAAAAAAGAATTCACAGTAAGTTTAGATATAAGAAGAAATTAAGTTTTTTTTTCTAATATATAAAAAAATTGCTCAAAATAGTGCAGACATCAAATGACCGTCTAAGTACCGATTTTCTTTTCATTTTATACTCGGAACTACCACTAAAAAAATGTCGGTACTTGTCTAAAACTAAAAGCATTACTGCTACTTGTAACAAACATATGTTGTTATTTTCAAATACTACACATCAAAAACATAAAAGAAAGTGTATCACCAGATATTGTTGAAACAAAAAATATAATTCATGAATATTCACAAACTTGGACCATATTACAAAAATATGGAATTAATTTTTTGATAAAACCTCTTTTTTAGATTTCAACAATTCAACTCGAAGAATCCACTAGTTTACAAACGAATACATCACTAGTTACAAAAATTTGGAATCAAACGGCGCCTTTGTTTAAACCACCACTCTTGAAGAATTCTTTAATACTTTATTATATTTTACTCTGCGCTTACATGACGTACGTACAAAAATATTAATTAAATAGTTTATACAGTTGGTAGTAAAAAAGTAGTATTACTGATCTATTTAAATAAAACAAGCCGTAACTACGGCTGCAGCAAAGTATTCAAAACATCCGCATCGTCGGAGCGTAGTTATAATTATTTTCAAATAAGCCTATCGCGTTTAAATCTGTTAAAGTGTTTTATTTAAATATGTTCTACTCGCAGAGACATTACTGGTTACGAAACCAAGGTCCAGGACCCCGGTCCTTTTAATCACAGCTGAACCAGAGGTGTTCTGAAATATTTACTCAATATGTTTCACTTCGGTTTTATAGTAATTTGATCTGAAAAATTTAATTATTTTTAGGTCCACTGGATTCACAATGTGGGTACCTACAATGACTAACGCATACTTTAATGGAGATGATAACAGTGGAAAGACCTTCTGTGAAGTCGCAAGTACAGCTGCCAAGAACGAGGTACGTAAGGTCCACTTAACATGTAAACACAAATACAAATATTCACTACTGAATTATGTTAGTCGCCACCGGTGGTTGCAAAAAAACTCATTTACTTAAAATTAGTTTAATTAAAAATATTACATTTAATTAATCCTATTTGTCTCCCTGTGCACGATGCATCAGTTCGACGCTTACAATTATATTACTACATTTCATTAAATCTAGGTGTCTCCCTGTGCACGATGCATCAGTTCGACGCTTACAATTATATTACTACATTTCATTAAATCTAGGTGTCTCCCTGTGCACGATGCATCAGTTCGACGCTTACAATTATATTACTACATTTCATTAAATCTAGGTGTCTCCCTGTGCACGATGCATCAGTTCGACGCTTACAATTATATTACTACATTTCATTAAATCTAGGTGTCTCCCTGTGCACGATGCATCAGTTCGACGCTTACAATTATATTACTACATTTCATTAAATCTAGGTGTCTCCCTGTGCACGATGCATCAGTTCGAGCTTACAATTATATTACTTATTTATTAAATTAGGTTCCCTTGCACATGCATCAGGTTGACTCTTACAATTATATTACTACATTTAATAAATCTGTTGCATGATGCATTGGGTGACTCTTGATTAATATCTTATTAAAACGGACCAACAGTAGCGTCACATACCGATCGCACGGGTATCGAATACGCGCACTATCAGCAGTTTCCCCGTAGTGGCACAGCTTAGGGCTGTCACAAAACGTGTGTTAACAACTGTCACAAAACGTATCAATAAATAACAATTGATGGAAATTAACGACTAACGGCGGCTTTATAGCTAAATAGCTATCTCTTCCAAGCAACCGCGGTTAAAAAAGGAAACTCAGTTATAAAAAAGGTAGGCGTGACAGCAGAAAAATAATATAAAAATGTCCTTAATCTAAAATACATTAATTACTAACTTTTTATCATGTGTAGTAAGTAGGTCATTTAAAAGGGTAGCCTGGTAGGAAGGATAAAATAATACGGTTATTTTACTAATCATAATTCATATACAAATAATATCTTTTTATATGAATTATGTGTAGTGATTTGAGATATTTTCCCTAATCGGTGATTTTAGGCAAAAGAACATACGTAGCGGTACGTAGCTATAACGCTACGGCGTAGAGATTGGTAGATCCCTATAAGATCTGTTGCTCAATGGGTTCTAGGTTCGAATCTAGTCGATACAATATAGTTCGGATCGGTAAAGCCACACAAGACAGATAAACTACTTGCATGTTATTGCACTTTCAAACGTTTCACTGTATATATTAAAAAATAATCTTATCGTGATAATAAATGTACATCTAATAGTGATTAACAGGCCAATAAATGTATAATAAATGATTACTAACTTGTGTTTAAAAAATATGTATGTTACTTTAAAATATCGTCTACACAGACAGGACTTAAACCTGCGTATCGTATTAAGAATTAACAGTTTCACAGATATTTCAATATAACACTTAAAACGCGATATATATTCGTTAAACTTGTTTGAAAATTATTCTAACTAAGGCCCGACGTTTCGGATGCTTTGCAGCAGCCGTGGTCATTGTGAGATATATATCGCGTTTTAAAAGGTTAAAGTGTTTCAGTAAAAGTAGTTTCACAGATAATCAATTCACTAATAGATTTCTTTTTCAGACCACAGACTGTGAGAACACAATACAAACCATGACTCTTTACGCAGTCATGTGCTATTCGGGATTATCTGGGTCCCTGAATTTATGTTTGACCTTCTTGGTGGGTCCACTCGGTAAAAAAAGAACAATAATATTGGTCTTTGTTATTGCAATTGTTGCGGGATTGTTAATACTATTTGTGAAGCATCCGATAGCCAGTATTGGATTATTTTTTGTATTTCTGTATGTTGCTTTGATACTGGGCAATGTAAATACGTATTTAGTAGAACTGAATCCTACGCATTTAAGGTAAGAATGATAAAAATGAAAAAATATCTTAAATTTAATCACCATAGAGAGCTATTTTCATTGTTGACTTATTATATGCTCACGGTTAAAAAATAACTAAAGTAATAATATACATTTTTGTATTATAATTTTTGTGGGGCACAAGTTGACAACTTGCCTGCCTGTAAAAGAATCGATAAGTGAAACGGACACAGAAATGTGTTTGCAGCGCGCCCCAAGACGGGAGAAATGGGATTTACTTATATTAGTAATTGAATAAGTATTTTTTATTTATAATATGTAGATATAATAAAAAAACGCGTCAAATTATATAAATAGCGAGTTTATAAATTGGCAAAGTATAATATGACTTTTTACAGAGGAATGGCGACTTGTTTATCAGTAGTAGTGGCACGAGGATTTGGTTTCTTCAGTGTTCAGCTGATAGCAACACTTTTAGCTGAACAATGTACACCAATGCTTGTAGGATACATCGTCCTCGTTATAAGTAAGTATTTATTCTTATAAAGAGAAGAAAAGCCTTAAAATAATGAAAAAATAGAATAGTAATAAGTACTTCAACAGTGTAAAATAACAGCAAAAATAAGTGCATACTTTTTGTGAATATTTTTTACTTGGTAGTTTACACAGTTTAGATAATTTTAAAACGCATTAAAAATTTTATAATTGTACTATTTTATTTCAGGTGGACTGTTAGTGGCAACTTTATTACCAATAGATACGGAACCGCGGTAGTAAATGTATTAATTAAAAAAATTTACAATACAATTTCGACTACCAAGTTATTAGATAACATTTTTATTTTATTATGTATATCTACAATGTGTACAATTCCTAAAATATTCCATTTGCATCTCCTCAAATCAACATCACATCATCAAGTCTGAAATACAAGACTGAAATACAATACATTTTAATAAATGTAGTCTAAAGTTAAAAGTATAATAAAAATAAAAAACACTGCGAAGGTATATATTTATGTTATGGCAACGTGGTAAATACGTGCAATTGTAATGTCAAAGTTTCAGTCAGTGGTTTTAATACTTGGAATATGTCAAGTGTCAAACTGTCGGCTGTCATCAAATTGTCATTCACTCTAGTATTGTGCTGTGAGCCCGCTGGAGAAATGTCCGATACCGCCGGCGATAATTTAAAACTTCGAGTAGTTGTTTTAGGAGGTAATTAATTATAATATTTGTTAATTTATCAATCGCTCAATAGGTGACAACAAGGAGATTTGTTTTTGCCATAATAAGATAGTATTTTTTTAAATTTAGTAACGGTCTCGTTAGTCATCGGGTGACCTAAGTTTTTTTGTTTTCAAAGTGATTGTTTCGGTGCAGGGTGCGGCTTCATCGGTCGTAACTTAGTAGATCACCTAATTACCAATGATTTGGTGACTGCTTTACGAGTTGTAGACAAAACGCCGCCTCAGCTCGCTTTCCTCAATCCGACTCACACAAAGGCCTTTGAAGATCCTCGTGTGGAGTATAAAAGTGCCAACCTAATCAATCCAGGTATGTACACTGAGTACTTAATTATTAAAACCTATTATAATTATTTAATTGACTATATTTTAATAACGCGAGTTACTTATAAGTCTCAATATTCCCAAATTTTATAGCTAGCCTTCTAATAGTTCATGAAATTAAATTTCAAATCTAAACAAATATTCTTTTTCATTAATAAATAATATACACATATTACTAACCAATTTTGCAACTTTTTAGGCTATAAAATAATATTTTTAATGTGCAAGTAAGTCATGAAATTGAAGCAAATTATTATAAAACTAAACTTTAACATGCCTAAGTAATATTATGTTATGTTTTAAATTATGGAATTTAACAAAAAAAAAATAACTTAATATAGTCGGCAAATTATGGTCTCCATATTTTAAATATATCTCCTAAATCTGTATAAAGAATAGTCACATAAAACTATTAATTTATGAACTTCAAATGTTTAACCTTGGATATAATATTAGATATTTACTGCTCAAACTATTTTAATAAATAGATAATGTAATTTTTACTATGTATTCCTGTTCAAAGCAGATACATGGAAAAACATATTCTATATTATTTAATACAAGTGTCATTAACATATGTGATAACTTATCACTATTATTCACTTCCATGTAGACATTTATTAATTGTTTTTCCTATGTGATTCGCTACTGGTTATAACTATTATTGTAATAACAACACTGTCTGTCTGAGTTATTATGAAGGCTTATCACATTTAAATATATACCTAGTTAAAGAAATAGTCTGTGCTGGTACATAACAGTACTTAATACATATATGTATACTATGTTGAATTTGGATGAAAATCTGAACTTTTGTTTGACTCTTGACTACAACAAGTTAGTGTATTTAACAACGTTAATAGTACTACTTGTTGTAATAACAAGTTTGATAGAATATTGTATTTTCTGTCTTAATAACAAAGAACAATAATTTCTTTGATTGTTATGAAGAACGGTTAAAATATTTTCCTGAATTCTCAAGATCCATCTCCATGGAAAAAGCTATTGTACCATTTCTGTATCACACTAGCGCACTATATTTATGTTAGTCTAAGGGTCTAGAAACTGAAGTTATTGGAGTGAATGTAATCACCCAGTGAAGTAACTAAACACCCAATTGAATTAAATAAAGCATGAGTGCACAAGGGGCTTTTAAATAAAAATCAATACATTCCTAAACTGCGGGGATTGTAGGGGAGTAGATTTTAATAGCCCAACTAACATTCTCCTATGTTATCCACTTTATGTGATAAGCCTGTAAGTTCCATGCCTTTTCAGTGAACTCGTTTGTATTTTCTAAAATTTATACTAATAAATAAGCTGAAGAGTGTTTGTTTAACGCGCTAATCTCAAGAACTACTAATTCGACTTGAATTATTTTTGTGGTGTTTAAAGTCATTATCTTGGCGTATTAGGAAGGCTATATAATCGCGCTGTGGCTAACAGGAGAATATAGAATAAGAAAAATCTAAAAATGTGAAAAAATAAACATCATTCTAGTTTTCCGATTACGCATTGGAAACTGCTGCGATATCCAAAACATATGCATGAAAGAATTATTTCTCTTTCAATGATTTAATAGTCCGTAATGATATATGTCTAAGATTTGGGATTAAATTGCAAGACCGAGAATTAATATTAGCACTTTAAATCAATATGGTTAAGTTATTTATTTATACGAGACAAGGTAAGTTTGATATTCCTTTTTGTGACCCTTAAATAAATTTCAGAAAGACGTAAGTTTGGAAATGTCTGGCGATCAAATGGATAAGGCTTCACGGTATAAGCGAGATTGATTACGTAATCCCGTAAAGTTGAAAGGTTTCAGATAAATGGGGAATTTATATTATAGTTTATTATGCTTTTTATACAAGATTCACCTATTATATCCTTTTTATATCACGAAATTGTTAAAAATAACACTTCAATGGTTTAAAACGCGATATATATCAGTTACACTATGTGCAAATTATTTTAACTAAACTTCGGACCGGAGTTAAAATAAATTGAAAATAAGTTTAACTAATATATATATATCGCGTTTGAAACTGTAAGTGTTTTATAAACAAGCAGGGGTTCACGTTATGTAAAGTGAAGTAGTCTACCTATAAAGCAGCAGTCGTGGTCACGGGGAGACTGCCTTAATAAGTTAAACTAATATATTGCCAGTTAAAGTGCCGTTAAAGTGTTTTATTTAAATTAACTGAAACTTTTTCAGCTAAAAAATCTGCGTATTAAGTCGGTGGTAGAAGGAATATCAAATTCTATCCTAGTCACGAGCCACGGCCACTTACGGCACATTCCTGGAGTTTTAATGCGTTTCAGTTTAAGCATGAATGTCTAAATAGGATATTTTTGTTAACACATGAGATTCCGGAAAGCGCCGAGACATTTTACACTCTACAGCGATGTACATACGAGTATATCCTATACACATGTGCTATCTAAACTGATAAGCTACCAAAATAAATGTACGTTTTTTGACATGATGTCACTGTGATAACCGGACGGAAACGGATAACAATTTTACATGAAATTCGGATGTAAGATCAATCATACAAGCTATATGATTTCCTAATGTGCACTCTGTTATAACATACTAACTGTGCGTGTGACTTCGTCCGCGTAGAATAGTTACCCACGACGACGGCCGCGTCCCGTCGTTCTTACACGCTTAGAAGATAGACATATCTTGTCGCGGACATTTTTTAGATTTTTTAGAGAGGAATCATACAATTCTTTCATGCATATTTTTTTGGTATCTTGAACTGTTTTCGCAGAACAGGTAGCGAAACCCTCAAACATAAATAATTTTTCCCTTTTTTTTCACATTTCCTACTACTATTTCTTCGCCTTTTTTGGTCGCAGCGTGATGTTTTATAGCTTAAAGCCTTCCTCAATAAATTTTCAATTCGAACCAGTTAATAGATAGTATACTTCGTTGTTTGGCACGCGACATTTTAAGAATAAGTATGTATTTATAATGACCCTTTATGTAAAATTACGCTTTCCCTGTAAAATATTTTCCAAGGCAGAAGTCTAGACAAAGTATTTTGCACTTCCATATTATAAATATGAAATGTCCAATTAATATTCACAACAGATACTAACAATAGTAAGGGTCCAACAATACGAAGAGAATATTGCGTTGTGTGAACTCTTAACAATGGATACGCGAATGCATTATCTTCAGGGGATGTATATAGAATATAGATATTTAATACAGGAAAACCTTCATATTATGTGTTATTTCTTTCTTAGTCAAAAAATCTTCAAATTACAGTCGAGACGCCAATGGCTATTTACGCATTATACTCGAGTAAGGCTCCTGCTAGTCGAAAATTACCCTCTGTGTTAAAAAAAAAGGAATATTGACTGACCCTGACTGGAATCGTAGCTCAATTGGTTAGAGCAATAGCACGGAATGTTGTAGATGCCGGTTCAAATCTGCCCGTATATTTTTTATTTATTATTATAATCAATCATTTCAAGAGTCTGTATTTGTTTCAGCATCATGCGCGTCAGCCCTGGAACCAGATGGCACACCATGGGACATAGTCGTAAACTGTGCAGGCGAGACGAGGGTCGAAAAGACCGAAGCTGTGTACTCTGAGGGCATTCTAACCCTAAGCGTGAACGTGGCCAAACAATGTGCTAAGCTGAAGGTCAATCGTCTCATTGAGATCTCTAGCGGCCAGATGTGCAGTGGCGATAAGGTAAGGGATCTTGAAAAACTAATTAACTAAACAACGAATGTCTAAAAAACAAAAAGCACTGTCAACTTTTTGGACAACCTTAAGGTTCCGATTGAGACCACCTCTGATGGAGATTAAGAATAAGCCACTTAAAAATTTTACTATATCCAATTTATTACATGCAAAAGGGGTACAATTATTTTACAATAAAATGATATAGTATTATCTAATTAATATATAGTAATTAAACCTTGCTTTTTTTCAACAGCCTCACAAAGAAGATGGCGCCGTGGAACCTTGGACGGTGGAGGGTAGAATGAAAAGCAAAGTGGAACAAGAGCTAAAGAAACTCGAACCTGAATTGAATTACACAATTTTGCGACCAGCTATAGTATACGGCATTGGAGATAGAAGAAGTTTAAGTAAGTGGAATAATGAGGTCATTTCACGTTATGTATAAGTAAACATTAGGTTCTCCAAATGGCAATTACGATTAAGTAGATGGTGCTAGTATAGAAGAGTGATTTGACATTCGTTACGCCCTCCGTTGCTTGCTGCTAAATTCGAAACGTTGGGCCGTTTCAATAAATTAAATATAACTTGTACTAATATATTTCACATTTATTCGCATTGAATACACTTGTCGTGGTTACATTAAATAAAATTCGCTAATTCGTTACCTCTTGATTTATATAACGTATACATATATAGCTTGTGTGTAAAACGGTGTAGGTGTTTCAAGATTTAACGGTACTTCAGGGGCACGGGAAGAAGAAGAAGGCTATCTTTTTCTTGGGGATAGTTATATAATATTATCATATGCCCATGTTTCAGCGCCGCGTCTCTTGTACGGAGGTATCTACAAACATTTAGGAGAAACAATGAAACTACTCTGGACCGCCGACCTTAAAGTGAACACAGTACACGTAACAGACCTCTGTCGCGCCATTTGGAAGGTATCCACCATGCCAGACGCAGTGGGACAGATTTACAATGTGGTGGATGAAGCGAACAGCTCACAGGGAAGTCTAGCTGAAATGGTCGCAGAGATATTTAAAATTAACCACGATTATTATGGAACGGCTATATCTACATTGGCAAAGGTAAGAGAATCATTATTTTGTTTGTCATTTATTACTTTTGTTATGAAGTGGATTTCGAGTTGTTTGTTTCTATTATAAACTTTACAAATTACGCGTTTTTAATCAGTTTGTCTTGTTTTTTCAGTAGTGAACAACTATTTTGTTAGCAAAATTTGAGATACAATTTTTAACTTCGACGACTTTGAAAACGAAGTCTATCATTATATATATATTAATTCACGTAGAACTTATACATATATTCTGTGAATATAGTGTCACTCGTTAACAGTCCTATGGTCCATTTGAAAATGTATCTTCTTGTTCACTACTTTGCTGATGACGAGGCCCTTTTTCCATCTGAAGCTTCGCTCGTATCAAGTAATTATGTGATCTTATGTCTAAGTTCTTAAGTAAATTTTAATTGGTTTTATACGGGTATTCAAATAAAAAACAAATAATGTTTAATGATAGCCTGAAATAAAATATACCGAGCCCAATAAAAAATTCTTTTTCCATGTAATTGATTTGGTCACGTTTTGTTTATTTGAGAATGACATAGCCTCAGTGGCGGAGGAAGCGAACGTGAAACACTTGACTGCCTGGGCCGACATTTGTAGGAAGTACAACCTAGAACATTCCCCGCTCGAGCCCTTCGCCAGCACGGAGCTGCTGCTAAATAAGCAGCTGTGCCTGGACGGCAGCAAGTTGCGCGCTGTGCTGCAAATGGAAGTACCCCGACCGACTGTTGATAAATTACTCGCAGTAAGTTAACTTCAGAAATAATAAGTATCGTAAAGAGACGTTTGAATGTTTTAAAAACGAATAGTCCTCTGAAACTATTTAAGATATTTTTAAGCCGTCACGCAGAGTTTAGCTCTTAAAATTGCAAACTAAATAAAAAATTTTTAAACTTTAATATTTACCACGTGATTGCGCTATGTAAATTAGAAATCGTTTTAGATTGATAAACTTTATACATGCCACACCGGCAACCACAGCGTTCCTTGTTCTCGGTTCAAGTCCCGTGTCAAAAATTGACAATTAAAAATAAAAAGACCAATCCTGCCTCAGCATTCATATGACTTATAATGTAATATCTATTTCCAGGTATTGCAGGACTATGCATCAATGAATCTCTTTCCCAATGAACTACTTCTATGACCGTGATTAGTTTAATAGGAGAGCTTAAAAGCGCTTGAATTTGCGCTTTAGTTGTAAGCGATGTGAGCTTCTAAAGTGATGTATTTTTCTAAATTTATTAAGTCCACTTTTAAATACTGTGATAACATCTTACGGCTGAAAAAATTGCTATTTCAAGTTTGACACCAATCTTCAATTGACACTTGCCTCAGTCGAGCCAAAACTAACAGCCCTATCTATTAAACAATCCAACTTATCTTTTAAAATAAGATAGCAGGCTATCTTTGTAATATCGTCGAGATGGAAAAACTTTATCTATAAAAGTATATATAAATACCAAAGACAGGTGTTTTTGCAAATTTAGATTATTTGTGTCTAATAATTTTGACTACAAATATTGATGACAACAGAAATTTTGGAGAATGTCATAATGTTAGGATTGGTTTTAATGATGTCCCTTACCTGATGAAGACTGGGAATACCAAAAAAGGATAATTGTCGAGTTAAATCTACTGATTCCTTTCTATATTCCATCCAATTAGAATTCTCAAAATTATATAACCTAAGAGTACTTAATTTACTTTAGTACTTAATTTTCTCAAAGCGTCATTTATTTTACCATTAGATAATAAATATGTCATTTTAGTTTATATTAAGCTTAGCGTAAGCTTTTGTATTTGTATTTTCCCGCTCAAACTATATGCATTTTTGAAAAATTGCTTCGGGTGAAATTTTATGAAACTAAGTTTCCTTCGTTTGTGCATTTACGTATAACAGAATTACGTAGCTTCATTATGTGATCCATATCTTTATTTGCAAAATAAAAATTATCGAATTTAATCTTTCTGTATTATTTTACTTCCGCCACTGTAAATCGATGTAGGCCTTTTTCATAAATAATTTATCCTACGATATTCTAGCCATACACTTTTTATTTGAAGAGTAGTTAAAAGATAGATGTTTCCAAAATACACCAACTTTAAACTTTTTAAATAACAACTTCTTTTTCATTTAACAAACTTTATTCTTGTATAACAAACTGTCGTAATATTGTAAGGAAAGAATATATGTACGCATAAAACTTAGTGAAGAAATTTACAATATTATTTTGTCTGGAGACTTGTAAACACCAATACGTTCAAACTTTTGACAATATCCACCTTATGACATTTAGTAACACATACAAGACTTACAAATCGTTTAATTGTATTGAAATAGTAACATATAAATATCTAATATTTAGATTAACGTCAATTTATAACAATTACTGCGAATTTATGTTACATAGTTCAATACAGGCAGTTTCTATCTAACATACCTAATACATATGTTAGGATGAATAAAAACGTATAAGTTTCATGTCAAAACTAGTGTAACAACTTTTACATTTAAAATCTTCGTTTCGATCGATTTAAACCGAAACATCGGTGGCTTGCTGTCTTAATAGTTCTCTAGACATGTTGGCGATGTGGTTATCTCTTTCGCTCTTATTTGGCTCGAGCGAGACAGATGGAGCGGTCATCCGTGCGCGCTGTCAGGTGTGTTCACGTGGCAAAAGTCGGTTAGAGGCAGAATGACTACTTGTATCTGAAAATGAAATATATTATATTAAAAACTTGAAGGAATAATCATGTGCATCTTAGTTCGCGAAGACGAGGTAGTTCAGTCCCCAGTCGGGTACGCAAAATATATTGCGGTGTTCTCGGTCATGCTGCTCTTTGGAACACTCTGTAGAATCACGACAGACAGGCAGACAAACATATTATTTTGACGAATCTTAATAATTTTTTCAATTTTAAAGAGAATAATGTGAATTTTATTTTATTTTTAAATTCGACTTAAATTAAATGCGACTTACCCTCAGTTGATCTCTGTTCGGTCCCAGCAAGTGCTTTGGCTCAGGTTGCTCACAGTTCTCTGTACACTTCGAACAGCGACTGTTAAAAAAGTAAGATATATATATTTTTTTAAATATCTATTCGAATGACAGTATCATGCTACTAATTTAAAGATTTTCATTGTATTTTTAGTAGCAATAGTTGATTGTTTTCTTTGTATTTCTACTTTCTGTTTGCAGAAAATTTATACTCGTATATTGGACTCTTAAAAATTATTAGCTTTTCCGTACCTTTGCTTGGTGGGCGTCGGGGAAGAAGCAGCCGGCGTATACAATGGCGTGTTCAATTCGTCGAAGTCTAAAGCGCCATCTATGTTTAGAACTCTGAAACAAGTGTAAAAATTTAAACATATCCGATTATTATATCAAATATTTCATGAAATTGTTGCTTAAAATTAGGGTTCTAGGATAATTCTAGGGTTATAGTTAATGGTAACCTTACCTACTCTGACCAGAGAACCTATGGACTCTTTCCACCACGGAAGCGATGTGCTCGACGCCATTTTGCACTCCCCACACCAGGATACCCACCTGTCATACACAAAACAGTTTGAATATAAGCAAAATAGATAATAATAATAATACTCTTCTACAAGGACTGGACCACGCTCCCTCGAAAGCACCGTAACTGGTTGGTGGGGTGTTAAATGTTTCTGGTCGACTACTGTCTCCGAGAAGGTTGTAGTATGATATACCACAAACCCCACCACATCAGTTAAAAAGGACTGACCAATCAAATAAATAAAAAAATAGCCACAGCCATAAAAGTATATCGTTCTAATTAGTAATACAACTTTAAATATGTGATACATTGATGTAATGGCAGCAACATATGGTTATCAATGGGTTGTGGGATCTTCTTCTCGCATGAAATGTTAAGCCTAGTATATGAAGTTAAATCCCCTTCCCCACCTCCCCAAGGGCCAAACGTTTAGTCTTCAGTAACCAATTTATTTTAGTTACAGACAAGAGTCGATCAGATTTCTTTGCCCTGCCCGACACATAATTTATTGTTTCAAATCCAGGTGCTCTTATGTGGGATGCTGAAATCCTAGAAGTGGAAACCGTCAAATAGATGGTCTCTTACTTTCACTCGGACGTCCGGTTCGTCGGATTCCTCACTTTGGTATCTATAAGCCTGCGGAGTGTTCTGGCAAGTTATGGATATGCGGACTGTACGCAACACTACCTCTGGCACCTGGAACAGAATATAAGATTTTTTTATTAGAGCTCTCATTGATAAAGCTGAAGAAAAAGAGTGGCCTAAAGCTAGTTCTTATGGTACAACCACAGGCAGAAATGATTCATACATTACTTATACTATATTTTTCCTTACTTGGCATTTTTGGTAAACAAACACACCATTTACATGAAATCGTTATTCTCCCACAAGGTTAAAATTGATTCACACTTAAAACACTTTGAGACACTGGATTATATCACTTTTTTAATTTAATTATATTACCCTTTTACCGCCAACCCCTATTTCTTAACAACCAATAACTGATCCAGTGTCACTTGGTAAGTTATCCCCCAGGCATCCCCTCACCAATAACAATAAATTAATGCTTGTTATTTTTAATTCTTTAACTTACATACTAGAAATAATAATATAGCATAAAAAATGTTTACCGGGTCAGTTAGTAATAAAATTAAATTCTAACAACGCTCTCAAATATTGAAAAAAAAAACAGTTGCCTGGCGCTGAGATTGATAAAGGGGTCTTTTGGGACGAGTGGGTTTTTCGATACTCACATCATAAGTCCCCGACCATACAATAAGCATACTCTTCTTGAACCAAACTCCTTTCGGATACAGGTCGACTGTCCATTCGCTGAGTCTCTCCGTGGCGACGTCGGCCACGCTGGGTCTTGTGGAGAAGATAAACGTCCTCGTGTGATAACAAGGCAGCGAGTGAAAGTTGTCAACACCGAGAATCGAACCCCAGATGTCCTCGGTATAAAGGCGTGGCGTGAAGATCAAGCGGCCTTGTTCGGAACGTTGGATTTCTGCTATGCATTCGTTCTGACCTTGACAATGACATTATTATAATCACTACTTTTGTTACTTATCATCACACAGAATGTCTACCAGCTTTACCATGTCTAGGATATTTTTTTAATAAAATAGCTATTTTACTGATCACAAATTTCATTCGATGAAATGTAAGAAAAAGTTTAGATTGGTTAAGTTACATTTTTATTTATAACAGAGGCGATAAGTAGGATTCACTTCATGTATGGTGACATACCCCAGCATCTAAGTATGATGCGCTATTTACTTATTTTGATTTTAAACATTCGAAGACTGAAAGCGAAACTCCAATTTAATCTTAACAAATTTTATTTAGCCAAACCCTTCCTGACCCTTGCATCAGTCTACTTACCAGATTGATAGCTCATTGCGATGGCCATCCTCTCCATGAAGAATTCCTTATATTCTTGTGTGAGGGGACAAAGAAGCAATTTGGCCAACTGCTTCGGACACATCATCGGAAATCTATAAAGATAAATACCATTACATTAGTAACATGAATATTATTTGAAAAATACGATATTTAACACGCTCTCATTACCTAACATGAGATACGATGGTGGAAACCAGCGAGTCCCAGTGCTGTTTACATTCAGCTTCACTCGCCCCACTCAAACTCAATCTCTCCTTTTGTTGGTTGAGCCATTTTTCTACGAACCTGTAAAATATTATAACCTTTTAAAAATACAGGTAGTCACTACAATGACGAAAAACTGACTTTTATCCATACTTACCGATACAGCACACACTCGTTGTGCACGACGAGGTCGCTCTGCTGCAGCAGCAACAGCATTGTCTCGTCTTCCAACTCCGAGATATCAGCTTTCGACCAGACCCACTCCATATTCCATTTCACAAAGTTTTGACAATTCTATGCAATAAGTAAATATTCTTGACCAAGCTTATTAAAGAAAAAGCCTTAAAAAAACACTTTCAACGGTTTAAAACACGTCAACCTTATTTTTAATTTAATTAATTTAACTACGGGCCCATGCTCTAGATGGGGTCTCCATGTGGGTCCGTAGTTCAATTAAATAAAAATATTAAAGGAATAAATTTCGCGTTGTAACATTTATTTTTTTATATCTAATTTAATAGTCCCGTAAACTACAAAAAATAATAACTTGCTCCTAACTAGACGAACTAAACGTACATCTTCGTTTTTGACGTACCTTGGCAACATCATTATGACCACAAGCCATTGTGTACTGCATCCAATTGATGAGTTGACCCTTCTGCGCAGCGAGTGCTATATGTTGCGACATATATTCCAAACATAGCGAGACTAGATCCTGAAAAATACATGTATTTATAACACCATTACTAGTTGACTGAGAAAGCATTGTTTTGCCATACAAATTATTTCTAGAGACAATTTTCGTAGGAAAAATTAACTAATCTATTGTGAGTATCTGAGGATGTGGCACATGAGTCAAAGAGGCAAAAAATAGATAGCCTATTCTTAGACCTCGTTAGGTCTTAGAATTTAAGTCTTTGCTTATTGTGCTTTTATTAATATTTATTGCTATTTTGTATGGGGAAGCGTAAATTACCTTAACATTATATTTATCTCCCAAAGACAGAACAGGCAAAACACTTTGATAAGAGATTTTTATTTGTCCCGTATAGAAATACCTGAAACAAAATGTTTCTTTTTACCAAAAATCTAACAAGTTTCTTATATAAATTGAAATCCCGTTGCCCCCTTGTAGGGTGTGGGGCGAACTCATTTTTGTGTATGTTTCACTGATCTGCACCCGACTGGAACAACCTTTTTTTGGTTCCCTAGGATTGAACCCTGGACCTGAACCTCTCGCGGATAACGCAATGCTAGGCAATACATTTAACCATTTGGCTACAGAGGCGGTCAAGTTTCTTAATATTTAATAAAATTATTTTATGGGAAATACAAAGATACAATCTCTACTGTATGTGACTTACTTGAGAAAATGTGGAAAGACAGAAGCTGCTGTGGGTGTTTCCTGCAAGACTATTTTGCTCTCGCTCCATTCACTCCATTCTCTATTCATTAACATAACCTGCATTTCCATAAGATAATATATATATTTACAGTATAATAATTTTTTAATTATATCTGCAGGATTATGCTTTTTTTTATTTAAGGCAAAAATAATTCAAGATTATTATGTTGCATAATGGATACTGCCTATAAATTATTAATTAGTGGTAAAGTTTTAAACTGTGCTCACCTGAAAGACCTCACTGCTAGCACAAAGTATCAACCTGTGAGCCGGATAACCAACACCTCCTACTTCTAATATGAGATCACTCATCAACTGCTCTGCATATAGCGTTGCAATCTTTAGTAAAACACTTTTAGAATTATCCACCTAAAATGAACCATTTTTAAAAGCCATAAAAAATTATATTGATGTATGTATTTATTATAGGCATATTAGGTTTGAAAGAGCCTTATGACTATGAATCACAGTCCACATGTATAGTATCCATACTATACTGCAACCTTTAACATCACATTAGTATGAGAAAAGCAGCAATAAGATGGAATAAGAGAGATTATATTGGTTACAATGCTTACCTCCAAATCCTCAATTTCAATGTCATCCTTTTTATCAAAGCTGGTGGATGGTTTACAACTATCTACAGTTAAATAACTCATTGTTATTCCCTTATCTCATCTAAGTAGAGGAATCAGGTGTTTAATGCAGCAAACTTAAAGGTATTCATGAAAACTTCTAATACAAGTACTTTATTTCGCTGAACAATTCGGAGAATAGTACTTATTTGCTTTCTACTATAATAATTCCTATTAAATTATATGAATTTTAGGCAAACAGAAATAAAAATAGGGTAAATATTGCAAATTATTTATCTTGAAATTTCAGATTTCTGACACTTTACTCTAGCCTGTCACGCGGAATGCCATAATTGTCTGTCAATTCAAATAGTAAGATTTCTTCTTACTTCTTCTTCTTTATTTGATGGCTCTCCCATTCTAAATGGAGATAATATTTTATCTGTACCCCTAGAGTTCAATATGAAAACTTCTGTCTATCACTGTCATTTGTCAATACAACTGTCAGCTACCGGCGCAACAAATATTTACATTCAATTATTGATAGAAGATTTAAGAAAATAACAGTCGCATAACTAGGTATATGTTTTTGTTACTAGATCATGACTAATTCCAACTAATCTTATACCATATCTACTTTCTAAATGTATAAAAAAATGATATCGCTGAAGAAAAAGACGGTAATTCTATTAACCGCAATATCAGCGAGCAGTTTCATTCTTTATCAGTTGTATTTTTTCTTAGCGTTATCGTCGGAAAAAAACTTTAATGGCAAGATAATACCGGTTCTCGATCACGAAAGTGTTAAGCAATTAATACATGTACGATCGGAGCACGATAAATATATAAATGAAAATGGTTTGTTAAGAGGTGTATACTTCAACCAAGTGAAGGACTATAGACCGGATTCCAAAAATGAGTTTAAATGTCGAAGTTCCAAGCAGCAGATACCTTTTGAATATGTGAATGATGATTTCTGTGATTGTGATGATGGGACAGATGAACCAAGTACAAATGCCTGTCCGAGTGGAATTTTCTACTGTGACACACAATATCCAAAATCTTCTATTAACTCCATACCTTCCGGACAAGTTAATGATGGTATCTGTGACTGCTGCGATGGATCTGATGAGTGGATATTGGCCGGCAAACAGCGTTTAGTAAGACAGAATGGGCCTCACAACATTCGACATTATGTTACCGTGTGCCCCAATATATGTACAAAGTCAAGTTAACAAGTTGACACACAAGGTTGAACATAACTGAGTTAAAATTATCCATATTTTATCAATTGTTGTATAAATATCTGTATATCTGGTACTGTTATAGACTTATATGCATCCTATTTAGATTTATTAACTCACCCAACCAGTTACTCAATAGAAATATATTTAAAATTATGTACTTGTAATTGGTAAAGAATTCAGCAAATTTTTTCACTCCTAGATTTAATGGTTGTGTTCTGTTTTAGATAAAGACATGTTATAGGGTTGTACATAAAAGTGTTTTGAAAAGACTGATGGATTTATATATAATAAAAACTAAAAAGTCCTATAAGTTATATTTTTATTTGGAGAAATGCTTTTACGAGACATAGGTTTCCTTAACTCAATTGATGAAGATAATATATTATTACATTGAAGAAATACTTTTATATTATGTAGAATAATACTTGTTAATAGCAATTATTCTTTGTGACATAAATAATTATTGAATAATCCTCTCACGGGAAAAAGATAATTTATTCTATAGTGTATTTTTTGTAACTTGGCAGTTGGTAAAAGACCACAACATATATAGCCGATTTGAAATCATTGTGATACCATTTACAGAGTGTAGTCGTTGCCACAGATGACACATGATTAAATCAATATCCATTATATATGGACCAAACGACCACAATATTTAAAATCACTTTTATGATAACTTAATACACAAGTATTATGTCAATATCATTTAACACGATTTATAACGCTTTTTAGTGATTGTGTATAAGTGGGACTTCAACCTTTTATTATATTTTAGAGTTTACCATAATTATTAAAAGTTACCATATATTTTTCGTACTGGCATTGTTATACTGTCATTTGATTTTGACATATAACGCGACCCGGCGCGGTCTTTGAGAGTTGAGTTTTCTAGAAAAAAATTGTTATTGCGCACTGAAAAGGTGGCACGTGCATTATTATTTAAATAATTTAAGCCAATTCTCTGCACGATAAACCATGACCGTGGACGAAGGTGTCGATATCTCGAAGGCAGGAGACCGCGGAGTCCTAAAGAGGATAATTAAAGAGGGCGAAGGCACCAGCACCCCTAACGCGGGGTGCCAAGTAACCGTTCATTACACTGGAACCTTGTTGGATGGAACAAAATTCGACTCTAGCAAAGACCGCAATGAGCCATTTGAATTTAATCTAGGAAAAGGTAAGTTGGTTGATTTTAATGAAGACCTTGTCTTTTTCACCACACTTTTTACATTATTCTCTATGAATGTTCTGATGTAAAAAGAAACAAAACTATTAACTAATAGTCGGTGCACTGTGTGGAAATAAATTTCTTTATTTAATATAAAACTCGATTTCTCCTCTAAGCAGTAGCCACATTCTTTAATACTCCATTTTTCCTTTTCTTAATCTTCTATGCTCTGCCTAACCAATCATCCAAGTGTAAACTGTTCCCCCCAAATTAGATATTATCTTATATATGGGAACCACCATATTATTTGTAGTTTTCTGTGGTTAGACCACTTCCTTCTTGAATATACTGATATCACAATCATTAAAAACATACTTAATGTAAATTATTATTACAACAAAATTGTTATATATATGATTTATTATAGTATCAGGATATAATAGAAATAATTTTATATAAACAGACCAAAAAATATTTTATTGTATAAATAGTATATATAAACACATGAATTATGTTTTCTAGACAGTGTAATAAAGGCATGGGAAATTGGTGTGGCGACTATGAAGAAAGGTGAAGTGTGTGTCTTGACATGTGCTCCGGAATATGCCTATGGTGCCAAAGGAAGCCTACCAAAGATTCCACCAAATTCAACATTACAGTTTGAGGTAACATTTTTTACCTCATTTTATTACTTTTCATTAACATGACATGACAAAGGACAAGTAATGATGTCAGTGGTATTTCTACGCCTATGTATTGAAGGAAATATGTATAATATTTTACTGACTTTGAGTTTAGAAATTTAAGCTATGTTTTAATATAAAGTTTAAATTGCCACAGAGAACTGTATCCTATTTATAAAAACACATTTAACAAATATGGAATATATAAAACTGATTAAGCATTTGTCAGCAACATAAGCTCCTCTTGCCCAGAATTTTAATATTTGGTCTATGCTATAATGTAAAACCTCATACATCCATTAAGGTTATAAGAGTCACACTTTTTGAGCAAATGTGTGAGGGTAACAATAAATGTGTGTGCCTTGCCTGTGTTCAGCGCAAGGGCACATGTGTTGATAACAAAACTGCCACCATCTAAAGTGGTGGTACTTATCAGAAAACATGCTTTGTTCCAGATTGAAATGATTGATTGGACGGCAGAAGATTTAAGTCCGAATAAAAATAAAAGCATACTCCGTTACATAATAGAGCAAGGTTCAGGTGTAGACAGCCCCAACGATGGATCAGTAGTAACAGGTAAAATCATTTTATAGTTAATTTGAGCCACGGTCTATAACGTTTTTTGCTAGGTTACTTGATATTAGATCAAAGAGATGCAGATCATTCGTGAGTCATAATAAAAGCTAGTTTTTATAATAATCAATTCAATGGTTTTACAGTGGAACTGGAGGGAAAGTTTGATAGCAAAGTATTTGATACACGTACCGTTACATTCACATTGGGTGAAGGGAGCGAACATAATGTTTGTGAAGGTATCGAGAGGGCACTCGAGAAGTTTTTAAAAGATGAGAAATCCCACCTAACAATACAACCAAAGTATGCCTTCAAATCTGAAGGAAACAAAGACTTGGGTGTTCCACCCAATGCAGTGGTAGAATATACAGTGAAACTAGTCAGTTTTGAGAAAGCTAAGGAGTCATGGTCAATGGATGGAGATGAAAAACTGGAACAAGCTAAGATTGTTAAGGAAAAAGGTACAGATTACTTCAAGAGCAGCAAGTACCAGCTGGCCATTAAGAAATATAAGAAAGTGGTATCATTGCTTGAAGGTGAGATTATATGTTGCTAGAGTTTACGAATTATATATATTATGCTGGTTATTTGGAATAATATGTACTATATTCTAAAAGACTAACACAGCGACACAGTGACAGTCTGATAACCCAATGACCTCCACAAAAGGGGAATGGGGAAATGGGTGAAGTAGGTTAGCAAATGACCCCAACAGAAAATAATAATAATAATAGGAGTAACATAATTAAACCCTGTTTATAGATATGCCTGACAACACATCAGAATCTGAAGAGGACCAATCCAAAGCCAAGGAGCTCTTGATATCCGCGCACCTCAATCTAGCGTTGGTATACTTGAAGGTGACCCCTATCCACTATTATGAGGCCCGAGATCACGCCTCTAAGGCACTTAAGTTTGACAGCAAGAACGTCAAAGGACTGTTCAGGCGAGGTCAGGCGTTATTGGGGCTGGGGGAAGCGGAGGGAGCTATTAAGGACTTCCAGGCGATCGTGGAAATGGAACCACAGAATAAGGTGACTGGTTTCTTGATGAAGTAAATGTGTCAGAGGTCATAGAGAGATCGAATCTTACGAAATTATTGAATCCTTACCCATAAAGTTAAAATTTTGTCTTAAGAACTTTCTGCTTCTAGTTAAAAAAATAATAGTATCGGACTGCATTTTAGGCTGCAGCGAACCAAGTGCTGGTGTGTCGCAACACGCTCCAGAAGCAAAAACAACGCGAGAAACAAATGTATGCAAACATGTTTGATAAGTTTGCCAAGCACGACACGCAGGTATTGTATTTCTTCACTAAATATTATATACAACCCGTAAATAAAACACTTTTGTTTCTAGCAGCTGTGTTTACTGGGAAACGTCGGGTCGGGGTTTAAATAAACAAAAAATAACTATTATATACCATATTTCGCTGTTTAAACCGATGGAAGCCTTTTAAATGTGTACTGCTTTCGCGAACGTAGACTTAGTTGTGTTACTTTTTATTATTTGTACTTTACTTAGAGTACTATTGCATCAAATGGAGCTATTGAAACACATTTGTATCTTATGGGTTTCAACTATATATTTCAGGTAGAAAAACAGCGAGCCAAAGAGGAGGTGGACGTGATAGGAGAAAAAGTGGGGGAATGGGGCAAGGGAGAGGGCGAGTGGACCGACGAACAGAGAGACCGGAAGCCCACTGAGTTCGAGAAGGAGAACCCTAATATACTTTTGCTGGACAAGGTGAGATCAGAAGTGTGCCATAAAAACAAAAGAGTTTAGTTTACCAAAAACACAAAAAATATTACTGAAACCTTTTGTCTGATAGTGCTACTAGTTTATTTTGTTGAGCGTGTGTCAGACACATATAATATATATTATATGTTGTGTTACTTATTTTGTGCCATATTGGACTTCGTCTGAAAATCTGGACATTGTATGGGTGATAGAAACGTCAAAATTTCGTCCTGTTCAGGAACCAACGCCCACAGATGAATAATATATCCACAAAAAGGGGAATGTCACCTTCCATCATTTGAACCCCGTGCTAGTCAGTCTATGTTCCTCTATCATAAAAAATTAATTGAAAATTTCTTTCAGCCCTTTTACTAATTCTCTCACTTATGATGTTCTTTCAGGATGGCCAGTTCGAAAACATGTGAGACTTCAGCAAAAATATCGCTGCCAATCCGGAGAATCGCTGTTTGATATTTTCCAGAAGTACAATTATTGTCGGTAGGTTTCAACTTATCAGAATGTTCAATTGTGTTCAATGCCTTCAAAGTGCAATTCTCTCAACGTTATGCAATGGATCTCGGCATCTTAACTGTTTTAAATACTTGTGATATAGAATTTCAATATACCCTCCTATAATTTTTCCACATTATTGACTATTTTTTGAATTAGTGGATTCAAAAAACGTGCACTACCTTATATTGAAACCGAATTGTTAGGTAAAGTAAACAATAATTATTTTACTTTAATTATACACATATAAACCTAAAAATGAGGGTACTTTAGAAACGGCTAGCTGTAGTGTAGCTTTTTCACGTGTGATGGAATACATTTTTATTTTTTAATGAATTAGCCATGCGTATTATATGAAATGTTATTTGTATGTATATTGGGTTTAGTGGACACTGCAAACTGATTGTTGGTGAGATAAATTCAATAAAATCCTGTTAAAGTGATTGTGTTTTGTTTACCGATTTATATTGTTTTTCAAATAAGATGTCTTGATTGATGAAGTAGTGTGTAATGTAATTTAGTCTAATTATTAATATAAAAGGTAAAGGCTTATATAAAGAAATGGTGAAGGTGAATACGTGCTTTTAACAAAAGAATATGCTTACTAAACAGAGTGGCTACAAAGCATCAGAAACATTGGATCATGGTCAATTAACAACTAACGTAAATTTTGCGTTTTAAACCGTCAGTTTTTAAAACTACCGGCAATTTTGAAATTTTTTTTTATTATTAACCGTAGGTCGGTATACTTTTAAAACAATAGAATTAATTGTAAGCCGGCAGCTACATAGATTACAGGACAAAAATAAAAGAGCATCGTTCTAGCCAGATTTATTACGTCAATACGGTTGATTACAATAGTAAGAATTTTAGATTTCCTACAATAAACTGAAAAACATGCACTTAACCATGTGTAACCTATGCTCCTTATACTTAGATATGTATAACGTATAAAATATAACAAATCACATCAATGTACGGAGGCTTGCATCACTGCAGAGGTAGATCGGTACTATAACTACACTGTAAAGCTGGGTTGACTGACCGGACTTCTGACGACACGTGTCGCGCCAACGTGTGAACGAGAATGATTTTTAAAAAGGCATCAATTTTAACTCCAAAGAACATAGGCATATCGTTTATATTAACATAAAGTCTAACTTCAGTGTGATTTTTCAAGAAAGCCAAGTAGTCAATAACAAAATAGACAAATTGAACACGAAAAAGAAACAGCGAAGACATCGCAAAAAGGAAAAGCAATCAGCGTCTTAAAATAACTTACATATATCCCGTACATAAAAAAGGTATAATCGTTTTAAAGTATCCATTAACGAATGTAGCTCTTATATTCACGGAAGGAGATAATAGGTCTAACGGTGGCTTCTATTTACACCTTCAATTACTATTATTATTATCAATTTAACACCCAAATCGTGGCTTATCGATGATATACAAATTAGAGTGAAGTCTCTTCACCGCAGTGAGGTAATGGAAAAAAATAGAGTCGACACCCACTGACACATTTTGTGTCCTTGTTTTTTGTAGCAGGTGGTGGGAAAGAGCACTATCAAATTTTTCCGAAAAGACCAAAGTGTTAGCAACCAATACACTGGATCCCGCTAGAATAATTATATTTTTTCAATTTAATTTTACATGATGACATTATAATTAAAAAAATATTTCCACTGCAACCGCGCGCACTGTTACCATGACAACCGCTTCGTTAGATGCGCCTGCGGTCTACGTGCTTTTAATACATAGTGAACGCGTAAATTTTTTTGTATTTTATTCTAAAACATTGACAGTGCCTAATAAAGTAATTTTCTTTAATGTATTGACTTTCAAAGTTTTTTTTAGCAATTAATCATATTCTAACAAGTGAAACATTATGCTTTGTAATTATTGACCCGATCTTGCAATATAACGTTCTTGGTAACGCCACATTACTCAGGGTTTAGACTTCCTCAATTTTCATATCAACGATAAGCACTACAGAAAAAGCCATAAAATTAGAGTCGACACAAATGATTAACTATACTTATTATGCGATAATTTAGAAGCTCTAAACGAACAATCTGAAAGTTTTCACTTACTATTATGACCGATAATTATTATAAGAGACCAGTTTAGACGAGACACGACGAAAGGACCTCGTCTGGAAATCTAAGTTTTAAACGGGCCTGATCTGGTCTGGTATCTCCAATCGTCCGTCTCGCAAAGCTGGCTCACCTTAACTTTAGACAGACTGAGATGGGCCTAATTACACATTCGGGTATTGGGGTAGTATTGTGACCGACTTATCGGAAACTGACGCTTACACCGAGGTATCAATAACACTTCCATAAAATAGAACCACAATACCCTGTGCTCGATTCTAACCTAAATACCTAACAGCTAGGGACATTTATGGTCGCAAAGGTGACAAGTAAGCTCATTTTTCCATAAAAAACGAAAGCCATGCCCACAATGTGCGCCGGATTTTACAAAATTCACCAGAAACGTATTAAGTAGATCATGTAACAGAAATACAAAAATAGACAAGATTCTATTCAACTCAAATGTAGCTTAGATTTTATCCATCCTCAGATGTAAATATCAAAAATATACATATACAAAGTCCGTCAAAAATACATAGAAAAATTACCCGTTGTCCCCTATGCGACGAAATACACATAGAAATGGTAATAATGAATATAAGTTTGCGTAAGTACTATTACATTGAGGTACAACTAACACAGTGTATGTAAGCTATTAGAGGCGACGCACTGGGCAAATAGTTTATACGGACGTGACAATACGAACTTAGATTGAAGGGGAAAAGTGGGGGAACTACGGTGTCTTGACCGATTGAAAGACTACAGAGTACTATCTGCATGGTTATCTATTTCACGTATATACCCTTTGCCCAGTGGGACGTGCCCGAACTGTCGCAACGGACAAAATGCACTGGGACACTTCGTTCCAAGACTCTTAAGAGTCAACAGCGTTAATTTCAAGAAATTGGATGAATCCCAGTAAATTTTGCAGCTAAGCCAACAGATGCGCCGTGCTTCCGCGAGGACGAACGGCGCAGTTAACCCCCCTGGCGTACAAGGCGCATTGGGGGGCGTAAATTTTGTAATTAAGCATGGCATATGGCTCATGCGTTTTCTTTTCGATTTCAACAGATTTTTTTGATTGGGAACGCGGCGCTCGTCCCTGGATTCGTAAAGAATAGGCTTACGTTAATTTTCGAATCCACGCACGATATCCTGAGCCGCGTTTGTTCCTTTCGAAGCCAAGTGTCAAGCTACATCGTTTGTTTTTCGCACATCTGACGTGTTTTCACCCCGATTTCCACTAAGTTCACGGAACTTATAATAACATTACAGTCTTTGGATCGTACTACCTAAGACTCGACCTTTGTAAATAATCACTCTCTCGAAAATATATTTCGGAGTTAAATTCCATTTTAATATAATTTCTCTTTCATCGTTACTCTCTGCCATGCAGATACGCAGGCTGTTTTGGATTTCGTGATTTTTCAGAATTTCGAACGCATATGGAATGAGACCACTGTTCGTATTGGAATTAATTTTTCAAGATATTTAATCAAATTTATCCATCATTTAAAGGTGAAAAATACATACATTATAGTTACGATTATTTCAGATCTATATTATTTTTACCGTCACTTCCATATGCGTCATAGTTGAGATGAATGCTTATTCTGGTGAGCTATTCGAGACATTTCCGAATCGAGTTCGGCGACAGAGTCGTGACGCGATATTTTATCGTTGTTTAACTTATGTATCATTTGTACTCGTTCCACTCCTACCCTTAACCACTAAATATACATAAAAATATCACAGCACTATCGATTCACTTACACTAAAACTGTGATGCTTTGCATCGCAATTTTCAATTAAATTATCATAATTAAGGAATCGAAAATAAAATGCACGAATTGCCACCGCTGGTCTAAATATATAGCTCGACAAAATCAATGCTATTACGATAGAATTCGTTCTAAATACTTCAAAACAAATTGTGTTAAAAATTCCCCAGAATTAGATTGTTTTAACTTGTACTTCTAACCAGCGATGGCGTAAATGAAGCCCACAAATGTAGCCAATGTGCCGTATGACGTACCAAATATATACAAAAGCATTTCACCAAAGATACTTAGCCTAAACACTTTGGAAAATGATCGTTTTCGCTTGATTGATAACGTTGAGGGCGTCCGAACCGTTGCGTCCTTACCGAAATCCCGTTTAGGACATACTGATTCTTAGAGACACGGTTGTTGTTCATTTGGTCTTTGTAAGACATCAATCACTAGTTCACATCAAACGAAAACGAAGAAAAATATAAGAAAAAAACTCAACACTCGCTCACGGCCGTCACGCGAGCAAAACAGATTTACGACGCGATTCGTGTAATATTATTTTTTTATTTTATATTGTTTCTTACTGTACGTGCGATATACTTAACTAAAATGAGGTAGCTATATTTAATATATATGTATAGATGTCTTAGTTTGGTGGGATATAACGTTAATAGTGTATAAAGTACAATAATAGATACAATAGTGAGGTACTGTGTTACTGAGGTAGCTGTATTGTCGAAATGGTCTTTGAGTATAGTTTTTTTTTATATTTCTAACAATTTGGTAGAAGACACAAATTATTATAGTTTTCATTCTAATGCCTGTGCACAAAATGGGTTTCGTTAAGTTTAGTTAAACCTACATTTGTAAAGCAAAAAACAGACTTGGCTAATCAAGCCACACATAGTTATAATATATATATATATTTTGTATTATTTGAATAATTAGAATCACTCAAAGACCACTTCAACTCTTAATAGTAAAAATGGTTCAAAATATATCCGTATTTACGATGGTCATACAATTTGTGTCTTCGTAGCTACAGTAAACCTTCGTGAGCATTGGGGGTGCCCAATTTTGACTCTCAATGTCGGTTTGGTTAAAGTCATAATTTTGCATGTCCACAAACGTCTGGCCTCCCTCGAGGCATATGTTTTGCTGAGGCATTGTCTCTTCAGTTCTTATTGTGAGCAAGGGGTCGATGTGGGGCAGCATGTGGTCGTCAATAGCGACAGTCATTATTTCTGGGCCATATTCAAGAGGCACAATGTCTGAGTTCGGAGCTGGTAAGTTGGGATTGGTGTGTGGTTCTTCTGAAATGTACAAACAAAATTATGAAAAATTTCTGAACTCTACAGTTGATTACAGCTGGATTTTAGCTATATCTTTATTATAAAGCTGTAGAAGAGTTTGTTTGTTTGTGAAATTTCTAATCTTAGGAACTATTGTTTTGCATTGAAATTTTTTTTAGTGTTGGAAGACCATTTATCGAGGAAGGCTTTAGGCTATTTAACATAAAACTTGTGACCAATAGGAGCAAAGAAACAGTGAACAATGTGGAAAAATTGGCAAATTATTCATCATTGAGGATTTGATCAGCAAAAACGAAAAACTATGATGATTTCTTTTTCAATATTTTATATATATCTATCTTTTTAGATTATCACAGAAGAACGTCACGACGGGACGCGGACAAAGCAGATAAGAGCCATAATTTATAAAGCTGAGGGGGGGTTGTAAACTAAATATAACTTTCCACCCGGACATAGTCGCGGGCACAGCTAATAATGTAATAATTTGAATGCCTTTCTGTTTTCACGATCCTCTCTAACAAAAAAAAGAACTATAGGTAGGTGGCCACTTAGACTCCTTTTTCTTCAATAAGAAAAAAAAAAAAATATGCCAAAAGTAGTATGAATCGCCATATATTGCCTTGTAACAGGGTAGTGTGACAGTTGAAAGAAGTTCTAATTATAATAGAAACTAGCTCACCAATGATTGAAGTTAGGATGTGAACCTTCGGATCAATAACCTTTTCACTCTCGAAGAGCTGCAGGTCTTTTTCAATCTCCTTCTTGAACGATCGTTTCAGTCTCCATCGCTTCACTAAAGTAAGTGTTCCACTCTTCTTCCTTGTCCATTGCTTTACAGACCTGCTCCAAAGGTTTACCTGCACTCACAGCTTTTATATTATCTGTGGGCTTATTGGATGGCACTAAGTGCATTTTACCCTGGTGTTTGTTTAAGTTTGCGGAGCACGTGAACTTTTTATCGCAAATGGTGCACTGGAAAGATTTTTCCCCGGTGTGAATGGGGAGATGTTGAAGTAGATGGGAGCTTTTCGCGAACGTCTTCGGGCAGTGGGTGCAAGCGTGGATTTTGATGGTGGAGTGGGTTTTCATGTGTTGTAGGAGACGACGTTTCGCGCTGTAGGTCTTCCCGCATTCCTTGAGGTGAATAGTAAAAGTATATTTTAGAAATCAGGTTCATCATTCAGGTTAAAATCATGTTAAAACTATATAAAGGTGAAGTAAACTATATATTTCATTATAATTAATACAAAATAAACTCTGTCAATCATATGTTTTAAAGAAAACTATCATGTGCTGTAAAGTTTTAAAAAAACATGTGCATAAGTAGATTTTACAAAGAAACTGGATGGTTTGAAAGGGAAAATTCTCATTAAACGGGAAATGGGTAAAATGGTTAGTGTGTACTGATCACCCAGCCATCTAGCGGTAATAATAACAACTCTTTATTACACAAACATAATATTTACATCAAGTAGAATCTAAAAACATAAATATAATCCCAATAAAAATGTTTGTGCAAAGGCAGCCTTATTGCTCAGGTGATTTCTTCCAAGCAACCTTTGTGCAGTGAAAAAAAGAAAACTACAGTAAATGAGTCAACAAAGTAACTCAAGCACATGAAATTATATGTGTTTTTACTTTGTTTACCATATTTGCCCAAAATATGGCAAATTTAAGCTCCCCCATGGCTTTGAAACAGTTTTAAAAGTATCCAAAAAATCGATCAGCATAACAAATACAGAATAATGCTAACCCCAAGACCTCTATAAGAGGTAAGTAAATGAAAAAAAAGTTACCTTACAAACATATACTTTAGTTTTGAAGTGAAAAACTATATGTTTGAGTAAGTATGTCATCTCGGTGTAGTTCTTGTTGCAAATGATGCAAGTGTGATTGTTCTTCTTGTGAACTTCAAGATGCTCCTTACAGGCGGCCAACGAGATGAAGTCCTGGCCGCATTGACGACACCAGTTCTGCACTTTGCTGTTGTGCTGGCGAGAGTGCAGCAATAGATCGCGACGTTTTTCGAAACTAAAATTATAAGAGAACTTTTGTTTAATATATTATGATTTTTTAATAAGATTTTTTTTGGAATGACTCCAATTTTATTTAATGAACAATTTTTAAATTGTGTATCGGCCATGCTTAACAAGTAATTGTGGTGAACTTTTGAATACCCATTAAAAATATTAAATAACAAAAGAGAGTGACTGAATAGTACAAAATTGAGACGCACACTAGATCACACCCAGGCTCCTTGCAGCGGAAATCAAACCCGTTGTGCGCGTCAGAGATGTGCTTGAAGAGCGAGTGCTCCATAAAATATCTGTGGCCGCAGTGAAAACAGACGTAAGGCTTGTGTTTCTTGCGATCGGTTGCGCCAGCGCAGCCCGACACATGAGCCACCAGTTTTGATAGGCAGGAGAATGGTTCATTGCAAGTGTCACATCTGGAAATCGAGATATACTTAACATTCAATCATATTTTAGATAGAGCTGGACACCTTAAGCCATTCAGATAAAATGATATTTTGAACAGGAGCAAGTATAGCTGGATACAGAATTTTGATACTTGTATATGGTTACACTGTATGTGAATAGATATTTCATGATACTCTTAAATGGCTTGACTGGTTTGCTGTATTGAATATGTACAAGTTGTATGTGAGGCCTTGCGCTGTTGGGTACAGTGTTGTTTTTATAATCAATTCTCAAAACAATAAGGAATACTCACTCAAATTTATTATCAGTATAATGCCTATTGATATGCAATCGGAATTGGGAATACTTGTCAAACTCCTTCCCACACACAATGCAAGTGTAAATTATATCCTTATCAGCATGAACAGATGAGAAATGGGAATCAAACTCCACCCGGTTCGGGCACACCACTGAGCATATACTGCATGAAATTGCACAGAGCTGTTCTAGAACATTTTCTGGGGTCAATGCTGCATCGTCAGAATCATAGATACTGAAATGAGTCTTCAAATGTTTCACGGAATCCTCTATATAGGCTATTTCCTCTTGGCATATGGGGCAAGAGTAAACGTATTGGCGGTGAAGGTCTATATGCTCTTTACACTCCTCTAAAGTGCGTATCTCAGAATGGCAGACTCGACATGTTTGTTCTTCGTGTTCCTCTTTATGGATAATGACTCTGTGTATGTTAAGTTCCTTCTTGTTTAAGAAGCTGAAAAAAGATATCACTATGATTATGAACATTTGCAAAACTTGTTATCCTTTCACTAATAAACCACTTAGCCGCTTTGATAACTTTTATCCTTTAAATAACACAATATCTATGGTGACAGTGGGATTTTGTTCAGAAATGTACATGCAGTATATGTAAAAATATTCTAAGACTTTTAACTCTCTTACCTATCATTGCAGTCCGGGCATTTGATCATATGTTTTGATTTATTATGCTCCTGGAGACTTTGTAATTTTGAGAAATGTTTATTACAATGTTCACATCTATAATAAAGACAAAATAAGCTTAAATACACACCATAGACTGTACTTCTTATACATTAAAAACATTACATATCCTGCAATATCTTAGATAGAAAAAATTGACAAGACATCCCTAGCTATAAATTAATTGAATTTAAAAAGACAAAACTTACGTATATCTGTTTTTGATAACATGGTTATTATAACAGTGGCCTCTAAAACATGCATAGAGGTTGAAATCCTTATGGCAGATCACGCATGTGTAAACAATACTGCTTCGACCGGAATGACTTCTGAAGTGGATATCATATTCAACCTTATTCCTGAAAGTTGCTTTGCATACATTGCAGAATATGCCACCAACCAAATCTATTGTGGTCAATTTTAGCTCGAATTTATTTGATCCTATTGTTAATGCCATTTTGACTTTTTATGTGCAATCCATTTAGATATCAGTGTTTTTACTGTGTTGTGTAAATTTCTATAGTCATGGCATTGTTGTTATTAAGCTTTTTGGAGCTACATGTTTTACATCAGATGAACATTGGTATCTGTAAGAGATAATTATGTAAATAGAAGATTGCAATATTTTATGAATGCTTTTTAAAACAACTTTTGTAAGTATAACACCTGTTGGGGAACTAAACAAATAAATAAGATGTCAAAAGTCCTTAAAAAACCATTTCCGTTCTGTCATGGTCGACCTTGGGACTTTACGAATAACACGTTATATTCAATAAGTATGTAATAATTTTAACACTAGTGTAGAAAATTAAAACTATTTAAGTATAAAATCTTGATATTCACGAATATGACTCAATACTTTAAGTGTTTACCACAAAAAGCTGACTTGATATCAGAACATGTAGTTTCGATTTATGAAAGCCTACAAGTGCTACGGAATAACAAAAAGCACTTACCTAGCTTATGTGCTGTAATGTAATCTAAAGCTCCGCGACACATATTACATTACAATAGGTAAAGGCTGATATTCATTGAAAACTCTAAAATGTTTTACGCCGGTCTTCTATCGAGAAAGAACGCCAGGAGAATACAGATTACTTATTTAATAGAAGAACGCAAGACAACGTGTTAATCTGAACACTTGAAAAGGTAATCACAGACTATAATTATATTATTGACTGGATTCTAAAATAAAATTTTATAATATACTTTTTGTCTGTTCACGGCGAAATGACAGTAACGTAATAATTGACATTGACACAGAATCCATTACGAAATGTCTAATGTTTTTCTAATGCAAAATATAATAAAAAATTGAAAAATATTTTTTATTAAACAGGTACAGAAAGTATTATTAACACGAACTAATTTAATGGAAAAGTTTCATTTAATACTGTTAAAATTTAAAAATAAATATTGTGAAAATTACAATTGTGGAAATTAATGCAAGTGATTTTTTTTGGTCAACAGTAAAAATCATTAAAAACTGTGATTTTTACTGAGTTACGGTAAGTAAATAAAAAAAGTAGATTTTCTGGATGTGTATCATAAAGATTACCCAGGGTTTTTGTAGAGTTGCCTGGAATTTTATATTTTGTAATCAAACAGAATAGTTGGCAATTTGCCAAATAAATTCCAGAAATAAACCATATCTTACGTGTGTGTACATTTCCATAAACCACATATAACTGCTAAAAAAGTGTATCTTCTCAATGGATCGCAACAACATGTATTCGAGTGGCCGCGATTCGTTTAGAAGTAGAGATTCTACTTCATCTACGAGAAGTGACGCTCGTGAAAGGATTAAGGATTGTTTGCGAAAGTTCATAGCGTTTATGTTCACGCAAGTAGGCGTCGGTGCCCTTGTTGTGTGCTATGCGATACTTGGCGCAGCTGGTTTTATGCACATTGAAAAGGACAGCCCAGATGAACAGCTAGAAAATGTTAAACAGTGGAGAATAAGTTGCGTTGAACAGCTCTGGGACATTACAAATAGATACAATGTCCTGAACCAAACTGCTTGGACTTACAACAGCAATAATGTACTAAAAGTTTTCCAGAATAACATCACCAATGCAATACGTCAAGGTTACAATGGACGCACCCCTGAAGAAATTTGGTCCTTTCCAGCCGCCTTGATGTATTCTTTATCTGTGTTTACCATGATCGGTTATGGGAATGTAGTGCCAAAAACTGCATGGGGAAAAGTTGGTACCATAGCATATGCTTGTTTTGGCATTCCTATATATATACTCTACTTCTGCAATATGGGTAAAGTATTAGCCCAGTCATTCAAATGGTTGTACATCACCGCTCATGAATGCAGCAGACGAGAAGATCCATTATTAGAAGATGGGGAAATACAGCCAGTAAAGAGAAAAATTACAGTGCCATCAACTGCATGTTTATGGGTCATTTCCTTCTACATCTTGTCTGGCACTATCATGTTTGGAGCTTGGGAAAAGTGGAATTATTTGGATTCAACCTACTTTTGTGTTATTAGTTTGTGCAAGATCGGTTTTGGGGATTTTGTGCCTGGTGCTAATATTGCAGATTCCGCTGAGGGGTCCCATGTCAAGCTTGTTATTAACTTTATTTATGTTCTTCTTGGTATGGGTTTAGTGGCTATGTGTTACAACTTGATGTGTGAAGATGTTCGTGTGAAAGTCAGAGAGCTGCGGGAGGAATTGAAGAATTGTTTGGATGACATTACTCTCAAGATTACTGTTTGCATGAATGACACTAAATATTACCATCAAAGACAGACGAGAAACATTAAATGATTGAAAGCATTTTCTATACGAAATTGTAGTTGTTATAATTTAGAACTGTAAACATTTATTTTATAACTAATTCCATGTAAATATTGTGTTATGGAACAAAATATTTAAAGAGTTATAACTTCATTTCTTATTTCTATGTATTTATGATATATTCTATAAATAATTTATTCTCAGTTGCATAAAGGCTTATTTCAAAATAAAATGTAAAAAAAGGATTTTGTTTTACTCTATTCCTGAGTAAGCTTACTAATAATTTCAGCAACATTAAATGATGATGATCGAAATACATAAATGATGGCAGTGGACCTAGGAATGTCAAAATATTTTATTTTTCCTTGTCATCATCACTTAATGATAGCATTATAACAGTATAGACTGTTCATCAGGGTAGTCAAGTGACTTTGTCTAAAAAATTCCAATTGTGTATCACCAATGCCAAGGTGGTGGTTGTGTCTCCTAAGATAATGGATTCACCCAGCAGTGCAAAAGGCGACCTGCCTTCGTTCATCATCGGTACATCGTAGCCTATTTTATGTAGTTCTAAAATGTACATCTTTTTTTGCTTCAGCTATGCATGTAGGCGAGTAGTGAGTGACGCGATGCTTCCGCTGCGGTTGCGTCGCGTGACCGGTCATGAGGCTCGGGAGAACGATGTGGTGTTCCATCCGGCCAGGGTGAGGCCCACCATGCCGGAGACATTGGTCTTCTTTGGCGGAGATGTTCAGGTGTAGTTTTTTTTATAATAGAGGAAGACATACAAGTGAAATACCCCAGTCATAAACATCTTAACAATTTTGAATATTCGGAAACGCGATTAAATTTCACGATTATTCCAACTGTGGACGGTGGTTCGTCATACGGACGGGATTTCGATATTTTACCACTAATTTAATATCGAGATTTCGAGTCGAAGTCCAAGATGTTTAAGCAAGATTCTATTATTATTTATTAAATTGATTGGAAAAATGTTGGATCCGGCGGGGATCAAACCCACGTTCCGGTTATTATTAGCCATAAATTGCTACTATTACATCAAGGAGCCAGTCGAAGTTTACTTGAATTTTTACGTCTTAGAATTTACTTGAATCAATTCAATAACTAAGTTTATTAGGATGAATGGTGACTTTTTTTTAGGACTATGAAGAGGTAATGCAAGGACATAGAGATAACCGGAACTACATCAAGTGGAGCTTGGAGAGTACGGCGCGCATGCTAAGCGAAAACTTCCCCACGAAACATGTCGTCGTCGTTAGACCCGCGCGGTAAGTAATGAATTCAAACCTGTATATTGTACACAGTATATATTTGTATTGACATAAGGGGTTATGTATAGAATAATAATCTTATTTATATTAATAGTTATGTACATCAGTACATACAGCTGTACAACAGTATATAAAGCTGAAGAGTTTGTTTGTGTGAAGCGTTCGAATTGTTGTGTTGGTTAGAGCATTTATCGAGGAAGGCTATAGGCTATAACACATCGCCCTGTGACCAATACGAGCTAAGATACAGCGGGAAATGTGAAAAAAATAGGGAAAGTTATTCATCATCATTATAGGTTTCCGAGGCGTACACTGCAAAAACGGTTCAAGATACCCAAAAAATATGTACGAAAAATTAATAAAAAAAAGTCCACTACGCTATATGTCTATGTTTTAAGATTAACTTGCAAGAACTAAGGGAAGAGACGCGACCGACATCGTGGGTAATAGCTTAAGTTTATAATAAGAAGGAGTTTGCAAAAACGAATTTAAATACCCGAAATAAATATTCTTAGCGGACGAAGTCGCTGGCACAGCTAGTATTTGATATTATGTTAAAATACAAATTACAATTAAAAAAATAGTATAAACCAGACTGGATGATCATTGCTTTAGTATAAGTTGGTGCAAATTGTGCATAAATCAGCGCTCATGCGCATGTATTATGTTTTTATGTAATTAATATCTCAAAGTATCTTAAAACATACCTTTTTAGTAGATACTAATCTAGATCTAGCCTTCGTGGATAGACAGTGTTCCGGAGTTAATAAAACAGATAAAGTTGTTCCAGGATAGAATACAAAAGCTTCAGTTGCTATGACAACTTCGTGCCGAGTAACAACGCAGGTGTTCCAGAGCACACCCCCACCCATAATGCGCTGCATCACCTTGAGAAGTAAGATTTTTCTTTTAAGCACCCATTCTCGCATTCGCCTGTTGTAAGCTAGGACACATTGTGTCTCCGTCTCTCTGATCTCTGAAGCCCAGGGCCAGGGGAAAATGCATTTAACTCTTCAGCTACCGACGCGGTCGGAATAAAAATATAAAAACATACACAATTTGTAGAGCTGAACCATTTATTTAGATACCACCTGTAGTGTACGCGAGAAGTACACATCTAAAAAATAATCCTACGGTGTAAAACGCGAAATATAAAGTGAAACCCGTGTCTCCCCCGTGACCATGACTGCTGCAAAACATCAAAACCGTCGGTTTGTAATTAAAATTATTTTGTAAATAACTTCAACTAATATATTTCGCGTTTTAAACGGTTAAAGTGGTCCATTCATAAAGGTTATTATTTGTGAAATATTAAACTTACTAGATTGTAATAAGTAATTATGAATTAGGTTATTTTCTCATTCTGAAATGTAACTAGATTACTTCAAGAGTTGAGCAGCAGAATAAAGGAGCTACCAGTGCGACAACTTTGCGATGCAGTGGCCTCTACGCTCTGTTCTGAGGATGTAGACATTGAGGAGAAGGTTAGTATATATATACACTAATATTATAAAGCTGCAGAGTTTTAATGTGGAAAAAATCGTGAGTAACAATTTGTATAAATTTATAGAGCCGAACAGGAGGATTGTAAAAACAAATTTTGATGCCCGAAATAACACGCGGTCGAAGTCGCTGACGCAGCTAGTTTTTAATATTGGTCATAAGAGAAAAATAGGTACACGCTATGACCTTTTACAATTTGCTGCACATATATTATAGTTAAAAAAGTTTGTTTGTTGTCTGTCAGAGTGCAGCGCAAGAGACTAAGTCAAACGGCTCATCGAAATGCGACGAAGCAGACGCAGAAGCGTCAAGTGGTCCCAGTGTTGAGCACAAGCAGTGAGTATGTTTTGTTCCAATGGATGTCGTCGTTTTATTTTTATTTACTTACACATGCTGTAGACGAAGACTACATTTGCTTAAATACTGTCTGTAGTTTACGCAAGAAGAACATATTTAAATAAAACACTTTAACGGTATGTTAATATAAATAATAGAACGATAAATATATTATTTCAACTTCGCACGACGTTTCCGATGCTTTGCAGCAGTCGCGGTCACGGGGAGACTAAGGATGGAGCGTGTCTTTAATGTCAAAGTACGAACTGCTACGCTAGCGCCATCAGTTCCGTCGTAATCGGTATTTGGCGAAACTGGTTGGGTCCAATTACGTGCAGGTTGAATAACGGTGTCTTCGCGTTTACCAAATAACTAACTAATATATATCGCTTTTTAAACCGTTAATGTATTTGATTTAAATACTTTTGCATATCTTTTAACAAATAATATATACCATCGATTCAGTGATCCGTTGTGGTGGCGCGAGGGTCTCAGCCTGGACGAGAGCAAGCTAAGTCTGGTGGGGTTCAGCAAGGGTTGTGTGGTGCTCAACCAGTTCATCTATGAGTTCCATTACACTAAGACGCTCACGCCGTGGGATAAGCATATGTGCAGGTACAATTAAAATTAACTTTTAAGTTGTCTGTCCGTCCAAAATTTTATGTAAAATGATCCAATTAAATAGATTAGTTTATACTATGTTTCTGTATAGTATTTATTTTTTTGGTTTTACTATTAAATTTATTTTAAATATAGTGATTGGTGTAGTATTACACTTCACCATGTATTATTAAGTGGGGGGAGGGTTAAGCAACGATGTACTATGTATATGTATCTTGTATTTGTAGGTTCATTGAACGCATAGAAGCGATGTGGTGGATCGACGGAGGGCACGCGGGTGGAAAGAACACCTGGATAACGTCGCGTAGTCTACTCGAAACACTCGCTAGGCTCAGTAAGTTTGTCTGCACTCCCATGACAATTGTCATTCTTAAATTCTGCGGCACGACAATTTACCAGCCCCAAACTATGTGAATAAGTGATATGGGTATTTTACTATTGTTTGTAGCTTACACAATTTAATTAATTCCAGCTAAGGACAACGTTTCTTCTGCCTCGACTAAAGTTATTCGCGTTTTAAACCGTTAAGTGTCTTATTTAGATATTGTTATTTTTCAGACGTAAATGTTTACGTACACGTGAGCCCGTACCAAGTGCAAGATGAGGGACGACCGTGGATCGGGCGTGAGGAGAAAGCGTTTAGTTCGCTGCTTAACAAACTTGGCGCGAAGGTAATATTGATAACTAGCTGTGTCTGCGACTTCGTCCGCGTGGAATGGTTATTTATTATTATTATTTTTGCAAACAACCCCCTCATTAATGCGGCATTATATTATTAAAAAAAAAGGGGAAAAAAAAGGGGGGGGAAAAAAAGGGGGGGGGGGGTGGGGGGGAAAAAAAAAAAAAAAAAAATTTTTTTTGGGGGGGGGAAGGCCCCCCCCCAAAAGAATTTTTTTTCCCCTTTTCCCCCCTTTTCCCCGTCTCTCTTCCCCCATGGGGCGCGGGGGTTTTTTAAAAATTTCCCGAGAAATTTTCCAACCAAAACAAAAAAATATTATTCAATTTGAACCAGTAGTATAGATATAAACATGAATCGCTGAATTTGTTGCTCAACGCAAACCTCGCAAACTGCTGAAGCGTTATATTTATTTAGAATATTCATTTATTACCAGGGGTTCAAACGCAGGATTTCTGAAATATTTTAAAATGCTTCGAAATGTGAATTGTAATGTATGTTTTGGCAGATCGACCGTTACCTCCACACAGACGGCAGCGCCCCCTACTCTTTAAGTACGCATTTCAATGTACTGGCTGCCTTCAAGCGCGTGCAGGACTCTCGGCCCACAGACATGCTGTCTTCCGATGACGAGAATTGATCTGAAGACGAAGAAGAAGAAAGTTACAAAAATGTAAAAAGTCTCATCAAAAATATTATCTTTTTGTTCTTGGTTAGAACTGACTAACTGGTGAAATATTATTTTTCTCGCTGATATAATAGTTATCTTTGAAAAGGAAGTGTACAACTACTAAAATTCAATTATTAGATATTGTTAATGTATTAAATATGTGTGTAGTTGTTTATTTTCTAAATGGATGGATGGATATCAAATATTGGCATAAAATGCGAAATAAATTTAATAGTTAGGAAATATAGTTGTACCCCTATTATTAAATGTGTATGTCAAATAATATAATCTTAATAGATTGTCTATTATGTTATTTTCGTTTGAATGAGGGTAGTTATTGTTATCAATATTCAGAGAAAATGTTCTATGGGAACTACACATACAATTTATGAGAAAACTAAAATTTCGGTGTTAAACGTTGGTAAAGTATGAGATATAATAATAGCAAACATAATTATTACATGTAGTATTGTACAAATATTGTAGAGTTAAGATTTCTTTGCATACGTTTATGTTACAAAATACTTTCTGTACAGGAAAAGATATTACTTTGTGCTTATTAATTTATTGTTAGAATGCCGTTAAGTCGATCTCATTGTCTATCATAAGTTTCATTTACAAATAAAGTAAATCTATTTTTAATATTTTTTTATTAAGAACTTGCTTGATAGTATACAATTTTTAGTCTTGGTTAATGACCTTTTCTTATTTGCAATGCACACAATGACAATATATTAATTACATGTTTATTAAGATTTTTTATGATTAAGGAGGACAGGCATGCATGAGATTTACTTGATGGTAAGTAATATACCCCAGCCTATAGCATCTGATGCGCTGTCGACTATTTTACTACTATTTGGCTTTGGATATTCGGAAATCCAGATGAAAACTGAAACGCGATTTAGCTTCGCGGCTATTTCATCTGTGGACGGTGAATCGTGACCCGGATATATTTTCTATATTCCTACCACTCATAATATCCAGTTTACGGTGGGCATCGAACCCACGACCTGTTGTCTATTAGCCATACATTGCTACCATCAAACCAACTAGTTCTTTTTCTATGCTTAGGTTTCTAAGAATAAAAGGTTTCATGGTCACTTCCTGTTACTACATTGCATAAAGCATTTTAATGAAATTTAAAAGAAATAAGGGCTACTAAAATATTGCTCCATTAGCATTAATTATATTATCGTAATTTGGCCATGCAGTGCATGCAGTTGCAAGGTAGTAATAAAATGCCGGAATAATTTGAATTGATTTATTATCATCAAGTACGCAACTTACAAACTATTCGTATATTTTAGCTAAACTGGCTTCACATAATGTAATCTATCTACGTCTGATATAACCAACTAAAGTTAGCCGTCGAATTCATACGAAGACGAAAAATTCATGGAAGCATGTTATGGATCTACTTTATATTTGAAAAACGGTACAAACTGTAAAGCGAGGCAGGCCCCTTCAAACGTGTCTTTATCAAAAACTATTTCAAAGGCATATTGGATATTTTAAGCGTTCTATAAAAGCCAGTGCTCTGAAATTATTACACCTTATGCATTATTTTTCACAAAATCATAAGCCAATTTCACACTACCCTCGCTTATCTAAACTGACTAGACGTAAAAAACTAGACATAGCTCAATATGTCGCCGATTTTTTACTCCGAACGTTTCCTTAGTACATTATGAATAATTATGAAAAATATACAAATATGTAAAATGGTAACCTTACCTAAGATTTGTGAAGCGAATTATTTACATAAATATGAAGTTCGTTAATATTTTGGCGGACGATAAGTAACATCTTACACCGCAAAATCTTTATAAAACTGTGAAAATAAAGGTATAACGCGTAAAGATTGGAATAATTGAAAACTACCAGTTCTTTAAATATTGTTACGCTTACATGATATCGAAGACTTAAAACTACCCTCTAAAGGACGACGTTCCTAATTGAATAAATGCAACAGATATACAAATATGAAAAGGAATCAACATAATACGCACGAAAAATATTTCTGAATCAGATTCAACTAGAACAAAAGTATAATTTAAAAGAAATATTCTAATAAAATCTATAAAGGTATTCTGTGTTGATGATTATTATTGATACAAACTTAACCTAAAAAGATAGTCTCTTGACCGTGTCGTCTTTATTATTGCACTTAAATTTCAAACCGTTATTCGTAAAGAACGGTCAATTCAAGATGTGACTTGTCCGCTAGGCTTTCTCAACGCTCCTTTAGTGAAAGCGGGCTTTTTAACGCTTGAGGTTTTAGCGGCAGGTGTCGACTTTGGTCTGAGACTGGGTATCTGAGACACTCGGATACCTATCGCAGATTTTTGCTTTGTGGTCGTCACTGTTTGTTTAGGTTGGCCCTCGAATGTGGAGCTCCTAATTAGCTTAGGCGTCTCAGTTTTATCGCTTTCGATCCAAACTTTCTTGTCTGTTTTCGAGGGTAGTTTCCTAGTTTGCTCCGCTTTCTTCCATAGATTAGCTATCTTGCTTTCGACATCTTTCTGTTTGGGAGATGAGATGGAGTTGATGCTGGACGTGCTACCCGGTCGAGAACTCCTGGCTAAGACGATAGTTTTGCCACTGTCGTTGCTCTGTAAACTGTGGTTGGACGCAGAGTTCTTCATCGTATTTTCGTTACGTTTCACTGAAGTCTTAGTTTGTTTCGGTTGGTTGGTTTTGGAAGTAGATGGTCGCGTGCGACTGAACTGAGGTAGCCGTGAAGGGGACGTATTAGCTAAGGATTTAACAGGGGAGGTCACTCCACGAGTACTGGAAACTATCTTGGTTTCGGGGATTGGAAGATTTTTAGGCGGAACAGAGCTCTCTTCCTTCGTGAATGTCCCTTGTCTAACTAGGGGAACGGGTTTGCTGGTCACGGGAGGTATTGAGAGTACTTTTTGAGTAGTTTTCGTAAGAGGTTTAATAGGAATTGACTTTTTAGGTGAAGAATTTGCACTAGGAGCTTTAGGAGGGGTTTTAACTGTTTTGGGATTTGAATTTGCTTTAGAGGACGTGCTCGCTTTTGGAGTGGTTTTAGGAATGGATTTAACTTGAGGGGTAGGTGCTTTTTTAGGCGGAGGCGGATTTCTGCGATAGGGCGAAACGTAAGCAGCTTTCTTCCTACCCCGGACGGGCTTCAGAGCCTCTTGTTCCTTATCGCCGGAATCGTTTGAATCCAAACTTCGAGCCCTCGTGAATTCAGGCTTAACTATTTTCGGTTTTGGTGGATTTAAATTGTTTTCTGTATCCGACTCGGAATGAGCCTTATCTTCTGAGTTACTATCGCCCTCGTAACTCGCGAAGTCGCTGGTGCTTGGGTTAACATTCTTTTCACTTTGCAAGGAGCGTTTAAACGACGCGGTCATCTCTATATTCTTTAAATTGTTGACAACGCACAAATCTACCGCCGCCGGGCTTTCTATAACGGGAAGATAGTTTCTAAAGGTTTTCGTATAACTTTTCAATTGCGACGAGTTTAATTCGAAGTCATCCTCGTTATGTCCACTATCTGCGTCCCGAAAGACATCGTCGTGTCTGTCGTCTAATATTTGCTGGTGGTTCGGTTCATTAGAAGAGAGACTGTCGTAACCTGTGGTGGTTTCGACGTTTTCGAAATTTGCGTCTTTCGTTACAAAAGTAGGGGACGGAGGAATGTCTTCGCTAAGTGTTCTAGTTCTAAATCTTTCGGCGTCTTCGATACGTTTCTGTTTGATCGTCTTCTTCGCTGCCAGGCGTCGTTTTAAACTTTCTATCTGCGGATCAACGCCTTGGGATTGCGAGGGCCCCTGTGTGAGGATGTTGTGAATGTCGACGGTCTGCGTTTGGTACCTAGCTCTGTCCTCCAGCCGTCGCTGTTTGGCACTCACACGTTTCTTCGATCGTGATTCAGAATTCGCCGTGACATAATCGTCAGATCTGTCGCTTTCCGATTTGGTCCATGTGAGAAATTCCTCGGATTCGTCAGCCTCTAACGTGACGTCATTCTCCGTTACGGTGTCTTTGATTGTATAAGTTTGGTATCTATTATTAGATACTTTTCGCTTTTCCTTCGGAGTTAAATATTTCGGGTCCCTCTGTCTCTTTGGCGTCGATTCGACGCTGCTAATGTCTGAAGGCAAAGGAGTACAGTTCTCCGAACCGGACGGTATGTCGGTCACTACATTCAAAGTAGATTCGCAGTCGTCGAACACTTGCTGTGCTGTCGTCTGTTCTATTTCGAGAGTGGATTCTACCATCTCGTCAAATAAGGACGGTGGGTTAACTTTGTCTAAATCGTGGAAGACATTAGTGAAGGTTGGGCAGAGAGGGAAATCTTGCACCGGTTGTTTGAAATCAAAGACAATGTTTGGTTTATCTTTGGGATCGGCCACTTCGGATACTATGCTCGATACTGAAATCATGCTGCCTTCCATATCCAGGTTGTCCATTTCTGATGGCGGCTTGATGTTATCTAGGAAGCTGACCGGGTGCGTATCTAAGTGTTCTGAGCTGCCTAGATGATGGGAATTACTCAGCGCCCTTTTTACCATTGATGTAACTGGCAGCGACTTTTTCCTAGATTTTTGACCCTTTTTGGACTGAGTCGACGTGTCCTCCCACTGCCCAGACGCGCTCAGTGACAGGAGGCTGCCCAAATTTGAGGGCGGTTTCACGTTGTCCAAATCTATCGACGTCAGTGATGTGACACTATTCTCCATTGTTATTTTTAATTGCGCGGCCAATCTTGCCGCCTCTTTCTCGATCGCGGAGGCCATAAGAGAATCGAACTTCGGTTCAGCGTCATCTATAAGAGATGTGAAACTGGGTTCTGGGATGTCATCCAGCATAAACTTATCGCTCTTTGCGTCATCACTGTCAAGATCGAGTTTATTTGTCAAATCGGGCCGCGAAAACATGTTTGGCGCTTCGCTCTTCTCCAGCAAATCGGGCAGAGCGGCCGCCGCCGTGTCCCCCAATTCGCTTTTGATAGACGAAACGAGGTGCACCGAGCCGCTTATAGTCGGGAACGTGACGTCATCGGGGCACGTGTTTTCGTTCCACGTGTCGTGCTTGGAAACTTCTTCTTTGTCGACGTCACATTTGATATCTGTCCATTCATACTTGTGCTTCTTGCGGGTGAGCGTGCCGCTATCGTACTCTCTGTGAGACTCGTCGCTCCACGACCCGTCTAGGACGTCAGCGTACGACTCGTTGGACCTGTTGAGTTCATCCTTCTCCGATTCTATCGTGGTGTTGATAGATTTGGGAGCGAGACACTCGTTCGACCTGTTCATCTCGGCCTCGGCCGATTCGAGTGTGGTGTTAGCAGAATCGACGGTGGCCATTTCGTTGGGTCGGATGAATATGATAGACTGCGACTGGACGTCGCTTCGGTCAGAGCCAGTTTCTCGCGCGGGATCTGCGCGCACGCCTGCGGCCGCGAGAAACGCAGACGGCGCCGGAACGTTTTTTGACTGTTTTGTTTCATTGCTTTGGGATTGGTTTGGTTTATGCTCGCCGGCGCCGCGCGCTATCACCTCTTCGAGTATCGCGCGATCTTTCGAGTACTCCTCGCCGACCATGCGGTCTAGAGCGCCTTGGGTCTTCTCCTTCTTTCTGCGCCTGGATTCGCGGATTTCGAGTCGATCGTCGCTGCGAACGCGCAGTTTGTCGTCTCGTTTCTTGCTGGGCTTTGCCATTCCCATCCTGACACATCTTTCGAAGACCTCCTTATCGGTAGAGCCGAAGGAATCGTTGCTGAGGGAGCTCAAGGAATTACTCCTGTCCCGCCTGTCTTCGATCCTAGCCGGTAAACTGGGCGGTCCGTCGTCGTAGAACCTGGAAAGTCTCTGTCGCGACAATCCTGAGCTCTCTCCGAAATACGGTGATCTATTTGCTGCTAATTCTTGTTCTAGTTGTTTAACTTTACTGGTCTGTTTGATGTTATACAACCCTGATGCTAAGTTTCTTTCGAATTCTGGGTCTTTTGCTTTGGGTTTGTGTTGTGTTATTTTGTCGCTCCTATCTAAAGATTTGTGGTGTCGCGTGTGTCTGTTTGTTTCAGAAGGCCGTTCGACCGAATGCGCCTTGCCCTTGTGTACGTCCAGGGAGTACTGTGCTCTAGGGTTGACGCTAGATAGTCCAGCTTTGACCGTTTCCTCGAATATTTCCCTGTCCGTTGACCCAAAAGAGTCCAAACTGAGGGAGCTCAACGAGTCATTTCTAGCTAGACCCGATGTTACGGGGAGCTTTGGTTTGCTTCTGAGAACACTCTGAGGTCTATCCTGTGTCGTTTCGTCTTGGTTATCTGTAAAACGAAACAGTGACATTAATAGGATGATAAAAAGGCATCAAAACAGATTCTCAACAGATTTTATTAGAATTTTCTAGTGTTTGTATTTTTAAAGTATTTACCGTCAAAATGATGTGTTGTGCGAATGGTGGGGGGTCGTGGCGGGGCACTTTGTGGCATCTTAGGCGGTAGAGGTGGCGGACAAGCTACTGGGCTAACACTGAAACACAGAAATAATTTTGAACGTGTAATTTTTGATTGAAAAATACAAATTTAGGTTCAGTCAACAAAAAAATTAAAATATCAAAGTTATGTATTATCAAAGTATTACTTAGTAATACTTAGTATATGTTTTTATGCAATTTTTTGACAAATGAGCAAGACAAGCTTGTCCTTCACTTGATAGAATGAGAAATACCCCAAACCATGTAATACATATAATAATTTACCTATCGCGCATTCCCCTGGATAGGTCGTGTGACACCATGACCGTTTCCGTAGACGAACGCAAGTGTGACGGCAAAGATCTCTGCAAAATTTAAACACCCAAGTTATGAGTTTCGAACAATCCGGCTTGAAGGATCAAGATGTATAACCTATTTTATAAACTTACATAGACATCATCTCTGGAGCAGTGTTGATTTACTGGTGAAACGTCTGATGGTGGACCTTTGTTCTTTACAACCTAAAATGCATATTCGGTATATTTTAGTATAGATTCATATAAATGGTCAGTACAGATATCTCTTAATTTAATTCTCAATATTGGTCTAAGCTTTGAAAAGATTAGATCATCATAATAATTTTTTTTGCATCAATTATTGTAATAAACCAAATTTTACAACCGACATCAATATTGAAAAATGTGTCATTACCTGGGCGATGCCCTTCTGAATACATTCTTCTAGAAGATCTCCGGCGTCGCTCAAGTTGGAACTGTCGGAGGTGTCGGCGGGGCGGAGTCCTAACGCCGAGGAGTCGATGGACAAAGCGGAGAGGTTGGAGTTACTTCCCGCTTTGGACAAAATGGCCGGTGTGTCTTCTGTGTAGTACACTTGGCATGAGTCACCGGGTGTCTGATTACCTGAAATGATATTAGAATTAGTAAATCATATTTCAATAGTTACTATTTGTAAAATGACAAGGCAGAACTTCAAAATTTTAAAGCTATTCTAGATTGCAAAACATCGACCATAGAGGCGGAATTGAAACTTTTTATATAATATATAAACTTGGATATTTGTCACTGTTATTGCACATGATGGCACTATATAATTTAAAAATCGTAAATAAATTGAAAAAAATTACGACACGTTGAGGACTCGAACCGGCATCCACAGGGTTCGGTGCTGCCGCTGTAACTAATTGAGCTTCCGTGTTCTACGCGACATCGTCTAATTATATCATCCTTTTGATAGGCGCCTTTCACATAACGTTATTACATTTATATGTTAAAAACTCACCTCTAATACGCCTTTGAACACAGAAATTCGGCAAAGGTTGTGGATCTCTGTAAAAAAAGAGATAATGAAATTAGTAGAACGCATTAAATAGGAAATTGAATTAAAATTTTACTGATCCCTGCTAAATTAACTCGCGCTTCTTAATGAGGCAAGCAATTTCGAAATACTAACCCGTCATTGTCGATTTCATCCTCCACTACGTTTTCTGCTGATGTGTCGGCGTCTTGATGTGAAGTCTCAGCCAATAACGACGACTGAAATTTTAATGACTTATGTAAGTATAAAACACTGTGTTGAGCAAGGAGGATTTGCGCATTGGTCTCTTTTTTGGGACATAAACAGTCCGTTTAACCCTCTTTAACGATGGTAAATATACATTCTTTTCATTCTTCTCTTTTCTTTGTTCTTTTCAACAATTTAACGGTTTAAAACGCATAGGTTGTCGACGTTTCCGATGTTTTACAACGGCCGTAACCACAGGGAGAGCAAAGATAGAGGGTGTTAAACCGTTTTATTTCAATGTACTACTTTCGTAAACACAGACAGTATTTAAATAAAAACACTTTAACGGTTTAAAACGCGATATATTAGTTAAACTTATTTGAAAATGATTTTTAACTTCGGCCCGACGTTTCGGATGCTTTGCAGTCTCCCCGTGACCACGGCTGCTGCAAAGCATCCGAAACGTCGGGCCGAAGTTAAAAATCATTTTCAAATAAGTTTAACTAATATATCGCGTTTTAAACCGTTAAAGTTTTATTTAAATGTGTACTACTCGCGTAAACTATAGACAGTACAGACAGTATTTTTTAAAATTCTTATTTAAAGTAATAGACATACAAGTAACTAAGCATTAAATGTAAAAAGTAGTGAATAAATTAATAATAAAGAAAAAACCTTGGGCTCGTCGTTGATGGTGAGACTAGAGAGGCTCGTGTTCCGCGAGAAGTGCGCAGGAGTGTTCTCCACAACGAACTGGGAGACTCGCTCGTCGAATACTGAAGCCACACGGTCTTCGGCTGAAAGATAAAAATCTTTCTTTTATATATAAAGTAAACGTCATGAGTACATAGTTACTTTTTAACGATAGAGGAGGATAGATAAGCATGTTCACTAAATGAAATTAATATATTTTTTTTTTGCTTTGGACACTCCACAGAATGAAACCGAATCGTGATTGGAACGTTATTTCGATATACCATAAATATATTGGACCACGTGGAGATTTAACCCACCAAACCAACCCAATGATAAGGTACCAAAAAATAAAAGACCAAAAAGTACGACGTAAAAACTTTTTTTCTATCATTTTTTTATATATATATATATAAAGTAGATTATTCAATTCAAGTCTTCCCGTGTCCTTGAACTTCCTTATACAATTCATGTACTCACGAAGTGGAGGTGTAGCGGGCTCGGTTGCGGGTTCCTGCATTCTGTGACGCGAACGGGGAGAGAGCGGCATACTCTGCCCTGGTGAGTCTGGGATTTCGCTTGGCGATATACATCCCGATGTTAAGCGGCTGAAAGATAAGTTTTTGAAATATCGGTTAAGACTGATTGATAATAATTATATGATTAATGACATCTGTTTCAGATTCATAAAAAAAATAGCACACACAGTATTCTAGGCTGTTGCTTTTACTAATTCAGCTACCATAATAAGGTGGTAACGTAAAAAAACTATTAACGAAACAGACACAGAAATGAGACGGAATTATAATTATTTAACCAACATTACACAACACACAAACAATTACAATAAACCAATTAAGAAATAAATATTAAGAGTGAGTAAGGAAATCGTACGATAAGGTCGCCCTTATCGTAAGCGATTTCTTTCAGGCAACCCTTTTTATATTTGTTAGCAAACATGACTTTGAACCTCAACATACAAGTGTTATTACTATTAATTTAGACTGACCTAACTTCAGAAACGACTGAGCCATGATCGTCCTGTTGTTCACAGTCCGGTAATGAACCGAGGGAACTAGTCCTGGAGAACATGAGAGGCGTGTCCTCTATGAAGCGTTGTGGTGAGGACGTACGAGCTGACGTCATTCCAGACGCCTGCTGCACTTCCACTGGCTCCGACGCAAACGTCACCGCCTTTAGACCTACAAATTATTATACCGAATCATTAACGACCGTTCATTAAAAATATCATGTTTAATGTTTTCTTTTAAAATAATTGAAAAAGCACCTTCTTTATCTTTACTGCTGCTAGTGCTCTCCTCTTGTAAACTTTGATCCACATTAATAGTGGCTTGAGCGTTTTTCTTAGCTAAACAGTCTTCTTCTGTGGGCTCTCCTAAACTACTAAGCGAGCTGACCCTCGAGAAATATCCTGGGGTTCCCTCATCACAGTAGTTCACTGGTTTTTCTGGGCTTATCATTCCCGAACTGAACTTGGTGTCGAATATCTCTCTGTTCTTCACGACCGGTTCTGTTTGCGGTGTTGATATTGCGATATCGTTGTCGTGTCTTGGAGGGTCTTCTATCGAGCAAGTATCTTTCTCGTCCGAATGTGTCATGACTTCTGGATTCTCTTTCACACTTGAAGTTTTGGGTTTTCCCTCTTTGCCTATAACGCGCAAGTCTGACATAGATGTCGCCGTCGAAAATATGATGGGGGTCTCATATGGAGTACCTTCAGTCGCAAAGTGTTTTATCGTGTCCTCGTTGATCGAAGGTCCTGGGGGTTCAGAAATATCCGAACCCGTTTCAGATTGGTGTTCAGCGTATCGAAGTGAGTAATCCGTGGGTTGATCCAAGTCCGTTTCCTGATAATCGCCGAACGTGGAAACCTTTTTGGAGTACTTCTTGCCCTCTAGCTTCGCTTTGTCGACAGGCTCGGAGTAATTCGCTTTTGTCTCCGAGTACTTTCTACTGAAATCTATTGGCTGGTCGCAAGAATCCTGGTCGACGTCATAACCAGATTCTGTATAGTTAGTTCTCATGTCTGTCGAGCTGCGTGGAGGCGGAATGGGCGGTTGGCTGGAATACCTCAGGAATGCGGGATTCTTTGGCAACGTCGTTGAATCTTTCATTCCCTCAGCGCTTTCTATTTTCATGAGATCTTTATTCCTGGGCGTCGGCACGGGCACTTTGCCCGTTCGCATTACTTTTTCGAACACTGAATCCGAATGCGTGCTTGTGACAGAATCTTTGCTGTCCGATCTATTCACGTTGTTGGAACTTCCACCTGTGGAACGAGATATTAAAGCACCTTTGAGCAGTGTGTTACTGCAACTTAAATAGCTAGCTAGATGTGCACTATGGCTTAGTGATATCTGTGAGGCCAGCGTACCCATTAATGGAGAACTAGATGTCATCCTGTGTCTCTCCAGATTCATAGCTATTTGTCTCTCTGTCGCGACAAACAGGTTCTTCTCTTCCCTATTACTCGTTGAAGGAGATGTTGCCGGTTCGATGTTATCGCAAGTCTCTGCTAGGTTTTGGTCTAATTCCTGTTCTAGCGCCTTTTGTTTTCTAGCACCGAGAGTGGGAAGGGCAGGTAAGTTCATATTTCTCGCCGTCGTATCCAAGGAAATGATATGAGTTTTACCAGGTTTGGAGTTCAATAGGTTTTTCAGGGCAGCACTCGATCCCATCGCTATCATTTTATGTTTAGAATGTATAAGGCTTCTCAGCATGGGCACCGCTCCATGGTCCCAGAGAAACTGTTGGTCATGCGGGCATCTCGCAGACAAATTCCACAGAGTACCACATGAGTTGCTAACAACGGTCAGGCTCGGAGATTTCAGGTGTTGAAGGAGGACACTTAAACAATTTCTCTCGCGGAGAATTTGCCTGTAATCTTCTCGGACGGCGATGTGACTGGACACATTGCGCATGATGCCGCCTGCGTTCTCGACGATCGCTAAGGTCTTAGTGGGGGAGTTGTAACTAAGCATATCAACCAGGAAGCCTAGGGCTCCATCGACAGAGCATAGAGCAACCTTATTCATGGAACAATGTGCTGTCAGGTTCCATAGAGCGGAGAGTACAGACTTGAGTGTAGCTTCTTTTTGACAGGTCATAGCTGCTTTGGTGAGACCTTTCACTGCGCCGACTTCCCTTAGAACTTGCTTACTGTTCGTATCTGCGCGCCACGATAGGTTTCTTAAGACAGCCGCCGTAACCTGAAATATATTTTAAAAAAGTGAATTCAGTGAAATCAACGCAAGATTCTAGCAAACGATTAGCTATTTTTAAACCGTTTCATCTTAATTAAGCCCGCTTGTCGAGTTAACAATCGCAACGACTCACCTGTCGCATGTCATCATTAGGCGACTCGAGTTGTTCGACCAGAGCCATCATGAATTCTTTGAATGAGCACAATAATGACTTATTGTTTCCGTCGCCGAAAGTTAAATTGGTCAACGTCATTCCTGCGTACTTCCTCATTGTCAGACACGTACTGTCATCGGTTCTGCTTCCGTGAGCTGCTTGATCGCCGCTCACTAACGCCGCCAAGGCCTGGAGACCGCCCAACTGGCACACGACGTGCCTGTGCTCTTCGTCGAACGATAATTTCATCAGAGCGGCGACACTTTGACTAGGGTGTTTCGTTGTATCGTCTTCCACTACCTCTTTGCCGTCTTTTCTCGCTTCCACTATATCTTCCAGCGCATAGCAGTACTCTCTGACTTGTTCTAACAATCTCCACACTCGCGCTTCACGCCTTCCCGCTTTATCGTCAGTCTGCGTGTGAATAATGTTTCTAAGCGCTTTGGCCGCGCGGTCCCTCGTTTCTCTTGCAACTTTGGAATGGATCAATTGAACTAACAGAGGTATACAACCGGCCTGTCGCATCGCTATACAGCTCTCTACGGACCTGCTCATATCCAACAGCGGCCCACTTAAGTCTGCGTTGTTTTCTGGCGACAGACTAAGAAGTGAAATTAATGAGCACACGCACTCCATTTTGTTTTCTAGATTTGATGAAGGCCGCGGACAGTCGCTGGATCCGTTACTCGAAAAACTGCGAACGCTGGAAGTGTCATGACCTGTCCAGACGTCGCGTTCTCCCGGCCAGGTCCCCGTGTAAAGTTGGGAAGCGCGTTTGTGGCGTTCGCTCGATCGGGCCACGCTCTCCAGTCCGTAGTGTAGAGTGCTTCTATAACTGGTTCTATGCGGCCTATCTTCTTGCGTGTACGAGGATTGCGGTTTACTTTGCCTCTTTGGAAGTGCTCCTTTCTTCTGCGCTTGATTGTCATCGACGTCGTCATCTTCGAGGAAATTCGGATTGGTGATGTCGCTGCGTTCGTCGAATTCATCTGGCGAAGGCGAATGATCAAGGAAGTGTGGCTTTGGAATTCGGCATTCGAGGTTAGTCTTCGAATGCAATTGGAAGTCCTCGTCGAGAAAGTTTGACCTGCGTGGGATGGCATCTGGCTCTAACGTGTCCAAATCTAATGTGAAATCTCTGGCGCGCGCCTTGTCTGCGTTTCTTCGTTCGGTCTGATTGACAGTATGCGTGTCTTCGGAGTCCTGATTGCGGCGCGCGTCCGTCGATACAGGCGACGAGGCATTTGATGGTTTTCTTGCTTCACTGGAGGTAGAGGGTGTGCAGTCGTCACTAGCGGATGGTCCGGAATCAGTCAATGGCGAGTTGGATGAGTCCATGCTGCTCCACGGGTCTACCATAACTTCGTTCTCCAACTGGAACAATGAAATGAAACGTTAATAAACTGAACACATTATTAAGTCGTAAAAGGCAACCAGCTGATATTCGATGCCAAAAATACCATTATTGCCGGTCAAGGGCAGTTACGTTGTGAGAAAGTTTTGGGACGTTGTTTTATGTAGAATTTAATTAAAGCAAGCTGTACAAGTTATATAATAAATCATTTAACAAGCAAAATATGTGTTTATTACTAAACAATTAGACATTTTATTACGTTGTAAATATAAAAAATACCCAAGACTAAACCTAATAATAACACATAATTTCGAACTGAATATTCGACAGTGAAGAGAAATTTAAACTGATAACTTATTATTACTATTATGATTGATCAAATAAATGTCTTCAAAGCGTTGACGAGAATTGTGTGAAAGTAGTGATTACACCGTGAAGTTTTTACTACGAGTAATGAGCAAGGCAGTTTTATAAACTAAATATTCTGAGAACCAAAATATTATACGTATCTCATATTATGTATGTGAAAAATAAAATAAATTAAGTTTACTTTATTAGCACCTAAGCACCGAAGCTGCATCGGGAGTATCCCTGTCAGGACTTCGTCGTATGTTAAATAAATGTATGTATTTGGTGGTTTATTAGCACACTTCTCAAGAAATGCCCGGCGCCGAAGGAAGCCTTCGCGCATCAATAGGCTCCAACATCCGGCTTCAAATGTGCGTGTAATGCAACAGCATTGTTTTACTCGCCTTCTACATCGAATTGACTTTGTATCGATTTTAAATCAAACCAAAGAATTTCTTATATTGTTCGCGAATTTTAATATAAAAAAGAAAATCCCGCGGCATGACGTCTTCAATGAAGAGTTAATATAGGAAGGCGAAGTCGAGCTCTTAACGAAGTCATTACATAATCTACAAACAAAGATAACCAAAACCGTATTTGGTGACTAATGGATAATTTAAAATAAATATTTAATATTAATATGACTAGTAATGCTCTCCGATTTTATAATATTTGTCTTTCCATTAATTTCGCTTATCGGTTTATCTAAAGCAACATAACAATTGTAATTTGATTATTAGCTTACTTAATAGTACTAGTAGCACTAAAGGTGATCGATAATCATTTTTGAAAGCAGCTTAAGATACTTTTGGGATAAATTGACATTTATATCATGTGCGAATGAAACTTGCATACATGTTCACAGACAAGCTTCGGACAAGATCTTCTTTCACTTGATGGTAGATGAAATATCCCAGACCTATTAGATCAAAACAAGATGCGCTATCGACTTATTTGCGCTTTGGCTATTCGGAAATGCACAGACTGAAACCTCACGCCTTATTCACCTGTGACACGGTGAGTTTCCGGACAGTGTTTCAATATTCCTACCAACATGTTTAAGAAAAAGTATCGCTATCGACACGGACCCAGTGGTTATCGACCCCCCGTTGATTATAATCCAGACAAACCAAAACAAAAAACCTAAAGTCCTGGATCTGGACCATTTCTAAATGATTGTTATATGAATGAATGAATAAGACCAACGCATAAGACACGCCTGGATCAAGCCACATCGTACTCACCAGGTCGCGGTCGGTCGTGGCAACATCGTTCCCGTTCTCTAGATCGACTCCAGAGTCGTTCGGGTCCGTCCTTCGTTTCTCGTTCCTCATGACCTCGTGGAAATTCCTTATCGAGTTAAAGTTTATGCGCAGGTCTGTCGTGAAATCGTCGTACAGTTTGAACTGGTTCGCGTTGAACTCCGTTTCGTTATCGAGAATATCACGCGAGTCTGGACGGTTCGAGTTGTACATCGCTCTGTAGTAATCGCGATTCATTTTGTCGGCGCGCGCGTATGTTTTCACTTGTTCATCATTGTTTTAGTTCGCTTAATCTAAATAGTCTGGCGTGTCTAGTGTTGTAGCAGTTGCGTTGATTGGATATAATCGCTATTGGCATTTTATTAATGAAAAAGGAGGGCAGTTAAGCATGGGGTCATACATCTCAAGAAGATATGCTTTGGATATTCGAAAATTCATTGACCGAAAACAATACGCGATTAAATTTCACCGTTTTTCTTCTGTAGAACGGTATGTTTCGGGACTGAATTTCGATATACCTAGCACCCATTCAATACTCAGATTTCCAAAGTCTAACATGCTTCAGAAACTTGGACACGGTGAGAGTCAAAACACCGACCAGTTGATTATAAGCCATTCGTAGCTACCATTAGACCAACGTGTCTAAAAGCGTATTGGTTATGGAATTTTGTATGTGGATAAGAGTTATTATGGATTAGAGAGGAAGCGGTTATTGTAAGCCAATATTGTTATGTATGTATAGTATTTTATTGAGAGTTTACACACGTAAGTACATACGTCTAGGATTAAGATTTAAAAATGCGTCATGCGAGGGAAACAGAAGCTTCCAGTGTTATCTAATAATGCTAAACCATGTTAGCTACTGTGAATTGAATAGCTTGAAATTAAAGCTATTCAATATACTAAGTACTTCAAAGGAGTTTTACTTATTTGTAAATGTTCCTCCATAATACATTGAAATAAAAAACTTTTAACGGGTTCAAAAGAGAAATACAAAGGTCTCTTTTTGAACTTATTTTAACTACGGGTTACTGAAACCTCGCGACACGACTGCAAAGGATCTGAAACGTCGAGTCGTATCTAAAATAAATAAACAACTTATTGTTTATTATTATATTATCTATTTTACGTTTAAAACCGTTAAGTGTTTTATTTATGTGTAATCACGTAAACTACAGACAATGATTAGTGTATAGAGTGTCGTGTTTAGTAACGCTAGGTTCTAGATTGTCGAGATCTATTAAACGGAAAGCTTAGCACAAACAAACAATAAAACTGGAGCAGAAATATTTACGTCAACAGATTTAAACCAAGGGTGAGCAAGTGTGAAGCAACGTATTAGGATTCGCGTGGAAATGTGTTTTTAGGTTAAGTATGATATGAGGCCGAGGTATAATAGAAAACACTCTTCTTTAGTACACGTCATAAAAATATTATATTTACATGAAACGAAAATGTCCAGATCGATGGAGGTGGTAGCACCTATGTTCATTTTTTTCCTTTCTTATGACCAAAGAGATCCAACCACGGGGTACACTTGATGGAAGGTGCCACTTTCCTTTAAGGCTTTGGACTTCCAAACTTAGGCCAGGATCAATTCATATTCTAAAGTATTAACTAAAATATGTTTTAAGTACTCTAAACTTAATTATTTTGTAAAATTGATTACAATAGAACATGTTACACTATTGTTTACCATTTTAAAATGGAAACTGCCGCACTTCGTACGAAGCATTTACTGAGCTGTATAAGCCTTTCACGGCCAGAGATGCTATTTACTCGATTATTCGAAAAATTAATCGAGGACCCAAACATCTTCTGATGATGACGTCCGCTCGTGATGGCGAAACGTCGAGAACGTCTTCTCGCTCATGTCGGCCGAATAACCCGTAAAACAATTATATGCTGGATTAAATGAGATTAGACAAATTATTCTCTAATTTCAAATTTATCTCCTTTAGTAAACATTTTATTTTAATTAATGGTAGAATCATGTTTGTAACCTTGACGTCAAATAGACATAGAAGATGAAAATAACTTAAACCGTACAAGATGGCACAGCGCCAGCTAATGAATAAGTTTAACGCGGGACAATATTTCACATAAAACAATGAGTCAGTCGGAAACTGTGAGTTCCAACCAGTTTTCGTGATGAGATTTAACTAAAATCTCTGTCCTAAGTGCTCTAGACTGCGTGGATAGTTTTATTTTCACTTACATTTATAATTTTCGTCAAACACATGCTCTTGTAATTTAAAAATGTATTTACGACTGACTGATAGGGATGGGATATGAACCCACGACTATAACGTTCCGTGCTGCTGCTCTACGTATATGTTGTTTTTGTTGGTTGGAATTCATCGTGTTTTGAATTGATTTCTTAACTTTTTGAAATCTACATATAATTTTAATTTATTTTTCTAGCAACAGAAGATATAAAAATAAGACTCCGATGTCTACTTTGCAAATGTATGTATTATCCTAAGTATTGTGGTGTAGTTATTATATATTAGTTACAAAATATATTTCGTGATACATTTAGAGCAAAACTCGTCATTAAACACATTAGACTTAGTCCTAAATAAAAATATGTTTTGTTTTGTTTATCTTTACGTTATAAATTGTTAATTGCGCCAAAACCAAGGAGACAAACAATTCCATTATATAAGAATGTCACAAGTTCCGAAAAAGGTGCGTTCAAAATTTCACGGCCAACGGGCCTCGCAGCTGTAGCTTTCTTGACCCACATAGCAAACCGATGGCCCTTCAGTGGAGTGAAGTAAGAGCATGCTTAAGACTTTTATTTACAGCTGAAATAAGCTCCGTAAGCAAAGGTGGCTGAAAATCTTAAAGCTTTGCGATTCGCTCTCATGCCTCACTCGTACCTTCTTAGCGAGCAAATTAATGTACTTATAATAAATGTACAAACTTAATAAATAAAATTTAATTTTGATATAGTTAAGTACAAAAGCATTTGTTTTAATCAGTAATAGATTTTAGCACAATCCATTGTCGTTTAAAACAATTTCGTTCCCAACACTACGTGCTGGAGTTATTAATTATATTGTCTTCACATTATTACAAAATGAAAGGCATTTGAGTAAACACGTTTGCAAGTGTCGTGATATAGTTTAGGATAGTGCATTCTTGTAATTTCGGAATTTTTAAAAGCAAATGTCTAGTAGTAGTTTCCGGTTATCACGACTAGTTTTGTGGATTCAGACTACCCAGTTCTTACAACAGCGTACAAGCCTGTGCCCTTAAAACCTCTCTTCCTTGGAAGGAGTGCCTTGTGCCCAACAGTGGGATACCAAATACAAACGGCAAAATATGTTTAAAACTTTGTTTTATTTAAAAGTGTAGTAGCCGATAGTATTTAAATAAAACACTAACGGTTTAAAACGCGATATACTTTGGTTAAACTTGTTTAAAAACCTATTTAATTTGTGTGCTACTCGCGTAAACTACAGACCGTATTTAAGGTTCTTGTAGCAAAATTTACTAAGTGGAACCACTATTTTGCTAAACTGTTCTTCTCTACACACATTGATTTCTTTATAATTTTAAGTTTAAATAACCGAACAGCAACGAATCCTATAACTGTGCAAAGTTCTATTATATCTATAAATGCGTTCTATTTCCTTCAAGGCCACGGTTTATTACGCTATCAGAACGAGGATGCTTTCTTTGGACGAACACCAGTTTTAAGACACTACATAAAACATGTTAGTCATTGAGATGTTTACTGTAAACAAATTGTAATCCCCTTGGATTTAGGTTTAATCATAGTAATATAATAAGTAGTAGTGATATAATCAATGATGAGTAAAGCGTTCGAGAAATTAATTTTTGTTCAATTTTAAGTTGTTTAAAAGATGAGGTTCAATATTAATATTAAAATACTGCTATTAAGAGAGGGCGAGAGCCATCTATTTTTCTATTTATACTTATATATAAAGTTAAAGAGTGTGTTTGTTTGTTTGAACGCGCTAATCTCCGGTGCTATTGGTTCGAATTGAAACATTATTTTGTTGGACTATTCATCGAGGCAGGCTTTAGGCTATTAGGAGCGAAGAAAACAGTGGGTAGTGTGGAAAAAAATGTAAATTATTTATCTTTAAGGATTACCGATTGCGTGTGGTGCGGAAACACACTCAAAAAAATATATATGAAAAAATCATTCTTCTTTTAATGATCTAAAAGATTGTCCCCGACAAGAAGCGTTTTTATGGCAGTCAAAGTCTGTCGTAATAATTCATAAGGCTAAAAACATTTGCCAGGAGAGCTATATTATATATTTGCCATATATTTAAATAACATTATTTGTACTTTATCTAAACGACTCGGCGTGGTTCTAATCACTTGTCACCCAGTAAACTCCGAACACAACTCGTGGTTCATCGCTCGTCGTCTAAAGCCAGTTTAAAAACATATCTATATTTATCGTTTCCTGTGCACCCATATTTTTGTCGCACATCTAAAACTGACGGGTGTACTCTGATGCTCACTTCCTTCTAGGAGTTACGATACTGTTAATTGCATTGTAAGAGCGGGTATTCACATTAATATACTCAATTTATAAACAAACGTTATCCAAATTCAATTAAAACATGCTTTATATTTTTAATAATATGGTGCAAAATCGTAACAAAATATTATACACAAAAAATATACATAAGTTCACTTGGAAAGAGTGTAAAACTAATCGCTCTTTTATGACATAAGTAGACAGACTATTATGGAGTTCGCTTAAAATAATAAACTAGACAAAAACCGAAACGCGAAAACATTTTACGGCATTCCATCTGCGGGTGCTTCTTGGCACGAACAGAAATTCGATATTTCATTTTAGTAAGCAAATTTTGAGTTAAAATGCTTTGAGGGAAACTATAAATTCATTTTAGATGATGTACCTAAAAGTTATCGATCCCGCGTCTCGTTGATTATTAGCTCCTTGCTAGCATTCGGCCAACGAGACAAACAATAAACAACTTTTTATTTTGCTCTCGGAGTTCTAGAAAAAGGTTGCAAACTTCTGTGTCAATTCAAATAACTTTAGAAACTCCTAGTACGCATCACAAAAAAAGCATGCGATATACAAAAAAAATCTACGTCAAGCATCACGAACAACTGACAAGCTAAAAGCTAAGACTGAAAGACGCTTTAATCACTGTGTACCGTCAGCAACTGCGATGTTGACTTCTTTGTCCCTCTGTACACAGACTAATTAACAAGTT